AGCTCAGCCCGGTCCAGGCCTAGGGCGGCGGCGCCTCCGCCCGCCGGGTCGGCTCTCAGCAATACGGGCCCCAGGGAGGGCCCCGCCGCGCCCGGGCGGAGGGGCCTGGGGGCTGGCCCTCCTCGCAGCAACAGGGGGAGGGCCCGGCCCCGCACCGCCCGCCGGGGCCTTCCGGCCCCTTCAAGCAATAGGGTCCCGAGGGGAGACCCACCCCACGCCCCCCTCCCCTCCAGGGTGCCCCAGGCTTTCTCCCAGCAATAGGGTCCGCGAGACCCAGAACCGAGCCTCATCTCCGGGCTGGGTCTCTGAGGCCGGGCTGGGGTGAGGTGGGGCGCCCTTCTCCTCCCTCCTGCGCCCCTGGATCGCCGCAGAGACTCAGGTCTTCCCACCCCTCCCGAGCCCTCCAGGGCCAGGCCTGTGGCCCGGACGTCCAGGCGGCAGGAGGGGGCAGGAGGGGCCCGGAGGCAGCCCCGCTCCTCGGCCCTCGCCGCCCGGGGCGTGCTGGACGCGTTGGGGATGGGGGGGCGGGTGGGTGGCGGCGCCCTCTCCCCGCTCCTCAGGGGGCCTCCGCCCGCGCCGCTCCTGCCCTTCCTGCCCTTGCCTCGCATTCTCTGCCAAACCCGAACTCTTCCAGCCCAGCCCCCGGGCGCTGTCCTCCACCATAATAATAACGACGCAGATCGAACCGCATGGACTCACCGACCTGCTCCGCCCGCCCCGCCCGCCCCGGCGCCGGGCCGCCCTCCGCGCACCTCCGTATTCGCTTTGCGGGTAAAGCCTCCCGGGGTGCGGAGGCGTCGGGTTTCTCTTTTCTGTATTTGTACGTTTTATTTATGAACGGATTGCACTCGGGTCAGGGAAGGGGCGCTGAGGCACCCCCCGCCTTCCCGCCGACGCCCGGGGCTCGGGACTTCCAGGATCAGCTTCCCGGCCCCTCAACCCCGCCCCGCCCCGCCCCCGAGCCCCGCCCCGCCCCGGAGCCCCGCCCCGCCCCGCCCCCGGAGCCCCGCCCCGCCCCGCCCTCCGCCGCGGAGCCCCAGGCCCCGCCCCCCGCCCCGCCCTCCGCCGCGGAGCCCCAGGCCCGCCCCGCCCCTCGGCTGCCCATCTCGCCCGTCTATGCCAAAGCCTCGGCGGCGACCCGCCCTCGGGCCCGCCCGTTGGCCGCCGCCTTTGTGACGTCACTGCATGCAGGCCCCGCCCCGCCCCGGGCCGCCCCCCCGAGCCCGCCGCCGACTATAGAGCAATAACGCGCACTGCATGCGAAGCTGCCGCCGCCTCTAGTTTGAGAATCAGGTATCCCCGCCCGCCCCGCCCGCTCAGGGACGCCGCGCGGGCCGGCCGCGCACACACTCCCCCACGGCGCGCCCGGCGGAGTCCGCGCGGGGCCGCGCCGGGCCGCCCCTCGCCCCCGCCGCCGAGCCCCGGCGCCTCCGGCCGCGGCGACCCGCACGGCGCTGGCGGGGCCCGGCCGCCGGCGGGGCGGGCCGGGGCGGCCTCGGGCCTCGCGCTCTCAGGCCCGCGGGCGCGCGGGCGCCCCCGGCCGCCGTCCCCGCGCCCGGCCCTCCCGCCCTCGGCTGCGCTCGCCGGGCCGCGACGGGCCCGGGCGCCAGGCCAGACTGAACGGTGCCCGCGGGAGCGAGGGCCGGCCGGCCCCGTCCCCAGCCCCTCCCGCGCCCGGACACGCCCGCATGCACACGCACCGCAGCGCGCGCCCGCGCCCGGCCACCTACCTGCGGAGAGGGCCGAGGGCCGGCCGGCCGGCCGCTTCTCCCCGCCCCGCCGCCGCGCAAAGCCATGGGCCCCTCCCGCCCCCATAACTAAGCAGCACAATAACCGACTTAGCGGATTCAGGTAGAAGGAACGTTTAGGTAGCACCTATTTTGTACTGATTCCACAGTAGGGCCCGAGACGCGGGGCCTGCGGGCGGGTCGCGCCACCGGCCGGCCGGCCCGCCCGCCCCGCCCCGCCCCGCCTGCGCCCCGCCGCCTTGTACATACTCCCACCCGGAACAGGCCGGGATTTTTACTCGGGCCGCGCCCCTCTGCCGCCCCCATTTGGGGCTGGGCCGGCCGGACAGACGGACGGACGGACAGACCTCCTTCCTAAGCACAATAGCACCAGCTCCCCGGAGCGCCGCACCTCCACACGGAGAATAAACGCCACTCTTGATAGAGCCTGGAGTGCTGGCCTGATGTGTCCGAGGCTGGGACCCGCACTGGGCGGGGGGCATCTGGCTGGCCAGGAAGCAGCTCAGAGGCCGGAGCGGGCTCGCCGTGGGGGTGGCGGCCTCGCTCAAACCTGGGGGCGCCTGCAGCCTTCCCTGGCGTGTGCCCACACCCCTTTGCAGGAGGCCTTCTTCCACCAGGGAGGGCTGGCTGGCAGGCCACCCCGCAGGGGCACCCCAGAAGGCAAACTAGTTGGCATTTCTCCTGTGGCAGACGAATTGCCTCTGTGCCAGGAATGGGGTAGCTGTAGGCCCCTAAGCTGGGTGGGTCAGGCCAGCCCAAGGTCAGGGCTGATCTGGAAGGGCCCAGGTGGTGGCAGCAAGGCTGCAGTCCTCTGGCCTGGGTGCCTCATTTTCCTTGCAGGGGGCTTCTGCCAGCCAGCAACCTTCAGCAGTTTCCTTTGGTACTTTTGGAGAAAATGGGGACAGCCGGGGGGCAAGGTCTGGTCCTTCCTGTAGCCCCTCTGCCCACATCCTGACCCCAACTTGGTCACTGTCCAGGCGGTCTCCTTAGATGCCGCAGCCCTCAGCTCTGGGTGGAGGGGCTGAGAGGCAGGACTGTGTTGGGCAGAGATGGGCCTAGTACAGGGCCCCCCAGCCCCGGCAGTGCCCCCTGGCACCCTGGTGGGCTGGCACGAAATGAGAGGCCCAAAGTATTTGGAGACAGGTCAGTGCACTGTCTGCACCTGGCAGGGGACGAGCTGGCTGGACTCCACTGGGGACAGCTTCAGGGGAGTCTGCCCCGCAGGGTCAGGCTGCGGGCCTGCTGCTGGAGATGGGGCTTCCGTGGGGACAGGTACCCCCTTGAGGGCACTGTCAGCAATAACACCAGGGATGCCAAGGTGCAGTGGGTGCTGGCAGCAGGCGGGGGGGGGGGGCTCCTGCTAGGGCCTCGCCCTTCACTGCCCCAGGCTGGGCAGTGCCTCCGTTAGTTTGCAGCTAAGCCTGCCTGGTGGAGAGGCTTGTTCCGGGCTGTGCGGGGCCCTGGCTGCCCCACCTGCATCCACACCTGGCAGGGGCCAGGGTGGGCTGCACAGCTTCCGATCTGGGCTGAGAGTTTGCCTCTCCAGGATGGGAGGGCGGAGTCCTGGAGGGATGGGGGGACAGGGACGGAGGGATGGGGGATGGAGGTTTCCTGTCTGGGTCCGGGAGGAGCCAATCTCTCAGTCTCTGGAGGTGTCCAGAGCATGGGACACGGCTGCGACCCCCACGTCCAGAGCAAGTGCTCTGCTGCCCCTCAGGCCCCCTGGCCAGCCCACAGCACCGCAGCCCAGGAGGCAGCACAGGGCCCACTCTGAACCCCAAACCCCTTCCCAGCCTTGATTCCTCAGGCCCAAGGCTCCTTGGCCCTGGGCCCTCCAGCTGCTGCTGCCCCTGGCAGGGTCACCCCTGGGCTCTCCTGGAAAGATTCTCTGCACACCTTTGCCCCTACTGCCCACTTGACCTTTCTCCTTTCTCCAAGGCCCCAGGCTGCACTCCCGCCATGCTGGGGGTCCTTGTGAGGCCCCCACCCTCCTGCCTGCCCTGGCCTGTCCTCATGTGACTATTCGCTGCCTGAGCCTCCCCACTGGCTCTCGGTCCTGGGCTCACCCTCAAGCCCTGTGCCCCAAACCTGGCTCCCCCACCCTGCCCTTGCTGGGCCCGGTTTCCTGGCGCTCTGCGCTTGTCCACCCAGGTCACCTCACTCCCACTGCCACCTGCTGCCACCTCTGCCTCAGGACTTGGTGCCTCCATCATGGCCTTCCACTCCTCATTGGCTACTCTGCTCAGCCTCTCCAGGCCCATTGGCAGCAGAGCCGTCCATCTTCTCTATCGATGGGGAGGCGGCCGGCCCCCAGTTCCCAGCGGTGTGGGGGCAGCCAGAGGGCACAGGGGCCCTGCCAGGCCTCCTGCTGGGGGGCGGGGCAGGGGACTCACCCCTATGCTCTGCGCCCCTAAGGACCCACCTTCCCTCTGGCCTGGCTCTGCCTGGCCGCTGAGGGGCCAGATGACCACCTGGGGGACTGCTGGGGACACGTGCACGCAGCCCGGGCTGCGGATGGGGACCCAGGTGTCCGCCCTCCCCAGCGGCGGCAGGAGGCGCCGCCGGGGACTGCCCCGTCTGTGGGCGCTGTCGGCGGAGTGGCCGGGCGCGGCGCGGCCCTGCAAGGCCTCTGGGTTTCCACCCTGCAGCCCCCGGCCGGGAAGGGCCACCGGCCCTTCTGGCAGACCCCGGGGTGCTCCCGCTCCGGCGCGGGTCGGCCCGAGGACGAGTCACTTCGCCGAGCGACCGGGCGAGAGCGCCCGGCCTCGGGCCCCGCGGCCCGGCCCCAGCCCGGCCGCACCCGCGAGGGCGAGCCGGGCCCGCCGGCGGCGCAGGGGACACGGGGCGGGGCGAGCCGGGCGGGCCCGGCCCCCGCCCCCGCCCCCCCCAGTCGCGGAGAGGCGGGCGCCCGGCGCGGCACACGCCACCCGCCGCGCGGGGCTGGGGAGGGACGCGCCCGCCGGAGGCGCGTGACCGCCGCGCCCGCAACTCCCGGCCTGCCCCGCGCCCGCGCCTCCCAGCGTGCCCCGCGCGCGCCGCGGACTACAAATGGCCGCGCGCGGCGGCCGCCGGCCAGTCAGCGGCTCCCTCAGCGACGCGCCGCGGCGGGCGGACCCGACGGGCGCGCAGGCGACGGCGGCCGGCTGGGGGCGGCGGCGGCCGCGGGCGGAGGGGCCGGAGGCGGGGCCGCGGGCCTCGGGCGCGGCGAGCTCGGCGGCCGGAGACTTGGCCGCGGCAGGGCGGGCGGAGGCCATGGGGGACCGCGGCGGCGCGGGCGGCTCCCGGCGGCGGAGGGCCGGGTCGCGGCCGTCCAGCCTGGGCGGCGGGCCCGCGGCGGCGGAAGAGGAGGCGCGGGACGCGGGCGCCGCGGGGGACGCCCCGGCCCCGGCCAAGGACAAGGACGGCGACGCCGACGCCGACGCGGGCAGCGGCCCCTGGGACCTGAGGTAGCGCTGCCCGGCCCGCGCCCCTTGCCCGGCCCGCGCCCCGCTGCCCCTAGCCCGGCCCGCGCCCCGCTGCCCCTTGCCCGGCCCGCGCCCCTAGCCCGGCCCGCGCCCCGCTGCCCCTTGCCCGGCCCGCGCCCCGCTGCCCCTAGCCCGGCCCGCGCCCCGCTGCCCCTTGCCCGGCCCGCGCCCCGCTGCCCCTAGCCCGGCCCGCGCCCCGCTGCCCCTTGCCCGGCCCGCCCCGCTGCCCCTAGCCCGGCCCGCGCCCCGCTGCCCCTTGCCCGGCCCGCGCCCCTAGCCCGGCCCGCGCCCCGCTGCCCCTAGCCCGGCCCGCGCCCCGCTGCCCCTTGCCCGGCCCGCGCCCCGCTGCCCCTAGCCCGGCCCGCGCCCCGCTGCCCCTTGCCCGGCCCGCGCCCCGCTGCCCCTAGCCCGGCCCGCGCCCCGCTGCCCCTTGCCCGGCCCGCGCCCCGCTGCCCCTTGCCCGGCCCGCCCCCGCTGCCCCTTGCCGGCCCCGCGCCCCTAGCCCGCCCGCGCCCGCTGCCCCTTGCCCGGCACGCCCCCGCTGCCCCTTGCCCGGCCCGCGCCCCGCTGCCCCTTGCCGGGCCCGCGCCCCTTGCCCGGCCCCGCTGCGGCGTGGTGCGCGCGGTGCCCCGGGAGCGCGCGGGCCGTGGACACGGAGCCCCGGGGTGGAGGGTCGCCTGCCCAGGTCGCCCGCGGGGCGGGAGGCGCCCCCTTGCCGGTCCCCAGGCGGCCCCGCGCCCCGGCTGGCCCTCCTGCGGGGCTGGGCGGGCTGGCGCTCCGCGAGGAAGGGGCGCCTGGGCTGGGCTGCCTGCGAGCGAGGGGGCTCCCCGGGGTCTCCCCTGCCGGCGCCCTCTCCCCAGTGCCGGCCGCCCTGCCGTGCGCCCAGGCCCGTGCGGCCGCTCCTCCCCGGCCCTTGCGGGGCTCTGCGCGGGGCCTGCCGTGGGCTCGCCCGCAGGTGCCGGGCCGGCCGCTGGCGGGGGCGGGAGGCCACAGGTCCCCTGGTGGGGCGGCGCTGCCTGCTCCCTCCGCGCGGCCTCCAGGGGGGCGCTCAGCCCTGTCCAGCCGCGCCTTCCTGCGGCCGGGCGCCCTCCCTGCCCGCCCAGGGCTCCGTCCTTGGAAGCCGCAGGTTTTCAAGGGGAAAGGCAGTCCGTGCAGGGCTAGCTTTCTCCCTAGGCAAGAACAAGGCTTTCTTCACTGGGTGGGGGAGGGCTGTTGGGGGACAGTCTGGTCTCTGCCCTCGGGGTGCCCGTAGTCCACCTGGGAGATAAGATAGTATTGTGCTGAGCAGTGCGAGCAAAGGTCGGGGTGGAGGTGGGGGGCTCTGCAGAGGGGCGTGCTGCTTGGGCCTGGGCTGGGGCAGGGAGGCCGGGAGGACCCTAGGGCCCTTCCCACTGCCCACACCCCAACTCTTCCCCTTTCCGAGGCAGGGCGGCTGCTGCTGTGGGCTCCCCTGGCGGGTGCTTCCCTAGTGGGTGGGGCCTGGGGTCTTCCAGTGCACAGGGGTGCTGGCTGGGGCGCGCCCCGCCCTGGGCACTCCAGGGAGAGGCGTGGCAGGTGGCCGGGTGGGGGGCGTGCTTGTCCCTCACAGCCAGGTGGCCACAGGGGTCGGGGGTCCCTGGGCTGTGGCCATGGTCAGGAGGCAGGCTGACCTGGAATTTGGCCCCTGGTGCCCTTCCTCCCTGTCGCCTGCCTCCTCCTCCTGCCTGCTTGCTGCCCTGACCCCGCCCCCTTCTTCCTTGCACCCCGAACTTGGGCCTGATCCCCTCCCGGCGCTTCCTGCTCACCTTGGCCTGGGCAGGCTGCTCAGGCTCTGGGTGTGAGTTCATCTCTTCCTGCATGCGAGGCGTGGCTGTGGGTCAGGAGGCAGAGGGCACCTTTTCCTCTGCCTGTGACTCCTCCTGCAGGCGCCGCGCACACGCCTCCCTCCTCGGCCGGGCCTGGCCTGGGCTCTCAGCACCCCAGGCGGGGCCTCCTGCTGGGGCCCGTCCCGGGGATGTCCTCGTTCTCCCCTCTCCCCTTCCTAGGCCCAGGGCCGGTGGAGGCAGTGCTGGGAGTGAGGGTGGGCAGGGGTCTGGCGCTGTGCCTGCCCCTAGCTGTACCGTGGGGGCTGAGCCTCAGCCAGCCTGTCCCCCTCGCGCCGCCCTGTGGGCGCTGCTGTCAGTGTGTGGGCCTAGTGGCCCTCGTGACGTGACGCGGTGGGCCTGGGGAGCAGGGTGGATCGCTGGAGCGCACGCGAGTGGGGTCAGCCTTGCAGTAGAGAAGAGAGTCACCCCACCGCGGGGCACGATGGCCAGGCCTGCCTCCTCCCGGCCCAGCTGGGTCTCTGGGGCAGGGTGGGCTGTGGGCTTCCTCCCTGGTGGGGCAGGGGGCGATCGGGAGGCATGTTGGGGCCCTGGGGGGTGGGCCTTGGCAGTCTGGGTGTATAGGCTCTGAGCCAGCCAGGGAGCAGGTTCGCTGTCAGGTCAGGAAAACAGTGCTCTTCCCTGCTCGTTTCCGTGTTCGAGGTGGTGGCCAATAAAGCCAGCGTGGGCTCTCGGAGACCCAGAGGGGGCAGGGGTCACACTGTTGAGAAACAGCCCAGGGCTGGGCCGGGCCGGGTGTCCAGGTGGAGACAGCAGTCGGCACGAGGCAGCGTCAGGGTGGTTCCAGCGAGAACCAGCGACTTGGGGTTGTGAGGGGCCAGGGGACAGGCCCGGAGCCGCTCCTGTGTGGGAGGTGGACCTCTGACCCCTGCTCCCTCGAGGTGCTGCTCCCCGGGACGGTGGCCAGCCAGAGGGCCGGTGGGGACCCAGGCGCGGACTCGGGTGGGCTTGCAGCCTGGCCGCGAGACCTGGGACAGAGCTGGGGGCGCGTGCAGGACGGCGCCCTGTGCTCCCGCTGCAGGGCTGCTGTGGAGGAGCCGGGGCGGGGTCAGGCCGGGGGCGCTGCAGAGGCAGGATGTGCTGTCCCCGCGCTTACAAAACCTCAGCCTTGCCCAATGCCACCGGCCTCCTGGTGCCGGAGAGCGGGCGAGGTGTGGCCACGGCGGGGGGCGGGGGGACTGTCTTGCCCCAGCCCCGACCTCCACCCCAGGGAGAACCCGAGGGGCTGCGTGTGTGTGTGTGTGTGTGTGTGTGTGTGTGTGCGCGTGCACGCGTGCCCCCCCGCCCGGCACTGGGCGGGAGCGTCATGGGAGGGACACGGATCTCTCTTGGAGAGGGCTCGGCCCAAGCAGGAGCACGGAGGGACGGGATGGGCAGCCGTTTTCAGACCGCCGGAGGCCCGCGAGCGCTCTGGACTGGGTCCGCAGCGGACCCTTGGCCTTCGGACCGTGCCTCCGTGCACCTGTGTGGGTCAGGCGCAGGCCGGCGGGCTGGGCAGGGCGCATCCGGGCCTGCCCCCGCCTCCACCCGCCTTATCCAGGCGGGGCCCTTCGCCCGTGGGAGCCCTGCCCCGCTGGGCCTGGGTGGGCCCACTGCCTGCGGCCTGGAGGGGCGGGCCCTGGGCCCTGGCCAGTCCTGAGGGCGGAGAGGATGGAGGGAGTGTGGACCTCGCGGCCCCCCCCAGGCCTGGCGCAGCGGCTCAAAGGGGCTGGGCCTGGGGTGGGGGGGTGAGCCTGCCAGAGGCCCTCGCTGCCCGCGGTCAGCGAGGCTCAGCGGGGTCCTTCTGCCCTGCCAGGTGCCACCGCCTGCAGGACTCTCTGTTCAGCTCTGACAGTGGCTTCAGCAACTACCGGGGTGTCCTGAACTGGTGTGTGGTGATGCTGGTGAGTGGGGCCGGGAGCAGGTGGCCTGGCTGGCCAGGCCCAGCAGGGCTGGCTTTGGGAGGGCTACACTTGTCCCTGTGCACTCCAGCAGGCCCCGGGGCCCTGGCTGTGCCGGTGGCCAGGGTCTCCCCCTGGCTTTGCTGGATGGTGGTGGCAAGCCGGGAGAGGCTTTGGGCTTCGGGCTGTGGACCAGGCGTGGGCCTCTGGCCTTCTGAGCGGCCTTGGGGACCTCAGAGGAGCCTTCTCCGTGCTGGATAGCCCACCGCGACCCTGACCTGTGGCTCTGTCTCTCGGCCTTAGGTCCCAGGGGCCCCATACCCTGCAGTTTCCTCTGGGTGGGGCCGGCAGCAGCGGTGGGGCAGGCCATCTGGGCCCAGCCTGAGGCAGGAGAAATCCACTGCTGAGGGGAGCAGCGGGGAGACAGGAGAGGTCTGCTCGCCATGTGGGACCCTTTCTGGCCGGCCAGGATTGAATTGGCGCCGCGGAGGCTGCTGACAGCTTCACGGCGCGGCGCTCAGCCCCTTGTGCCTCCAGGGAGGCCCGGCAGGAGCTGTTTTGTGGGGGGCTCCATCCTTGGACTCCACTTAGGGTCAAAGACGCAGGCTTGGAGCCCTGCAGGACTCTGGCCAGCCCCCGGCACCCTCCAATGGGCTGCTGTGCTGCTGCCTCTGCCACACAGCTGGGCTCTGAGGACTGGCTTGGCCCCTGGGGTGGTGCCCCGTGCGAGGGTGGGCAGCCGCTTCAGCCCACCTCGCCGGGGCTGGCACTCTGGCCTTGGGCCCAGCGGCGCGGGGTGGATGAGGGCTGCCCGCGTGTCTCTTCCACTGTAGAGCCGGGCATCCGGGAAGTGCCTGGTGTTGGGGCGGTGCCGTCCACGACAGGCCGCCTTCTGGTGCCGCGGGCAGTGCGGGGCGCTGCTGCTGTCTCTGCACGGGCGTGGGGTGAGGCGGGCGGTGAGGCCTGAAGCTGCGTGGGGGTCAATGGGGCTGGGCTTGCTGCCTCACCAATGATGCCCTCCAGGGCTCTGCCTTGGTGCCGGATGCCCAGGCAAGGTGCCCCAGGCCGGCTCAGGCCCCTGCCCCTCTTTCTCTTGCAGATCTTAAGCAACGCACGGCTGTTTTTAGAGAACCTCATCAAGTGAGTGTCTCCCCATGGCCCGATGGTGCCTCTGCCCTCTGAGGCCACCCCACTGAGGCCTGGTCCCCCGACCTCAGGTACGGCGTCTTGGTGGACCCCATCCAGGTGGTGTCTCTGTTCTTGAAGGACCCCTACAGCTGGCCCGCGCTCTGCCTGATTATCGGTGAGCTGAGCGCCCTGGGGGGAGGGCGGGGCCGGCGACCTGGGCCTGAGCCTCCCCTTGTGCTCCTGTCCTCAGTGGCCAATGTCTTCGCCGTGGCTGCCTTCCAGGTGGAGCGGAGGCTGGCCGCCGTAAGCAGCACCCCCCGCCCCCCCCTCCCCGGAGGGCTCTTGCCCCAGGGAGCCCCGTCCCAGGGTCCCTAGGGAGAGGGTCCTGGCTGACCGCTCTGCCCCCAGGGTGCCCTGTCGGAGCAGGCAGGGCTGCTGCTGCACATGGCCAACCTGCTCACCATCCTCTGCTTGCCGGCGGCCGTGGCCTTCCTGCTTGAGTCCATCACTCCAGGTGTGACCCCACCTCGTCCCGGGGCCTGCGGGGCGCCGGGCCCTGCGGCCAGGGCCCTGCTGTGGGCAGATGTGCTGAGCCTGCTCTCCCGCAGTGGGCTCCGTGCTGGCCCTGACGGTGTACACCATCCTGTTCCTGAAGCTCTTCTCCTACCGGGACGTCAACCTGTGGTGCCGCCAGCACAGGGCCCGGGTCAAGGCCAAGGCTGGTGAGGGGCTGGGGGTGGCCTGGGAGGCCCGGGTCAAGGCCAAGGCTGGGGGATGGCCTGGGGGTGGCCTGGGGGGCCTGAGTCAAGGCCAAGGCTGCGCCCACACTGCCTGTCCTGCCCGCAGCTGCTGCAGGCAAGAAGGCCAACGGCGGAGCAGCGCAGCGCACCGTGAGCTACCCGGACAACCTGACCTACCGCGGTGAGGCCCTGCAGGGCAGGGGGGGGGGTGTCCAGGGGGCCAGCCCTAGCGGTGCCAGCCCCTTCTTCCTCCCCAGATCTGTACTACTTCCTCTTCGCCCCCACGCTGTGCTACGAGCTCAACTTTCCCCGCTCCCCCCGCATCCGCAAGCGCTTCCTGCTGCGGAGGCTCCTTGAGATGGTGAGCTGGGCTGGGCCGCGCGGGCGGGCCGGGCCGGGGGTGTCCTGGTGGAGGCGGCTCAGCCTGCTGCTCTTGCCCCCCCAGCTGTTCTTCACTCAGCTCCAGGTGGGGCTGATCCAGCAGGTGAGGAGGGCGGCGCGCCGCGCGGGCGGGGGCTGGGGCCGCCAGGGCTGGCCGCTGACCCGCCCTTCTTTGCAGTGGATGGTCCCCACCATCCAGAACTCCATGAAGCCCTTCAAGGTGAGCGGCGGCGCCCGTGGGGGAGGGGGCGGGCCGGGGCGCCCGCTGAGCGCTGTCTCCCCAGGACATGGACTACTCCCGCATGGTGGAGCGCCTGCTGAAGCTGGCGGTGAGCGCCGCGCCGGGGCGGGGCGGGCCGGGGCGGGCCGGGGCGGGCGGGGGGCTGAGCCTGCCGCCCCTGCAGATCCCCAACCACCTCATCTGGCTCATCTTCTTCTACTGGCTGTTCCACTCCTGCCTCAACGCCGTGGCCGAGCTCATGCAGTTTGGAGACCGCGAGTTCTACCGTGACTGGTGGTGGGCCCGGGGCGTGGGGCCCGGGGCGTGGGGCGGGGCGGGGCTCGGCGGGGCGCGGGGGGCCTCCTGAACCCCGCCCTCCCCGCCCAGGAACTCCGAGTCGGTCCCCTACTTCTGGCAGAACTGGAACATCCCGGTGCACAAGTGGTGCTCCAGGTGGGCGCGGGGCGCGGGCGGGCGGGGGGCTCCTGCGCGCGTGGCCCGGGCGCCCCTGCCACGGCCTCCTCCCGCAGGCACTTCTACAAGCCCATGCTCCGCCGGGGCAGCAGCAAGTGGCTGGCCAGGATGGGCGTGTTCCTGGCTTCGGCCTTCTTCCACGAGGTCAGTGCCGGGCCCACCCCTGCCGCGGGCGGGCGGGCGCGGGGCGCGGGCGCGGGCGCGGGGCTGACCCGCTCTCCCCGCCCAGTACCTGGTGAGCGTCCCGCTGCGCATGTTCCGCCTCTGGGCCTTCACGGGCATGATGGCGCAGGTGAGCGGCCGGGCGGGGGCGGCGCTCCCGGGCAGGCGCCGGTCCCCGCGCCCGGCTGACCGCGGTCCCGTGTCCCCAGATCCCGCTGGCCTGGATCGTGGGCCGCTTCCTGCGCGGCAACTACGGCAACGCGGCCGTGTGGCTGTCGCTCATCATCGGGCAGCCGGTGGCCGTGCTCATGTACGTGCACGACTACTACGTGCTGCACCACGAGGCCCCCGCGGCGGGCGCCTGAGGCCGGGCTGCCCTCCCGCCCCTATGGGGCCCTCCTGCCCCTCGGGCAAGACCAGGCCCAGGGCTGCGCAAGGTGCCAGCGCCCGGGCTGCCCCGCCCAAGGGACCGCGGCTGTCAATAAAGTGCTGTCCAGTGACCTCCGCGGCCTGCTGGGGTTCAGGGCTGGTGGGGGCCCCCACACCCTACCCCACCCCATGTAGGGCACACAGGGCTGTGAGGCAGCTGTTCCCTGGGGCTAGAAAGCCCCTTTCCTCTGGCTCTCCCTGCCCCCCCCCACCCCCTCAGGCTGTCCCCTGGCAGGGTGGGTGTGGGTGGTCATGGGGCCCCTCACCTGGCCAGAAAACCCCCGCTACCCTGTCCCTCAGGCCACGGCGGGCAGGCAGGCCTGGAAGTCTCCATAGAAGGGTCCAGCGGGAGCCAAGGCCAGGCCCCCAGCTCTGGGAGCCCCTGCCAGCTCCCTGTGGGCTGCCCTGTGTGAGCAGCGTCCCGGGGAGCGCCAGCTGGCCACGCTACCCGATGCTTCCGGCGCCGGGCCCGCCTCCTGTCTGGAATGAGGCCCGCGGCTGGGCCAGGCCGGAGGTCTCACCCTCTCTGGGTCATGGTGACCCTGGGGTGGCCTCAGACCCTGAGGTCCTGGCAGCGTGTGTAGCCCGGGCCTGTCCAGCGGCACCTGGCCACTCGGAGATGGTGCCCAGTGCAGCTGTCTCCCACTCTGGAACCCCGCTGCTGCAGGGCACCCAAGCCGGGGAGGGCGCCCTGGGGCCCGCCTGGCCTCAAATAAAGACTGGAGTGAAGACTTGAGCCAACGTGGTCCTGTTGGGCAGGGGTGGGGTGCGCGCCAGCGCTGCCCTCCCTCCCCGAGGCCCCGTGCCCGCGGCGGAGGAAGCAGACGCAGAGGCCACATGGGGAGCCAGTCCTTTATAGGCGCTGCGTGTCCGCCCGCCCGTCGGTCCGAGATCTGCCCTCCCGCCGCAGAGCGGGGGCGCGTGGGAAAGTCGCAGCGCGAGTCCGCGGCTCTGGCGCCAGCCAGTTCCAGTGCAGCGAAGCCCCAAGCCCGCCCGGGCGCCTGCCCAGCCAGCCTCCCCGCAGGCCCCGACGTCTGGGGGGCGGGCGCGCGGCCTCTAGGAGACAGCGGGGTCCTGGGCTTTGGGGGGCTCCGAGCCCGTCAGCAGGGAGATGGTGGGGTCGTCCGCGTAGTCATCCCCCTCGGAGAAGTAGGAGCCCTCGCCCAGCTCGAAGAGCACGGGCAGGTCGCCGCCCACGTCCGCGTGGCCGGGGTCCACCAGGAGCAGGGGCTGCGCCGTGTAGTGCACCAGCTGCTTGCCTGCGGGGGTGGGGGGGGTGGGGGTCAGGCGGGGCGGGGGGCGGGGGGCAGGGGCGGCCCGGGCTGGGGCTCACCTGAGTCAGGGCTGCTGTTCTCAGGCTCGATGGGCCGGGGCGGCTCCGGGGGGAGAGGAGCTCCTGGATCTGCTGGGGGGGGGGGGGGGCATAGTGAGGGTCCCGCCCATCCCCGCCCCCCACCCCTGCCCCGCCTACGCACGCTGGCCAGGCTGCTGTCCAGGTCCGGGAGGCTCATGTCCGGCACCGTCACGGAGGGGCTGAACAGCTGTGGGGAGGCGCGGAGTCAGACTGCCGTAGTGGGGGGCCGGGGCAGAGGTGGGGGCGGGCAGGGCCACTCACGTCCAGAAGGGCGCTGGTGTCCACGCTGAAGCCGTGGCTGCTCAGCATGGTCTGCAGGTTGTCCAGGTTGGAGTCCATGGCGTCCAGGTGGTCGCTGAGCTCCGTCCTGGCCGGAGTGGGTGGGTCAGGTGAGACGGCGCCCGCACCCCCACTCTGACTTTTGCGGGCACCTGCGCCTGCCTGCCCACCTGGCGGGGCAGCTGGGCTACACCCACCCTACTCGGGTTCACGGAGGCCCCGAGTGTCGCATTGGCCGTGCTGGCCCGTCCTGTGGCCCCCTGCAGTGCCAGGCGGGCAGGGGGTTCAGGCGGGCAGGGGTCCGGAGCTTAGTGGTCAGGCCAAGGTGAAGTGCAGGCGGGGGAGGGGGGGAGGCTGCTGCACTCGTGGGGGTCAGCCCTGGCCCTGCTGTGGGGGCAGAGACCCTGGGGCTAGGGGCCCTTGGCTGGGGGAGGCCGGATGCACCCCAGAGAAGCCAGCACAGCTGGGGCCTGTGCCACCCCCAAAGACTGAGGGGCGGCCACTCCGAGTGAGTGCAGGGGCAGGGCCTGCCACCGGGAGGGCGAGGGCCGAGCCGGGCCAGCTCACGTCCGCAGCCGGGGCAAGGCCTGCGCTCCGGCAGCCGCCCCCCTCCCCAGTGGGGACGCGCTAACCCTGGCTGGCCTCGGCCATGCAGAGAGGAGGGGCGGGGGAGGAGGCGGGCGACCCCAGACATCTGTGGAGCGCGAGCCCAACTGCAAGATACAAAGACAAGAGCCCCCCGATTGCAGGTGGGGGCCAGGCAGGCCTCCTGCCCCCCGCCTTGCTCGCCCAGCCTCGGGGCAGCACGACAGACGCGGGGACGCGGCGGCCGGCCGGTGGGCGCCACCCCCTCCCAGCCTGGGCCGGGGCTCTGGTCCTGCTCTGCCCCAGTGGCCGCTGTGTCCACCCTCGTGAAGGCCCCGACACGCTTCCGGACGGACTCCTCTGTCGCGGACACTCACTTGTCCAGGCAAGCGACGCTGAGGCACTTCTCAGGGGCCGAGGGGGCCCGGGGGAGCGGGGACGGCCCCCCGAGTCCGGGAGGGGCGTGGCCAGGGCAGCGGGGGCAGGCTCGCTCTCCCGCAGTATGGAGTCGATGAGGGCAGTCGGGGACAGGGGCGTCTCCACGACAGAGGGCGGGCGCCCGGGACTGGCCACCTCCTCCGGGGGGCTCCGTGGCGGGCTGGGGGGCTCCTCCTTGACCCGCACCAGGGGCCTGCACGGGGGACGCATGTCAGCCAGCACCGGGGCGCCACCCTCCTCCCAGAGCCCGCCGGGCGCGGGGCCCCACCTCTCGTCCAGGCTCCCGCCCGGGGAGGCCACGGGGCTGCCGGGGGCCAGCTCGGTGATGTCGGAGATGATGGGGCCGGAGCTGGCCACCGCGTCCGGGGAGTAGAGGCTGGCGCCGCTGTAGGCGGGGGACGGGGCCTGGCGGGAAGGGAGGCGGACAGGGCCGGCCGGGGCCATTAGGCCGCGCCTGCCCCGGCGACCCCACCGGGCCGCCCCGTGCAGGCCGCCCGCTCACCGCGAAGGGCCCAGAGCCATGCAGGTGCTCCAGGGAGTACTGGCGGCCGAACTTGGGCATGGAGTGGGCCGCGCCGCCGTCGTTCAGCATCAGGGGGCTGCGGGGAAGGGGCGGTCAGCGGCCTCCTGGGGGGAAGGGGACCACACCCGGGCCAGCTGCGGGCCTCCCCCGCGCCTCACATTTTTCTCTTCACCCCTAGGATCCGGTTCGACTGCACCAGCGAGATGAGGAACTGGATGAGCTGCGGGTGGAGAGGGTGGTCAGCCCGGCCCGGCCCCCCAGCGCCCCCCTCCCCCGCGCTGGCCTTGGCCCACACCTTGTTGACCACTTTCTGCTGCTGCGCGTGCTTCTGCCGCAGACTGGCCACCTCCCGCCACAGGGCCTCGTTCTCACTGCAATAGAGCGGGGGCTCGGCAGGGCAGACCCCAGGCCGAGGGGCGCAGAACCCTCTCTGGGGAGGCTGGATAGTCCGGCTGAGAGCCCCCAGGAGCCTGGCCAGGCCTCGGCAATCTCTGCCCAGCACCCCGGGCCAGAGGCGAGCTCCTCAGGTCTTATGCTGTGGGCTGTGGGGGCCGATGCTGGGCAGGACCAGTAAGCAGTGTGCCTAGCCCGTCCTGCCGCTGGGCACGGACCCGACCACCCTGAGCCCACAAGGCTAAGGTCCCCTGGCTCCCATCTCCAGGCACCACTGTCCAGGGTGGGTGCTGGGCCCAGCGTGAGGCCGCGACAGGCTCAGGGCCCCGCCCCAAGCCATCCCCAGGGGCCAGCCTCATGGGGAGGGCGGTGCCAAGGCCCTGCACTGTGGGGGCTGTCAGCGCCCAGTCCATGGTGGATGAGGGGGCCGGGGCGGCCATAGAGATAGCGGAGTGGCTGGCGGAGCTCTGCCCCCGGGAAGCCCACCCCGTCCCCCCGGCTGACCCGGAGGCGCCCCCAGTTGGCGCTCGCCACAGGCCCCGGCACCTACTGCTTCATGGCCAGCAGCTTGGAGTCCATGGTCTCCTGCCGCCCCTTCATCAGCTGCACGTCGGTCAGCAGCTTGGTGACGCTGTCCTGGCGGATCTTTATGTCCTCGCTCTTCAGAGTGGACACCTGGGTCCCCAGGGCAGGCGTCACTGAGGTGGCCCGGGCCATGGGGAGCCCCGCGGGCGGGCGGGGGGGGGTCACTACTCACGCTGGTCACTTTCCTCTTGATGCTCTCCAGGAGCTGCTCGCGGCCGCGCAGAAAGCACGGGTGCTGGAACTCAGTGTCGTCCCGCTCCGGCTTGACCAGGCCGCCCTGCTCGATGCGCACCACCTTCCGGAAGCCGTCTGCGCGGGACGGCCGGCGGCTGAGGGCGGGACCCGACTGCGAGGCCGTCGCGGGGACGCCGCCCCCCCGCCACCCCCGGGGCGCCCGCAGGCCACTCACACATGTTGAGCTGGCGCACGAAGCTGGCCATGTTGTTGTGCTTGAAGTACTTGGGCAGCACCTCCTTGGCGAACTGGCCCTGGTCAAAGACGTGGAAGCTGTTCCCGCCCTGCGGGGACACGGGTGGTGTCACGGCGGCCCCTGCGCAAGGGCAGCCTGCCCTGGCCACGTGCCCGCTGGCCCTGCCCGCCCGAGGCCGAGCTGGGCGCCAGGGTCAGGCGTGGGTGGGCACTGGCGGGGAGCCCGGCCGGGCAGCAGAGGCCCCATCTCTGGCTCCCGCCAGCAGGTTGGCCTCGGGCCGGGGGGGGCTTGATTCCGGCACCTCTGGCGACGAGCGTGGCTGTGCTCAGGAGGGTTGGGCTGGCCCCGCGCCTGCCCGCCCTCCCCTGGCCGCAGACTGGGGCCACCGCCCCGTAGCGGGCAGGACCGGGCCCCCCAGGGTATGGCGCGCGCGCAGGGGGCCGCAGTGGCGGAGCAGCACCACTGACTTCTTCTGCCCGAACGTGGCAGTAACAGACCCGACCAATAACCCAGCCAACTTTCCAGAACTCGCAAAATTAACCAACGAATGGCAGCATCGGGGTGCGTGGACCTCGGCCCCGCCCCCCACAGCCAGGCCGGGGCCTTCCCGGTGCAGAGCCCACCCCGTGGGTGTTGGCAAGAGCCCTGAGGGCCCTGGGCAGCGGTGGCGGCTCCGGCAGCCGGGACAGGTCAGCGGGACACTCAAGAGGAAGCGCTGGGTGGAACGAGGAGGCCGGGAAGCCGCGTGTCCTGGCCCCAGGCTCACGCAGGCCCCACGGACAGCAGGCCGGGGGCTGGAGTCGGGGCGGAGGAGATCCCTGGCCCTCCCGCCGGTGGGACGAGCAGCCGCTCCAGGGCTGCAAACTGCCCAGCGTCAGTTCAGAAGTCGCCGAACAAACACCAAGAAACAGAAGAGGCCAGGGAGCCACCCACAGGGCGCGGCAGACCCCTCCTGCCTCCCCGCTGCGCCCCTCGGCAGTGGGTTTCAGCGGATCTGCCCGCCCTGCGCCCCGCTCTGTCTCTGGGGAGTCCTCACTCCTGCGCCTCTGGCCTGCGCCCCAGCTCTTGTGTGCATCAAGAAAATAAACCCTTAAAAAGACCCAAATCTTTAAAAAAGAACAAGGGAACACAAGAAGCCGCGGCCGCAACAGCCCCGCGAGGGTCTGAGCCCGGATTGACGGGCGCCCGAGGCGCCGAGAAGGAGCTGGGGCCTGAGCAGGCCCCGGGCCAGCACCGCCCGGGGAAGCCCGTGGGCTACGGAAGGCCGGTCGGGCACGCAGGACGAGAACGACAGCAGATGAAAGCCTGGCGCGGGTCTGAGGCCCGCACGGTGGGGGTAGGAGGAGCGCTCGACAGGCGGTCAGAGGACCAGGCCGGGAGGAGGCCCAGGGCCCAGAGCCCCGACTCCAAGGAGCAGAGGCCGGTGCCCCTGCCCCCCCCCCCAAGCTGGCAGCTGCCCCACCCGCGGGCCGCGCCCCCGGAGATGTCCCACAGGGCTCTGGGCCTCCACGAACTGCCGAAGCCGGGCTCAATCCAGTCCTCAGGCGGGGGAGCAAGCGCTGGGCAGCGCGGGACAGCGGGGCGGGGGCAGTGAGCGCGAGGCCCAGAGGCCAGTGCCACCGCGGTCACCCGCGGGCATCCAGGCCCTCGACACCCGCGGGCTCTCTGGGCCGCCCGGGAGGCTTCGCAAACGCACAGGCAGAGGCCCCGGGCAGAGACCCCAGCAGCCCAGGCCCGCGCACGCCATCTCTGGGGGCCCTCCACCCCCGCCTCCTCTGCGACCCCAAGAGGCAAAAGATCAAGCCCGGTGCCCCGAGTCTCCCGGCTGCCGCCAGCACCTTCCCAGCTCTCCCCTACTCTGCTGCGCTTTCCGGAAGACAGACACTGGGGGACGGACGGGGTTGAAGAACAAAAGGGGAAAGGAAAACCGCAAACACGGGGTGCCCCTCCCGCTCATGGCCCGCCGTCCCATCAGCGCACGCACGACGCCCTGGTTTTCGGAGAGACCAGAAATGCTCCCCAAAGGCCGGTTTCCCACTCTTGCTCGCCTGTCGCTCCCGAGAGCGCCTGGGCTGCCCGGGGCCCGCGCGCTGGCAGAGCGGCTGGAGCTGAGTCTGTGCCCATTTCGGGCTCCTCACGTCGCGCATGGACAGGCCCTGCCCCCCCACGCTGGCCACTGCGCCGCAGCCGCGATCAGTCCAGCCTCGGGGCCAGCACTCGGCTTCCGCGGAGGACTCTCCTGGATGGCCTCTGGCTGGCACCTGAGCGACGCGCTTTCCCTGTGGCCGCGCACCAGGGGGGAGGTGGAGGCCGGCTGCTTGCGGGTGGGTGGGGGTCACGCACGGGGTTTGGCAGAGAAGCAGCTGCCTCCACACCCACGTCAAGCCCTCCACGACGGGCTTTCCACTTGCTCGCCAGTTGCCGTCGATGCGGGAACAGCGGTGCCACCGCACACACCTGAAAGCCGGAGCAGCTGGCCGACACACAGAAGGGCCCGTGGCAGGGAGAGCGGCGCCACCCCGTCGCTGGGCCTGCGCCCACCTCTGCTGGCCCCTCCCCAGATGCTCCCTCCCCCCAGGAGGTGTCTGTGTCCTCGCCCACTCAGGGCCAGCCAGTGGGCCCCACACCCCCTTTCTGCCCGGAACGCATTCCTGCCACTGTCCCCGGCCTCTGGCAGGCGCTGGCGAGTCCTCTGCGCCTCAACCAGGAAAGGCCACTGCCCCACCCAGTCCACAGCCCCACAGGGGCCCAGCGGGGCCTTAAAGGGCAGGTTTACTGAGGTCTGGACAGCGCCAGGGGCCCAACCCCCCGCACCTCTGGGTCTGGGCCAGCTGCTCCCATGGGCAAGTGCTGAGGAGCTAGGCAGGGAAGAACGCACCTCAGTGGCCAGGCCCTGCAGGGCAGGTGCAGGGCCTGGGCAGCCTTGTCCACTGGGGCGGCCCAGTGGGCGCCCGTGGACTGGCACACCTGACACCGGCGTCTGGGGTGGCAGCCCTAGGGCCTGGCCTTCAAGTAGGAGCACATCCCACGCCAGGCCAGGTTTGAAAGAGACATTGGCTGTAGTTTCTGGGGCCAGCGTCAGTGACCAGCCTTCCTTATCACCTGGATCTCACTGGGCAGGGGGGGACCTTCAGCAGCCAGGAGGGGACATCAGAGCCGCCTAGGGCTCCAAGTGCTGGAGTCCCAGCCAAGCTGCCGCAGAGCCTGTGCAGATGCTGGCCAGAGGCTGCAGGGCCTTATGTGTGCGTCCTCCAGGCCCCAAGTGGCACCAGTGCCCCCCTCAGGTGGCCGCCCGCAGCCCCACTCAGTGTGGCCAGGGGCGTCCCTAAGCTTCGGAGCTGGTGCTGGTCTCTGCTCCTGGTCCTGCACCTATGCCAACCAACCCCACCCGCCCTTGCGCTCAGGCAGGTGAGCACCCCAGACCCGGCCGCTCCTGGCTCCCCCAGGCAGACTCACTGTGGGCACGGAAACACAGGCCCGCGCTGGCCTGGTCACGCCCACCGTCCTGCCCGAAGGCCTCCCTGATATGAAGACAGCCCTGGGGGTGACCGGGGCGCCCCCACCCCCACCCCTAGAGACCAGGTCGTTCTAGCAATCTCAAGCTGGGCGAGGGGCTTCCAGCCGGTCAGGGGAAGAAAGGGGGGAGGAGGGGTGAAGACGGCAGAGCGCAATGCCCCCTCGGGTCAGGACCCAGAGATCGGGGCTGGCGCTGGGACGGCCGTGGGGACGCGCCTCTGCTTTCTGGGACTCCTGCGGGCCAGCGGCCTGGGGACCAGGGCACCCACAGGGCGGCCAGAGAGGCGACATGGCTCAGGCGACCTCGCAGCCTCAGTTCGTCTCTAATCCCGGCCCCCTTCAGACAGAAGCGCGTCCCAGACGGCCCGCGCCAGGGACCCGCCTCGGGCCGCCGGCCTCGGGGCTGAGAGAAGCGCAGGCCCGGGCCCGCGGGGCGCCCACCCGGGAGCCCAGACAGCGCCGGGGCCCCTGCCAAGGCCGCGGCGGCCCCGCGGGCTCAGACCCTGTAAACAAGCCGCTGCCAGGCAACCGGTGACAGGCGCGGGCGCCGCGCCCGGAGAAGCGGCAGCCGGCGGCGCTCGGGAAGCGGCCGGGCCGGCGCGGACCAACCCGAGCGCGCGACGTCTCGGGCGCCCTCGGGCCCCGCGCCCCGGCCCGGCCGCCCCGCCCCGGGCCCGCGCGCCCCCGCCGCGCCCCCGCCCCGCCGGCCCCGCGCGCGCCCCAGGAGGCGACGGGCCCGCCCGCACCGGGCTCCAGCAGATGAGCGCGTCGGTGTCCGGGTCGCTCACGAGGGTCCACAGTTTGGTCAGGAAGGCCGGGACGTTGCTGGGCCCCGCCGCGCCCGGGCCCGCGGGCAGATCCATGCCGGGCAGGGCGGGAGAGGTGGCGGGGGCGACCGCGAAGGGAGCCGAGGGCCGGCCTAGCGCCGCCGCCGCGCCTGCACCCCGGCCGCGCCGCCGCCGCCCGCTGCGCACACACGCCCCGGGGCCTCGCATGGCCGCCGCCATCTTGCGACGGGCACGCTCCCGCCGGCGCCGCCGCCCGCGTCGTCCGGAGCGCGCACGTCGGCAATGACCCGCCCCTTCGCGCGCGCCCGCGCCCCGCCGGCCCCTCCCCCTCCGCGCGCGCCCGCCCCGCCCCGCCCCCGGACGCGCCGCGCCGCGGGGGCTGGCCCTGTCCCCGCTCCACCAATCAGACCGAGGTGGGCGGGCCGGCCGCGCCCTCTGACCTCGCGGGCCCCGCCCCCAGGCCCACGCGGCCCGGACGCTGCCGGAAGTGCCGCGCGAGTCGCGGGGCCGGGAAGCATGGCGGGCGCGCGGGCGCGGCGGCGGCGGGCGCGCGGCCCGGGGAGCGGCCCGGGAGCCGGAGCCGGCGCCTGCGGAGGTGACAGCGGGCGCCGCGGGGGGGCCGGCCGGGCCGGGCCGGGCGGCGGGCGGGGCCGCGTGTGGGGAGCGGCGGGCGCGGCCGCACGTGGGAGCGGGGCCCGGGGCCGGGCGGCGGCCCCGCCGCGCTCGGGGGCCAGCGGCGGCCGCGCGTCCTGCAGCTGGGGCGCGCGCGAGGGCGTCCTGCCCGAGAGCCGCCTGCGGTCCCCGGAGAGCCGCGCTGCCCTGCCGGCCGCGGCCGCGCCGCGGGGAGGTGCGGGTGGGGAAAGGCCCGGCGCGGGGCGGGCGCGGCGTGGAGCGCGGGCCTGATCGCGGGGCTGGTCCCTGCAGCGCCCTCCCTCCGGCGCCCCTACTCCCCGCCCCGCGGGTGGCAGCGATTCCGGCCTCTCGGACAGCGAGGAGAGCGTGTTCTCGGGCCTGGAAGATTCGGGCAGTGACAGCAGCGAGGACGCCAGCGCCGAAGGACAGGATGGCGCCGGCAGCTCTGAGGGCCACGGCGTCCTGGGGGAGCTCCCGGGACAGCAGGTGGGTGAGCGGTGACTTCGCTGGACAACGGGGGGCCGCGGGTGACCTGAGGGGGGACGACAGTGGCCGCAGCAGGAGCAGGTGTCCGCTCTCGCTCCCGGTGAGAGACACGAGGGAAAGCTCGGCGGAGCTGCACCCCGCCCCAGGCGTGGTGTCCAGAGCTCTGCCCTGGCCGCCCAGGGTCCACACCCATGACACGGCGCGAGAGCCAGGCCTGTCCATCCTTGCCGAGCCAGCCTTCGCCCTCCCGGTGCTGCCCACGAGGAGCCAGAGCCCACCTGCTCCCTGCTCCTGGCTGTGGCCGCGGGTGTGCGTCCAGCCGCCGTGTCAGGCGCCCCTTATCATCAAGGCCGTGTGTCCCGCTCCCCTTGAAGAAAGTACAAACATGTGGAGGGGCCTGGAGGTCTGGGAGGGGCGCAGGCAGCCCCAGGGAGGGCTGTGTGTTGCTCTCCCGAAGAGCTGGGCACCCCGCTTCTGGAGGAAGAGCCCTCAGTCTGGGCCGCCCCCTGTCAGGCTCTGGGGACCAGCCCCAAGGCTTCCCTGGACACAGCCCTGCTCTGGGCTCTCCTCTGCTGTGCGCTTGCCTCATTCTGTCCGGTTGCTCCTCAGGCTCCAGGCGGGCACCTGCGCTGGCTGAGCCCTGGTCCCCGGACGGCCATCCTGGTGGAAGCCGGGCCACAGGCTGCCTCTGCTCCTGCGCGTTCGATCCTCACACCCGGCGCGCGGGTGTCACGCGCAGGCCTGTCATGCTTGGAGCCGAGGTCCGTGAGGCCTACCCAGCAGGTGCCCTTTGCTCCGTGGGCTGCTGGCCCAGCAGCCATCACGGCTTCGCCTTTTGTTCCCTTTTTCTAAAACCTCCTAGTTTTTCCTAGAATGTAGCTGCTATCGTGGCCCCAGATGCATCTTTGTTTTCCCCGGAGCTGAGCAGCTGGGGGTGTCCCTGTTCTTCTCCGGGTCAGGATACGCCATGCTCTGGCCCTGCTCAAGGCCGCTCTCAGCCGTGTCTGGAGTCGCTTGATGGGGGTGGCGGGAATGGCACTGCCTGCTCCTGGGGGCCAGCCGCCATGGGGACTGCCGGGACAGTCGGGGTATAGGGGTGCACCCCAACTGGCTGGCCTGGGTGTCAGCAGAGGAACCGTGTCGGGTCAGTGGTGGGGGCTGCTGCTTAGGTGGAGCACAGGTACGAGCAGCAGCCCATGGGGTCTACGCCAGCCGAAGCTTCAGCTTGCGGGAGTCATAGCCGTGCCAGTTTTTCACTGTGTGTGGTTTTGGGGGTGAGAGCCCCACAGGCCCCAAAAGCCCCCGCTATGCTGATGGTGCATTTTCCAGGGGCCGCTCATCCCTGGGCACCCTGTGAGCACCCACGTCTGCCTTGGTCCCCTGGCCCCAGTGCCTGCCCTTCCCTGCCCCACAGGCACTGGGACTCTGGCTCTGCCCTGGCGCAGGCCCCGCCCGGCTCGCCCATGTTCTTCACTGCCTATGTGCTGGCGCTGCCAGGCTTCTGTGGATAGTAGGTTTCCCCTGGGCACTGCTGGCTCTGAGGACCCTTAGATTGGCCCAGAGGCCCCACGTGCGCACCCCTGTCTTCCCATCTGGTTGCCCCAACTTTGCCTGCTGATGCCTGTAGCCAGAGGCCAACCTGCCTTCCCCTCTCTGGCCCCCTGCCCAGGAGTCTCCAGCCCCAGGTTGGGGTGCTCGCCTTCAGGCGGATCTGGAGGGCACTGCGGGCAGCGTGGAGTCCGCCGGGGCAGGTGGATCCGCGCAGACCCCTGTGGCGGTACTTGTGCTCCTGAGGACCAGGGGTCCAGGGTGGCCAAGCAGGACGCAGCTGCCTCTGCTCCAGGCCACTGCGGCAGCCTCGCCGCCCCCAGCGGCCGCGCGCTCCGCTGCCCCCTGGTGGAGGCCGGCAGCCCTGCAGCGTCTCCTGCTGGCTGCTGGGGCCAGGGCTCCTGTCCCGACCCCCTGGCAGGGGCTGTGGGCAGCCCTGGGCCCGCACCCACACACCCTGCTCTGGCGGGGCAGGTGGGGCGGGGCGCTGGCTGTGTCTGGGGCAGGCCCGGGGACTCCGTGCCCCCACCCGCTGCGGTGACCCACTTTATGCGGGCAGTGCTCCCGCCCCGCAGCCGGGCAAGGGCGGGGGACACGGAGACCGAATCCCGCCTCGTTCCCGTCTGGAAAACACTGTCCCTCCCGCCCCTTCGCGTGGAGCGCGGCCGGGGCGGGCGGGCGGCCGGGCCTCAGGTGTGGCCGGTGTCCTGGGCTTCAGGTTGGGGTGGGGTTCTTGGGGCGACACTGCTGACCTGGTGGGAAGCCCCGGCCATGGCGCCTGCATTCTGGGCCCCAAGCAGCGGGACTGGACACTGCTCGCAGCCGTGAGACCTCAGGGCGAGGGTCCTGCTCGGGGACTGGCCGTCGGGCCGGGGGCTGAGAGCCACACGCTGCCCTCAAGTGCCTGGGCAAGATGGCCGCCCCTCCCTGGCTGGGCCGCCCGAGAGCCCGCTGCAGCCGGGAGTCCAGTCTTGAGCGAGAGTTGCGCGCGTGGGGCTGCCCATGCCCAGGGCCGCGAGGCCCGGCGTGACCGTGCTCCCCTCTCTCCGCAGGCCCCGAGGACAGAGGTGCCGCGCGCGCAGGACCGGGACGAGTACGCGGAGGACAGCTCCGACGAGGAGGTGGGCCGGCCGGCCTGCTGCGGGCGGCGGGGGGGCTTCCGTCCGTGCGGGGCGGCAGGTCCTGGCGTGGCCCGAGTGGGCGTCCTGGCTGCGCGCCGCGCGGGTCTGGAAGAGCGATTTCGGGCTCGAGACACATGACCGAGGGCGAGGGCGGCGGCGAGGGCCCCGGCCAGGCCCGTGTGCTCCAGGGCTGGGCTCCGGCCCGGGCGAGCAAGGGGCGCTGGGGGCCGCGGCCTCAGGTGGGCATGGGCCCCGCCCCGCGGCCTCGGAGGCCCCTCGCCCTCGGGTTTGTGGGGAAGGAACAGGCTGGGCGCCGACCGCCTGTCCCGTGCCTGGGGCAGCGGGTCTGGGCTGGGAGGTGTCCCCCAGAGCCCTACCTGCTGCCGTCAGCCCCCCACAGCCCCCCCCCGCGTGCCCCCCCCCCCCCCCCCCCCGCTTTTGGCAGCGGCTGCAGGAGCCTTGGCCGCCGGCCCGCCCGGTCTCTGCGTTCAGAGAACAGAGACAAAACAAAATAAATTGGTTTCCTGGCCGGAGCAGCGGGCGCTCAGCGAGGGAGGCCGGCCTGCGGCTCCCTGCCCGCCCCCCCCACGGCCCTGGCTGTCGGCAGCCACATCCTGTCGGCTACTTTTTTATATTTGGTATTTTGAGAAATCGACGGTGATGGTAACGGGAGAGGCGGGGGCGGGGCCTGCGCTGCCCACGGTGCTGCTGCTCCTCCGGCCGCCGGGCCCCTGCGGGGCTGCGGGGCTGCGGGGGCGCTTCCTCCCGCGATGACTATCCCATATGGCGGCCTGAGTGACAGGGGAGCCGGCCCGGCTCAGCCCGGGCGAGGGGGCGGCGGGCTCAGCTTTCAGAGCCGGGGCCAGGGCGCTGACCCCAGGGGCCGTCTGGCCTGGTCGGGCTGGGGCGAGCCTGGGGGAAGGGCCGGGGGGCTGTCGCCCTGCCGGGGTGGCGGCCTGAGGGGTGCGCCCCGCGGTGCTGAGGTGGAGGCCAGGGTGCGGGGGTCTACCCGGGGCCCCCCAGGGCCTCCTACCCTCGTGGCCCCCTTGGGCCTGCGGGGACCAGGGACCACCGCCCCGCGTGAGGGCCTGGCTCCTGCGGCTGCCCCCAACTCAGCCAGGCTGTGCCCCGAGAGCCCCGCGTGCCGTGGGCCTGGGGGTCCTGCCCCCGCGTGTCCCGCTCTCCCTCCTTCCAGACCACCCCACCTCACAGACGTGACTTCATCCGGCGGGGGGACCCTGGGGGCAGGGACGGGCTGGGGGCCGGCCGCCGGCCGTCCCGCAGCCGGGGACACGGAGGCCCGTGTCCTGGTGCTCGGGAGACGCGGGGTGGCCGGAGGGTCCCCGCAGGCCCCACGCGCCGGCTGGGCTGGGCTGAGGGCCCCGCGGGGCGGCCGCGCGTCTGCTCTCTGGCAGCGCCGTTAATGGCTTCCCCCAGCTACTGAACCGGCAGCTGCCTGGGCCTGGCGGCCTCGCTCCCGGGCGCCGCCCCCGCCGCCCTCAGACTGCAGCCTGCAGCCTGCTCGCGCTGGCCGCCCGCCCGGGGCTCAGGTTTCCCTGTTTGTGGAGAGCGCCGGCCTCCCTGGCGGCCTCCACCCCCGCGGCTGCCTCCGAGGGGGCCTCTGGCCCCCGCCTGGCCCTGCGGCCTTCCCGCAGGGTGCCCCGCCCCAAGCTGAGCCCCACACGGTGGGGGGCGCCCCAGGGGGCCTGGATCTCGGGGCCCTTGGTCGAGGTGCTCCTTGAGAGGAGTTGGGGGGGCTGGGCAGGGCCAGAGAAGCTGGGGCGGGGGTGGACCTGGGCGCCCGGCCTCCAGGGGGGCGACTGGGTGGGGGGCGCCCGCCTGCCCTGGGCCGGCCCTTGGGGGGCGGCTGTCCCCAGGGGAGGGGCCGGGTCTGCAGCTGTGTCTGGTGAGCCGTCTGTGAGCGGGCCGTGGCCACGCAGCCCGTGCCCACCCCACGCTGCCCGGCGTTCCTAGGGCCCCCTGCCTGCGGGAAGCAGGGAGTCAGGGTGTCTGCATGAGAACGCCTGTTGCCCCTGGGCAGCCCTGGACGCCTGATGCTCGCCCCCCACCTCCCCCCCGGCTCCACGGCCCGCCCTGTCCCGGAGGTGCCAGCATCCCACCCGTGGGCATCACGGCTCTGGCCCGAGCCGGGGCCTGGGCAGCAGCATCTGAGGGTGGACGGACGGCCTGCCCAGCGTCCGCGGGGCTCCGAAGGCCCAGGTCGGGAGGGCCCAGCCGGCCCTGTCCCCTGGGCTTGGCCTTGGCCCGGCCTCCTGGGGCCCTGGGCCGCAGGAGCAGGCGGCCTCTCCCCAGGCTGCGGCCTCTCCCCAGGCTGCGGCCTCCGGTCGGCAGGTGAGCCCGGCAGCACCCCGGGAGGAGGAAGGAGGCGCAGGAAGGCCGGAGCCCGGCGGGCGGGAACACTGCCGCATTGTAATCGGAGAGGGGCAGGGGAAGAGAGCCCGCGCGAGGGCGGCTGACCCCGCGCTCCCCGGGGACAGGTGGGAGCGGGAACGAGGAGCTAGTGAAGGATTCCAGAGGTGGGCTGGCTTCCTCTCTCGCAGACAGACTCGGGAGGGAGCGGGCAGCCGGCCAGGCCGTACCTGCACTTCCAATCTCGGCCTGACAGCTGCAGCCACTTTGGGGGAGGGGAGGGGCGCAGTGAGCGGCGGAAAAACCCCAGCCGCTCTCCAGCGGTGGCCGAGTCCGGCGGGGGGGGGGGGGGGGGGGGGGGGCCCTCCGCGGCCACCGGTCCTCACCGCGGGGCGCCTTGCGAACGCCTCGGGCTGGGCTGGGCGGCCCAGAGGGGTCTCGCTGGGGGTCACATGGGCTTCCTGGCAGCCGCAGGTGCTTGGGGGGGCGGGTGGGCGCCGTGACGAATCATGTGTGCCGCGGGCTCCCCGCCGGCCGGAGCTGACAGCGGGCGGCCGAGTGTTTCCAGCCCGCCTGGCCGGCGCACCGGCCTTTCCAAGCCTCCAGGCCCCCGCCCTGCACCCTGGCGGTGCTGGGGGCCACCGTGGGCCGGAGCACCTGCCACCCTGAGGGGGGCCGCAGAACTCTAGCTGGACCCTCTGGGTGGGTGGGCGGGGTCTCAGGTCTCCCCACCCCTGGTGGGGCTGAGTCTGGGGGGAGGGAGCGCTGACCCTCCTGCTGGTGCCGGACCCTGGGCCGCCGCTGCCCGTGTGGCTCGGGGTGGCTCCTGGGTCCTCTGCCTGGCTCAGCTGGGCATCATGGGTGGGGGTTCACGAGGGAGCTCGGCGGAGCTGGACAGGAGGCGGGGGGGCGGGCAGGCTGCACCCCCTCTAGAGCTGCACTAGGGCCCAGGGCTAGGGAGGGACCGGTGCCCTGCGCCAGCTGCACCCATCCCTGACCTGGGCTGGGGAATGCTGGCACGCTGGCCCATCCCCCCACGTTGGCCAGAGGGGCTCCTTCAGGGCTCGGGGAGGAAATTTGGGGTGGGCGTCTCCGAGGGAAGCCTTCACCCAGAGCCCCTCCTGCCCGCTCCTGTCAGGTGGGGCACAGCCCCGCCCTCAGGACTCTGGCTTTGCGAGTATCCCCCCAAGTCACACCCCTGTTTCCTCCTGGGGGGCCGCCCTGGCTCTGCTCTGCTGGGGTGCCCACGCGGGCCCCGGCACCTGCCCCTCTGAGGTTCCCAAGAGCACGCCAGTGGGGGCCCCGGGCCGGCTGGGAGGCCTGGGCAGCACCTGGCACTCTGGCCCATTCCTGCCGCTTCCGGAAGTCGGACTGTCGGCCGCCTGGGGGGTGCAGGGCCCCCCTTCTCCTCTGTGGTGCCCGTGTGGCTCACAACGCGAGCCGATCGTCACCTGCAGGCTTTAATGACCAGCCAGCTGTGCGCGGCTCTGGCGCCGAGTCCCCCCCTGTGTCCCCCCCTCCCCCCCCCCCCCGCCCTGGAGAGGTCCTGGGGTGGGGGAGCCGGCGGAGGGCCCTGCCGCCCTCTCGGGGGCCCGGGTTGGGTGCACACGGGCAGCGGCTGCTTGGTCCAGGGCCCCCACCCATCTTGCTGGGCAGTGCCCTCCCTGTGTTCCTCGGCCACTTGCCAGTTGGGGCGCCTGGGCAGAGTCTGGGGTGCTCCGGCCCACAGCCGGGAGCTCGCCCTCCCGCCGCCGGGCGAGGGCTGTGGGAGACTGCAGCCCGCGGCCCCTTCTCCGGGCCTGGCGGGACAGGCTGCCCTGGGTGCCGGGAAGCGGGGGCCGCGGTGCAGAGGAGGGCCGGCCGGGGCCGGGCTCGGGGTGGGGCGCAGGGTGGGCGCTGAGCCTGGCAGGTCAGAGGGGGCTCCGTGCGTGGAAGGTACCGTTTTGACTTTAATTATACAAAATTTGCAGACTTTATATTATCGTATCAGAGGCGCAAGAGGCCAGCACAGTGACCAGGGCGAGCCCCAGTGGGGGCCGGTGTGGAAAGTTCCAGGCGCCAGGCCCACGCGGGCCGGCTGAGTCCTGCTGCCCGCCGGCCGTGGGCCTCCTCGTGGCCGTGGGGGCGGCGCGGGCGGGCGGGCGTCGCTCTAGCTGCGAATGGCCGTCTTTCTGTCCCGGTCCTTGCTCTGCGGGGGAGGGGCAGCGTCAGGCGGGCGGCCCCAGCCGGCCCGCGGGCTCCCGCGGCGCTGCCCCGGCCGGCTGAGCGCCCCGCCAGGCTGCCCCGCGCGGCGCGGGGAGGAGCGCGCGGCCGCGATTGTAAAATTAAATTTCCCAGATGTTCAGGCCCCAGGAGCGCGCGCCGTCTGGAGAGGAAATGGGCTCGGGCGACCCTCGCCGTCCTCCGCCGGCTCGCCCGGCTCTTCCGGCGCCACCGGGCCGCGCGCCCCGGCCCCGGCGGCCTCCCGCGCAGCCCCGCGGGCGGGGCCGCCTGCGGGGCAGGGCGAGGGGCGCTGCGCCCTTCCCGGGGGGCGGGCCGCCCGCCTCTCCTCCTCGCGCGGGCGGTGTCCCGGGCCCCCCGCCCCCCCGCACCTGTGCCGGGGCGGCCGGGCGGCCCGCGAGGCGGCGGCAGGTGGGGGCGGCGGGGCGCGCACTCACCAGCTTCCTCTGGTTGCTGAGGCAGAAGGTGCAGATCTGCTTGGGCTGGGCGTTCTCGCCGGCGCGCGCGGGGGGCGCGGGCGGGGGGCTGCCGGCGCGCGCCGCGTGGAAGAAGGCGGGCCCCGCGTGGCAGGGCTGCCCGTCGCCGCAGGCCTCGCCCAGCAGCAGCACGTTGCCCAGGTGCGAGATGTAGCTGGAGGCCAGGCGCAGCGTCTCGATCTTGGAGAGCTTGCGGTCGGCCGGCTCGGTGGGGATGAGCGTGCGCAGCGCCGTGAAGGCCGTGTTCACGCTGTTGGTGCGGTCCCGCTCGCGCGCGTTCGCCGTGTGCCGCTGCCGGGGCTCGCGGCCGGGCCGCCCCCCGGCCCCAGGCCGCCGCCCCCCGCCCGCCGGCCCCCGGCCCGCCGCCGCGCGCCCTGGAGGCCGCAGCGCGCCGCGTGCACGCGGCAGGGCTTCTCGTCGGAGCCGGAGCTCTCGCTGCCGCGGTCCTCGTCCTCCGACAGCGGGCTCACCTCGGGGCACAGGTAGCGGCCGGGCGGCGCCGGGCGCAGCATCGCGAAGGACATGGGGCCGCGGGCGCGGCGTCAGCTCCGCCGCGCGCCGCTCATGCCGCCGCCGCCGGCGCGGGCCTCGGCGCCCGGGGCCGGGGAGGCGCGGGGTGGGTGCCCGCGGAGGCGGAGCGGCGCCGCGCGCACGTGTGCGTCCCGGGCTGCGGCGGGGCGGCCGGCCCGGCCTTTATAGCGGCGGCGGCCCCTCCCCCGCGCCGGCCCGCCTCCTCCCCGCCCCCGGCCCCCGGAGGCCGCCGCCCGCCCGGAGCCGCCGCCGTCCTCTGCCTTCCCGCCGCCGCGCGGAGGGGGTCGTGGCCGCGCGAGCGCCGGCTGGGCTCGGAGGCCGGCCGGGGGCGGGAGCCCGGGGAGCCCCTGCGGCCGGGGCGGCGCCGCCGTCCCCTCCCCCCAGGGCGCGGAGGGTCAAGCCCGCGACCCTGCCTCCCCCCCTGGCATGACCAAGTGAACCCAGCTGCCCGGCCGGCGCCTGGCCACACCCTGTCTGCCGCTCCCTCCCATGTGCGCTCGCGCTTCTGTGCCAGGTGGCTGGAAGCGGGGCACGGCGGGGGCCGGGGCTCCCGTGCCCCGGCGCGGGCAGCAGATGTGCGCGCGGGGCGTCCCAGGCCGGCCTGCACCTGCCACCTTCCGGCCCGACCCCAGGCCGGCCCCGGTAGCGGCTAGGCCCTCCGCTCGGAGCCGCCGCCGCCCGCCCTGGCGGAGCCCCAGCCCTGCCCGCTGCACCTGGGGCGCCCCGGGCCTGTCCACTTCCAGCAGGCACAGGGGGTGCGTCTGGGTGGGAGGGGCTGCAGGCGGCAGGTCCGCGGGCGGCCGGGTGGGGGGCAGAGCGCAGGGCTCCTGTGCTGTGGCCAGGGGCCGGGGCTGCCAGCCGCGCAGTCTCTCCGGCCCTCCCGCCTGGGCAGCGGCCCCAGCTCCTGGCTGGCGCAGGGAGGGTGGTGGCTGGCAGGGGCCTCCGCCAGGAATGTGTCCCGGAATGTGGCTGCTCTGCCCGCGGTGGGGGGGTGCCACCAGGGGGCGGGGGTCCTCCCGTGCCTACCGGGGGCAGGAGCAGTGGTGCCTGGTGTCCGGGCTCAGTGGGGTCTTCCCCAGGCCCTGTCTGTGGCTCCCCACATCTGCCTAAGGCCCCTGCCAGGGGAGGGAGCCCGCGGGCGATGAGGTCACCCTTGTCTGTGGCTGCCCAGAGCCCTGGCCAAGGAATCCGGGGGGAGGCTCTGGGGTTGGCACTGCTTCAGTGGAAAATGTGAGGGGGCAGCCTCGGCGCCTGGGGGCTGGGGGCTGCGCCTGTTGCCCTGCCACGTCAGACCCCGGGAGGGTGCCTGGGTGCTGCCGCCCGGTGGCCTGGAGCCCGGTCGCCCGCGCCCTTCCCCGCGCCTCCGCCCCCGGCCTTGAAGGGGCGCAGGGCGGTGCCCCGGGCTGACGTGCGGCCCCGCTGCCCCAGGATGTGCGGAACACGGTGGGCAACGTGCCCCTGGACTGGTACGCGGACTTCCCCCACGTGGGCTACGACCTGGACGGCAGGCGCATCTACAAGCCCCTGCGCACCCGCGACGAGCTGGACCAGTTTCTGGCCAAGATGGACGACCCGGACTACTGGTGGGCGGGCGTGGCGGGCGGCCGGGCGGGGCGCGGCGGGCGGCCGGGCGGGGCTTGAGTGCTCCGGGATGCCCTGTCCCCCAGGCGCACCGTGCAGGACAGGATGACCGGGCACGACGTGCGGCTGACGGACGAGCAGGTGGCCCTGGTGCACCGGCTGCAGAGGGGCCAGTTTGGGATGTGAACTTTGACCCCTATGAGGTAGGTGTGTGCCAGCGGCTGGCGGGGGCGGGCAGCCGGGGGCCCTGGCCCACGCCCCCCCGCGCTTGGCCCCCAGCCCGCCGTGGACTTCTTCAGCGGGGACCTCATGATCCACCCGGTGACCAACCGCCCGGCCGACAAGCGCAGCTTCATCCCTTCGCTGGTGGAGAAGGAGAAGGTGGGGCCCCTCCCCGGCCCCCCCACCCCGGCCCCCGCCCCCCGCCCGCCCTCGCACTGACCCCGCCCCGCGCAGGTCTCCCGCATGGTGCACGCCATCAAGATGGGCTGGATCCAGCCGCGCCGGCCCCGCGACTCTGCGCCCCGCTTCTATGACCTGTGGGCCCAGGAGGACCCCGACGCCGTGCTCGGCCGCCACAAGATGCACGTGCCGGCCCCCAAGTTGGCGCTGCCCGGCCACGCCGAGTCCTACAACCCGCCCCCCGAGTACCTGCCCAGCGAGGAGGAGGTGGGCGCTGCGGGGCGGGCCCCGGGGGCGCGGCGGGGCCGGGCGCCGCGCTCACCCCGCGCGTGTCTCCCCAGCGCCGGGCGTGGATGCAGCAGGAGCCCTCGGAGCGGCAGCGCAGCTTCCTGCCGCGCCGGTTCGCCAGCCTGCGGGCCGTGCCCGCCTACGGCCGCTTCGTCCACGAGCGCTTCGAGCGCTGCCTCGACCTGTACCTGTGCCCGCGGCAGCGCAAGATGCGGGTGTGCGGGGCGCGGCGGGCGGGCGGGCGGGCGGGGCGCGGCCGGGGCGGCCAGTGACCGCGTGTCCCGCCGCAGGTGAACGTGGACCCCGAGGACCTCATCCCCAAGCTGCCGCGCCCGCGGGACCTGCAGCCCTTCCCCACGTGCCAGGCCCTGGTGAGCGGCGACAGGGGCGGGGCGGGCTGGGGGGGCGCGGCCACGGCTCACCGTCCCCTTCGCAGGTCTACAGGGGCCACGGCGACCTCGTCCGCTGCATCAGCGTCTCCCCCGGCGGCCAGTGGCTGGCTTCGGGTGGGTCTGAGGGGGGCTGCCCGGCACGGGGGGGTAGGGGGGTGGCATGGGCGGCGCTGAACCCCCCATCTCTGCCCAGGCTCGGACGACGGCTGCGTGCGGCTCTGGGAGGTGGCCACCGCCCGCTGCATGAAGACCCTGCCCGTGGGGGGGGTGGTGAGGAGCGTGGCCTGGAACCCGCACCCCGCGGTCTGCCTGGTGGCCGTGGCAGTGTGAGTGGGGGCGGCGGGGGGGGGGCGGCGCGGGAAGAGGGGGCGCCTGGGTGGGGCTGAGCCTGCCTCTGGTCCCCAGGGAGGACGCCGTGCTGCTGCTGAACCCGGCCCTGGGGGACCGGCTGGCGTCGGGCAGCACTGACCAGCTGCTGAGCGCCTTCGCCCCGCCCGAGGAGCCTGTGCGGCAGCCGGCCCGCTGGCTGGAGGCGTCGGAGGGGGAGCGGCAGGAGGGCCTGCGGCTGCGCATCTGCCACGACCAGGTGGGCGGGGCTGGGGGGGCTGGGGGGCAGGGCGGGCCAGAGGGAGGCCGGGAGGCCAGGCCCAGCCAACCTCTCCCACCTGCAGCCGGTGACTCAGGTGACCTGGCACGGGCGTGGGGACTACATGGCCGTGGTGCTGGCCACCTCGAGCCACACCCAGGTGCTGATCCACCAGCTGAGCCGGCGCCGCAGCCAGAGCCCCTTCCGCCGCAGCCACGGGCAGGTGCAGCGCGTGGCCTTCCACCCCACGCGGCCCTTCCTGCTCGTGGCCGCGCAGCGCAGCGTCCGCCTCTACCACCTGCTGCGCCAGGAGCTCACCAAGAAGCTGCTCCCCAACTGCAAGTGGGTGTCCAGCCTGGCCGTGCACCCCGCAGGTGAGGGGCGCGCACCCCGCGGGTGGGGGCGGGGGCCGCGCCGCCAGGCAAGGCCGCCAGGCCCCCATCTCTTCTGTCCCCAGGTGACAACATCATCTGCGGCAGCTACGACAGCAAGCTGGTGTGGTTCGACCTAGACCTGTCCACCCGGCCCTACCGGGTGCTGCGGTGAGGGGGCGCGGGGGCGGGGCTGGGGGCGGGGCTGGGGCCGCCCCTGCCACGTCCTCACCCGCCTCCGCCCCCCCCCCCCCCCCCGCAGGCACCACCGGAAGGCGCTGCGCGCCGTGGCCTTCCACCCCCGCTACCCGCTGTTCGCGTCGGGCTCGGACGACGGCAGCGTCATCGTCTGCCACGGGACGGTGTACAGGTGCGGGCGGGGCAGGTGCGGGCGGGCGCGGGCGCAGGGTCTCCCCATGCTGAGCGCGCCCGTCTCCCCACAGCGACCTGCTGCAGAACCCGCTGCTGGTGCCCGTGAAGGTGCTCAAGGGGCACGCGCTGAGCCGGGACCTGGGCGTGCTGGACGTGGCCTTCCACCCCAGCCAGCCCTGGGTCTTCTCCGCCGGCGCGGACGGCACCGTCCGCCTCTTCACCTAGCCGCCCCCACGGCGGGCCCGCCCGCCCCAATACAGGCCTCCCTGCCCGTCCGCCCGCCTCTCTCGCCTCGGCCCTTGCCTCCCGCGCCGTCCTGCGGGCCAGCGGGGTGCCCCGCCGCGCCCCGCTGGTCTTTCCCCACATCACCGCACCCCCCACGTCACCTGTTGAGGAGCAAATGGCTTTATTGGAACTGGGGGTACGGCGGCCCCACTTGGCCTCCAGCAGCGTCCTGTCGCCGGGCGGCCGGCCGGGGCGGCGGGGGCTCCCCGCCTCAGGCGAACCTCACCAGGCGGCCCAGCGTCTCGGCCGCGCGGCCGCGCACGGCGGGGGCGGGGTCCCGCAGCAGGAGCTGCAGCGCTGCGGGGAGAGGGGTGGCTGTGGGCGCCAGCGCCCCGCTAACGAGCTGCGCGCCCGGGGCAGGACCCCGCCGCGCCCCCTCCCCGCGAGGGGCCGCCCACCACCACCCTCCGAAGGGCCTCTGCCGGGAGGGCTCGGGAGCCAACGGAAAGATAGTTTTTCCTTTTTTAGTGTTTTTTAAGCTCTTGGAACAGTTGGGAAGTTTCCGTGAATTACTAGAGACGATGAGGTCACCAGTGACAGGGAAAAAATCCTTGAAATCCAGGAAAATCACTTAGTCCCCGGTGCCCGCAGGGTCGAGCGGCCCGCAGGTGGGGGGCGCGGGGGGGGGCTCACCGGCCAGGAGCTGCTCTAGGTCCACCTGCGTCCGCTGCTCGGGCTCCGCGTGCAGCACCAGGAACCCTGGGGGGGGGGGGCGTCAGGCGGGGCGGGGCGGGGGGGGCGCGGGGGCGGGGAGAGGCGCTCACCCGTGAGCAGGGGAGCGGCCGCGCGCACATCCTCCCAGCAGCTCTTGAAGTAGAACAGGCTGGTGCTGGCCAGGCGGCCCAGCAGCTCCGGGAAGACGCGCATCTGCGGAGGCAGGCGGGGCGGTGGGCGCCGACCCCACCCCCCAACCCCCCCCCCCCCGCCCAGCGCCCCCGCCCCCCCCTCACCAGGTGCTTGCAGGTGGCGTTGAGAAACTCCCCGAAGTGCAGCCCCGGGCCGTCCTGCAGGTGCTTCTGGAAGGCGGCCGACAGCTCCTCGCACTGCAGGCTGGATGCGCAGGCGCGCAGGGCGAACCTGCAGGCCTGGGGGGGGGGGGGGCTGAGTCCCGCCCGCCCCCCCCGCCCCCGCCCGCCTGCCCCGCCCCACCGCCGCTGGGGCCTCACCTCAGCCACCCGGGCCTGGGGGTCCTGCAGGTGCAGCAGCAGGGGCGCCAGCCCGCCCACCACCTGCTCCAGGAAGACGTCCTCGCAGGCCCCACGGCAGGCCTTGTTGAGGTGCCCAAAGAGCTGGATGGACGCGGCCCGGAACTCCATCTTCTCCTGGGGGACACCAGTGTCACCCCACAGGGATCCAGCCCAGCCCCAAACAGGCAGCCAGCCAGGGCCTCTCTTCTCCTCCTGCAGGGAAGGCCCAACTGGGGGCGGCAGACGCCAGCCCGCGGCCACAGGGTAGGAGCCCAGGCTCTCAAGGCTGGGGACCCAGGCGCTGGGAGGAGCGGCGGGCGGGCCTGGGCGAAGGCGCCAGCCCACCTGGCTAGGGTGTTGGGGCTCTGGGTGCCCCCGGTGCCCGCCCCACCTACGCTGTCGAAGAAGGGCCGGATGCGGATGGCCACATGCAGCAGCACCGAGTGCAGCTCCCAGGGGTCCAGCAGGTCCAGCAGCCTGGCCAGGCCCACCATGGCCTCCAGGGCCACCAGGCTGTGTGGGTCGTCCCCGTCATCCAGCCCAGCAATCATGGCCGCCAGCAGCTGGGGGCTGTGGGCCTGCACCTGGAGCACCACCTGTGCTCAGGGGCAGGGGCAGGGGCAGGACCGCCTGCTCAGGCCTCCCGGACCCCTTCCCCGGCCTCCTGTGCCCCTTGGGGGGGCCGCCAGCTCACCTGCTCCCGAGAGCCAGAGGCCATGTTAGCCAGACCGCGCAGCACCAACCGGCGCACGCTGGCGCTCGTGTCCTTCTGCCGGGCCACCAGGGTGTCCAGCAGCGAGTCCAGCAGCATCAGGTCATTGACCACCTTGCAGCTGAGCAGCTGGGGGCAGAGGTGCCGTGACCCAGCGAGCTGGGCCTGGGCGGACGACCCGCACGAGCTGGGGGGATGCCACACTTGCTGGCCTGGGTGCCCCCGCCCTCACGGCCCCCCGTTCAGAGGGTGTGGGGTGATGTGGGCCAAGGCTGGGTTGGTGCCACCCCTCACCTTGCCCCGGCTGCTGGCCTGCTCCCCGGCCGCACAGAGCAGGTCCCCAGGCCTGACACGACTCCCTTCCCCGCTGGCAGCCCCTCGGCGGGCACAACCGCCACGCATACCTCTGCCAGGAAGGCCGTGGCAGTGATCCTCTGGGCCTCGTACACGCTGCTCTGCGCACACAGGAGCGCCCGCACCACTGGGGGCAGCCGGGGGCCCGCGAGCTTGGCCATGGCACTGGGGATGGAGGACACGCGCGGCCTCAGCGCACCCTGCTGACCGCCACCTCCCACGGTGGGCTGGGCTCTGGGGCCCCGCGGCTTACCTGGCCAGTCGGGCGACCCCCTCCTCATGGCCGGCTGAAGTTTGGAGCAGCTCCCAGGCCCCCTCCAGCTCCACACGCTGCACCACGTCCTCACTGCCGCCCCGGAGCAGCACGGCCTGCAGCGCGGCCACAGCAGAGCTGCGGAGACACGGGCGCCGGCACTCCACCCCCACTGCCCAGCCTCCCCCCCCCCCCACACACACACGGTGGAAACTGGCTGCTCTGTCCTTTGCCCAGACCGTTAATTTTTAAAATTTGGGGAAAAGGTGAAAAAGCTTCCTAAACACCCCAAAAGTTAGTCATAGTCATCTCTAGTTTGGACATTGGCTCAAAACGGAGCTCAGGGGGCGGGCAGGGCAGGGGCTGCTGGCGAGTGTGAGCTTCTGGACTGAGTGTCCCCAGGGTGACACGCCGGGCTCCCCATCCAGTCCAGGCCCCTGCACCCCAGCCAGTTCACATCTGGAGCCCACCCTGGATGTGCTGGGCCCTGGCCCCTACCCAGCCCTCCTGCCTGAAGCACAGGTCGCAGGTACAGGCCCTGCTTTCCCCACCCTGGGCCCTGAGGACACTGGGGGCCCAGAGCTGACCAGTGGCTGGCATGTGAGGCCGCTCCTGGGCACGCAGGGCAGGCAGCCCTCAAAGCCCGAGTTGCAGGATGCATGCAGGGGCGGTGCCCATGTGGGGTCCACCCCCACCACAGACTGGGCAGTGCTGGAGCTCAGCCATGGTGGGCCTGGCCCTGGGCGGCATGGCCGCATCTGCCAGGGGCCTGCTGCAGTGACATCAGGTACGTGTGGACCAGGCCACCCAGCTGCCATCCGGAGGGCCTGTCGGGCCCCAGGATGGCCGACCCAAGGCTTCTGGGTGGGCCCCACACATGGCAAGGCCCTAGGCAGGGCTGAAGAACAGCTGAGGGCAGCAGGAGCTGAGCCCGGGCAGCGTGGACGCAGCTTGTAGCTCTCACACGTGGCCAGCCCTGTCCCCATGGTCACCTGGGAGTGTGGTGGTCACAGATGGTGGCCACCCACCGCTGGACAGCCCTGGCCCCAGCAGCACAGGCCACACACTTGGGGCAGGTCTTGCCATCCCAGGAGAACTGTCCCACAATTCCAGGGGGCTCCAGACGTGGGGGTTACCACCCCTGGATGTGGGCTGCCCTCAGCCACTGTGGCCAGTCACGGACGTGTTGGGGGCTCTACTAGCTGCCGGGCCTCACGTTCCCCGCAGCACGCTGAGCCACCGGGGCAGCCCTGCCCTATCCGTGATGGGAGGTGGGAGGCAGCGGCCCAGGGTGGCACTGACCCTGCACGTGCCCGCCCGGCCTCAGGGCCTCGTGGTACCTGCAGGGCTCCAGGCTGGGCGTGGAGGGGCCGGGGGTCCTCTTGTCCTTGGCCTGCAGGCTGCGGGGCAGCTGGACATCCAGGGTGCAGCTGACGCGCAGCAGCAGCGCAGCGAAGAGCCTGGGGTAGAGCTCCAGCACAGCGGGGCCGGACTCGGGGGCCGATGCCAGCTCCCGCAGTGCGCACGTGGCCTGGGGACGGCCACCCGTGAGCTTCGCGCCAGGGCCCGCATGTCCCGCCCAGCCAGACCCGGTGCTGCCTTTGTGGCTTTCAGACACAGGTGGCTCCAGGCAGCGGGGCCCCCCACAGGACGGCCTCCCCCAGCTGACTGCCAGGCGGGGAGGGGCACCCATGGCTGGCGCTGGGGCCAGGATGGGGTCTGGGGCGCTGCGGAGCAGGGGCCCAACTGCAGGGAGCAGGGCCGTCGCTCACCGCAAGGGGCAGCAGTGTGGCCACGCGCTCGGGGGAGCTGCTCAGCAGGAAGGTCCGGCTCTCCTTGAAGGGGACATCGCAGCCCATCTTGTCCAGGAGCAGGCCCAGGACCTGGGCTGTCAGACTGGGCTCCATGGCCAGGGCGCGCCACAGGGTGCAGGAGTGGCTGGAAGGAGGTAGGGGACATTACAGGCCAGCAGGGGCCCCCACACCCTCGGCAGCCCCTTGGTTTCGGCTGCAACTGCAGACCTGACATGGGCTAGCGGGGGCAGAACCAGCAATGGGGCAGGGCAGAGCCCGGGCCCTCCATGCAGGCCACGCGAAGGGCACAGAGCCAGCTGGGGCAGAGCCAGCTGGGATGAGCGCAAAGCTCATCCCAGGACTCAGAATGGAGCCTGCAGCCCTTTGGGGACACACAGGACGCCGTGGCTGGGGCACAGGTGGACACGGGGAGCAGGTGGGCGGGGCCCTGGAGGGGCAGGCGTGGGGGGCCGCAGTCGCCTAGAGGAGCACTGGCCCTCCCAGCCAAAACCCGAGTCCTGCAGAGGCAGCCAGGGAGGCACCAGACACTCGGGGGAGCGGCCACCAGGCCCAGGGAGCTCCGGCAGATGCGCTTCAGCGGCAGCAGGTGCTGGGGACCAAGGCGTGGGTGAGCCCCAGGCCTGCTCAGGGAAGCCATGCCAGGAGGCAGCCACACAAACCTGGCCCTGGACAATGCTGTCTGGGTGCCGCGTGTGGCCCTGGTCATGTGCCCGACACCCTGTCCTGGGGCAGAGCACGGGACCAGCAGGTGGGCCTAGTGGTGGGCGGCACCTCAGCGAGGAAGGCCGCAGCCCAGCATCCATAGGCTCAGCTGCAGGGGCCGAGCCTGGCCACGGGGCTGTCCTGGCTCGACAGAGGTTGGCCCACAGGGACAGTTGATGCCCGCAAAGGGCCCTTGAGGAAGCAGGCCTGGCCCCAGCCCTGGGCCCTGGACTCAGACTCCCACGAAGTAGGGGGGACCTAGCTTCAAGCCTAGCAGTACCTGTCAAAGGGCAGGGGGCTGCCCAGGAGGCTGGACACTACGGCTGCATGGTGCTGGGATGCCAGGAGGTAGACACTGTGCCGGGCGGCCTGAAGGACGTGCTCAGCTGGGGTCTCCTGCAGCCGGCAGCGCAGCACGCTCACGACTTCTGGCACCTGCGGATGACGTCACGGTCAGGGCCTGCGCCGGGCGGGGGTCTTGTGGAGCACAGCCCTCCCCCACCCGGGGCAGGGCGACGTCTCTGACCACTGCAGGCCGGACACGCAGCGCGGCCCACCGACCCATGCCCAGTGACGAGGAGGGGGGTGGGGACGGAGACAGCAGTTCCCACCCTGGCTCCGAAAGGCTGGCCGGCAGACTGCTGCGGCAGAAGCCCCAGGCAAGGCCGCAAGGGCAGGGAGGCCTGCCCCAGGCTGGCTCCATGCCCCTGACCAGCCTCCCACCGACGCCAGGGCCTACCGCCTTCGGTGTGATCTCGCCACTATCAGGGCGGCCGGGGACGGCTCTGCCAGGCCCCCCGTCACCTGCTAGGACGCGTCTCTGACCCTCGGTCAGAAAAGCTCCAAGTCCAGCAGTGACCAGGGGTCTCCCGGCGCTGCGGCCCTGCCAACCGCCCTGTCCCCCAGGTCCCCGCCCCACCTTCTCCAGCAGCATGTGGCCGCGCTCCTTGAGCAGGCAGTTGATCATGACTGAGGCCGCTCGGGAGCAGTTCTTGTCCGGGTCGCCCAGGCCCTCAAACAAGGTCAGCAGGAGGCTGATGAGCTGGTCTGGCGGGAGGCGCTTCGCAACGATCTGCACGGCGTGGTCGGTGGCGTCAGGGGCCCGCCCGTGGACGCCTCCCCTGTGGTGAAAGCCAACCCGGCCCCAAGAGGGTGCAGCCGCTCGCCCACCGCCCTGCACCCAGCCAGGGTGCCCCCCAACAAAGGCCACTGCAGGCCACAGGGAGCCCAGGACGGCTCCCGCGCCGGGTGGAGGGGGGCCCGGCTGCCGCCCGCAGTGCACGCACCTGGGCCACACTGTGGCAGGTGTGGAAGAGTATGGCGGGGTCGGGATGCACCAGGCCCTCTCTGAGGGTCAGTAGCTGCTCAGCCACCTCGTCCTGGTAGTCCCGGGAGAAGCCTGCGGAGGCAGGAGCCCCTGTGGCAGCGCTGAGACCTCTCCGGGGCCAAGGCCCGGACTGCCTCCTCTGCCCGCCGCCACTGCCCAGCCAGCGCCTCACCCTCGTAGCCCAGCTGGACGTAGAGCAGGGAGTGGACACAGCTCACCGCCTCCTGGCGGGTGGCAGGCCACAGGTCCGCGCACCGTGGGGCGAAGAGGCCGATGAGGAGCCCCAGGTTGTGGAAGGGCACCAGGGCCTGGGGGCAGATGGGATGGGGGGCTGCTGGAGGGACGCTGGGGGGTGCGGAGGGTGCAATGCTGTGATCCGCCTGTGCCAGATGCCTCATCGTCCCCCTACAGTCCCTGAGGTGGGCACATGTGCCGGACTAACAGGCCAGTGCCCTGCACATGGGGTGTGGGTCGGCTTCCCGCTGTGGGCCCTGGCCCGAGGGCGCCCCTCGGGGGCAAGGCAGCAGGTGTGCCGGCCCATGCAGCCGTCAGGAGGCCGCGGTGGCTACTCACGCTGATGTGCAGGTGCTCCCGGAAGTGCTGCAGCAGGCGAGCGCTCAGGCCCAGGGCCCGGGCCCGCTCGTGGCCCCGTGGGGACTTGATCCAGGGGCTCAGGTGCTGGGGAGAGGGGAGGGGACTGCACACAGATGGCCCCAGGAATAGCCTGTGCCTCAGGGCGGGCAGCCTGTGCCAGGGCTTCCCACACAGGTGCCCCCTGCCCACCCCCCCTTGCCCCAGGCCGGCAGGAGGCAGTGACCCCCATCCCAGCCCCATGCTGTGGAGAGGTCAGGGCCTGTGCACCTGCCCAGGCCAGAGGGGCCGCCCACTTGCTCACAGGCCCCCTGCAGAGAGCTGCCCGCTGCCCGCGGCGGTGCCCACTGCATGCCTACCTCCACCATGGTCTGCAGGCCCTGCGGCGTCGTGTTCCGGCGGAGAAGCCCAGCCAGCAGGTCCCCCAGGGCCTGCATGGTATCTTGGTACAGGACCTGGGAGGAGCGAGGCCAGCCCCACTGTGACCCCACTGCCCACAGCGGCCTTCCCGGTGCCCACCTGGGGTGCCCAGCTCTACCTCCTGGTCCCCAGGGCCCTCGGTCTCCGGCGGCACGGCCAGGATGCTGTGCAGACAGCCCTGGACCAGGCCGGCCTGCAGCTGCGCCTCGAGCGCCGGCTCCAGTGGGCTGGGTGGCGAGTTAAGGGCCAGGTCTGTCTAGCCCGCGCCCCGCCCCGAGGCCCCACGGCCAGGAAAAGATACACCAGGTGGGTGCAGGTGCGCATGGCCGTCATCCGAATCGGTGTCTTCAGGGCGTCTGGGGGCTCAGCCTTGATGAAATCCTGGGGAGCAGCCATGGGCGCGGCTCAGCCCAGCCCAGAGCACCAGGGCCCAGGACCCCCGGGGCCCGGGCCGGCTCCGCTCACCAGCATCTGGGCCACCAGCTCGGCCTTCTGTGTGAAGTGGAAGGCGCCGGCGTGGGCGCTGCTGGAGACGGCCTGGCTGGCCGCGCACACGCTCCGGACCAGGCACAGCTTCAGGGCCGGGTCCTGGGGGGACGCGGGGCTGCAGGCACTGGCTGCGGCCACCCCACCCGTGGGGCTCGGCCCGGAGCCAGGGCGGCTGGCTGCCCGCCACGCTCTCAAGACCCAGGGCTCACCAAGCCACAGGAGGGGCCCAGGCGGGGCCCTGCAGGTGCCCACAGCACTCAAAGACCCACACGGCCCCGTACCCTCCCCCGCGGGCGGCCGAAGGGTCCCCGCAGCCAGCAGGCGAGGGACACAGGGGGCAGCCGTGCAGAGGTGCCACCTGCCTGCCCACCCCCTGGGGTTCTAAGCATCAGGGAAGGGGCTGATGAGGCTGTCCTGGGCGCAAGGGGCCTGCCTCATTCTGGCAGGCTGGGGAGCAGGGACCCCTCCCCTCCCTGCCCCCACAGCCTGCTCTTACAGGGGAGAACCTGACCTACAGCCCCAGGGTGACCCCGGGCGAGGGAAGCCTGTCAGCCGCGCCAGGCAACAGGCAGGCAGGGCAGAGCCAGAGGGGGCCGCAGCCACGAGGCTCCCAGTGGCCCCTCAGCAGGGCAGTGGCTCCCAGGCCCCCATGCTGGCCCCAAGGAAGCGAGGCCTGGCCATCGAGCACTGTACCTTGCTCTCCACCTTCACTCCCAGAACCTGGACAGCAAAAAGCCGGGGGTTATCAGGGCACCCTGGTGGCCCTGCCCACCGCCAGGCGTGCGCCCACCTTGGTGTGGAAGCACAGGAACATGTTCCTGAGGATGTCAGCCTCCAGCCGGGCCAGCACCAGCTCCCGGGGCGCCTGGGCGGCCACCTGGCCGTAGCACAAGATCAGGGTGCTCCTCACACGCTCCACCTCAGTCTCGCTCCGCTCCTGTGGGCCGGGCCAGGCTTCAGGAACTCCGGCCACACACCCGGTCCCGACGCCCAGGGCACACGGGCCGGAGCACAGCGAGTCTGCCTTCAGCAGGGATGCGGCCTCCCCAGCCCCCGAGCACGTCAGTGGGGCAGTAAGACAGCAGCTGCCCTCACAGGGGCCGGCGGCTGGAGGGTCCCACAGCCAGCTCCGTCCCAAGGACGTGGAGATGACGTCCAGGACAGCGTGGCCCCCACATGCCACCGACCCAGGCGGTCAGCCTGACCCACACCTTGAAGAGACTGAAGATGCCCACGGACTTTCTGAACACCTCAGACCTCAGGAAGTCCTCCAGCTGGGCCAGCGTGTCGTCCAGGTGGGAGATGGCACAGATCCCGAAGCAGCAGGCGAGACCCTGGGGAGGCACGGGGGCGCTGGCTCACACGCCCTGCCCCCGGCCCCACCCCAATGCCCACCCCCGCCAACCTGCCCCCTCAGCCTCACACCTCGCGCTCCACCCCCTCCTGATGTCTGGCCGTCTCCAGCAGCTCCTGCAGGTGCTTCCTCACCACCTCCCCGTCGGAGGCGGCACCCAGCGTGGTCCCTATGCACCTGTACAGGAAGCTCTGGACAGAGGCCAGGGTGGGCTTATGCTGACTCCAGCCAGGGCTGCCTGCACCACCAACTGCCTTTGGGGTGGCAACGCTGACCACTGCCGACCAGCGGTGTCCTGAGCAGCGACTGAGGCACACGAGGGGCCGGGCCCCGCACCTCCCCCCAGCAGGGCTCATGGCCAGTGACCACAGAGCTGAAGCTTTGGGCTGTGCCAGGTCCCCTGCAGTGGATACCCCGCACCTTCTCCCGGGGCACCCCATCATAGCTGGGCAGCTGCTTGCACATCTCCAGGCTCAGCTGGCAGGTCCACATGTTGTCAGACACCACGGCCAGGGTGTCCCGGAGGAACTGTGGGCAGGGGTCCCCGGTGAGCAGCCTGTCACCCGGGTCCAAGCCAGGCCCCCCCCAACCCCCTTCCGCCCCTCACCATCAGCAGCTTCTCCTCCCACTCCTTCTGCGACAGGGACGCCTCTGTGTGCTCTGAAAGGACACCAGTCCAGTCCGGCCCAGTCCACCGGGGCAGAGGGGGAGGCCGCCTGCCCCCCACCACGCAGATGCCCGAGGCACGCCCACACCAGGGCTCTGGGGGCACCAGCGGGCCCTGCCCGGCAACTGTCCGACTGCCCAGGCCAGCAGGAAGGTTCCTTCTTCCCACCCACAGGCCCTGCTCGCCGGGCCAGCCTGACGCCCTTGGGCAGAAGCGGGTGGGCAGGGTTGGGGCGCCCGCCTCAGGCCTCACCTTCCAGGTGCCCCAGCAGCAGGGGGATGGTGGTCTCCCAGCGCTGCCCCAGCAGAGGGTGGACGTTCCCGTGCAGGACGTGCAGGAGGCGCAGCGAGGCCGGCCCACGGCCGTCCCCCGCGTAGGGGTCGCAGGCGACGGTCTGCAGGGCAGAGGGTACTCGTGGCACCAGGCGCCCATGAGGGGTGGGGACAGCTCGCAGCTGGCTGCCAAGCACTTCACTAGGGGAGAGACGCGGCCCCACTCGGGGATCACCCCAAGTTTGCTTACCAGAAGCCGGGTGGTGACGGCGTAGGGAGACGGGAGGGTAGCTGTAAAGGAACAGGAGACGCTCAGCGGCGCCCAGCCTAGGCGGGTGGCTGCCCCAGGGGGAGCAGGGTGCACCGAGCGGGCGCGGGCAGGGTCTGCAGGGAGTAAGGCCCAGAGCACCCACCGCGCGCGCCGTAATGGACCAGGCAGCCGTCGGGCTGCTCCTGCTGCCGCTTCTGTGCCAGGTGCAGGAGGCTGCGGCAGAGCGGGGTCAGGGCCCCGGTGAAGCGCACGGGCATGAGGAACTCGAGCAGGTACGGCCAGAGGACCTGGGGGACAGCCTGGTTAGTGGGGCTGCTGCAGCTGTGACCTGGGCTCAGGGAGGCAGGAAGAGGCAGGCCTGGCCTGGGGGCTGCCCAGGGCAGCGGGGGCTCCCGGAGGCCTGACACTCACGTCGCTCATCCTGTCCACTGTGGTGCTGACCAGGTAGAGGGTGTTGATGCTGATGGACCGCACGCTGTCCTCGGCCAGGGCCTCGCTGTCCGGACCCAGCTGGGGGTAGCAAGGGGCAGAGGCCGTCGCTCGCTCTCCGGGCTGCCTGGTGGTGGCCCAGGGCCCGAGGACATGGCCCGCAGACCCCCAGCTGCACAGGAGGTCCCCACTGAGGCCACCCATGGGCGCCTGCTCCAGCCTCCAGGACAAGCAAGGCCCATGGGTCCCTGTGGGCCAGCGGCGGTGGCACCACTGCCCGACCAGTAGCCCCGGGGCAGAACGAGGGCCACCCAGGGGCCTGCCACGCACAAGGCACCCAGCCCGGCGCCCAAGGACGCTCTCCCACGAGAAAATGACCCGCGAGTTGTGACCTCAGCGCGGCGGCCTCCCAGGAGCCAGTGCAGGCTGGGCCGCGGGCGAGGCCTGGTCGCCGCAACCGAAGAGCGCAGCCTCCATGAGGACGCGGGCTCGCGCCAGCACAGCCGTGGGCCCGGCAGCCCTGAGAAGCGCAGCCCGCGGGCCCCAGAGCCCAAGAACACAGAGAGCAGCTGCCCGGGCTGAGGCCATGTGGGGGGCAAGGCCGCTGGGCCCACGGGTGAGTCGGGGCAGGAGACACCCGGACGCGGCCTGGTTGCCTGCCGGGAGTGGACAGCGAAGGCCATTGCTGGGCAGACACGACCGGCTGGAAGAACAGACGGAGACGTCCAGGCAGGAGGGGGCGCAGGGCTCAGGACAGCAAAGGAGCTCAGGACGTCCCAGCGTGGGGCGGGGCGGGGACGCGGGGCAGCCATCAGGGAGCATGGGGGCGGCCTGCCCACCCCAGGGGCTGCAGCGGGCAGCCAGGGGGTGATTGAGGATGGGGCTCGGAGAGGATTTAAGGGAGCACAGGCGGGAGCCCGGAGTCCCCTAGACTCGCCGCCCTCTGAACCTGGCTCAGAAAGAAAGCAGCAGCGTCCAGCAGCTGACCTCCGAAGGGAGAAGCCAAGAGTCTGCAGGGGCTGGGGGGGCTAAACTTGCCCCCGGTCTCGCCGCCACACCCAGAGGACACCAAGAGCTAGGCCGGCACCCCCTGTGCTGTGGCCTCTGTTGTCCAGTCCAGCTTCCGGTGCTGTCCGTCCCGGCCTTCAGACTGTGGCTGGGGCCGCTGGGCCAGTCTCAGCAGCCCCCACATGGGAACCTCCGACGCCCACACTCAGGCCTCATGGCGGGACGGCGCCATCTTGTGTGGGACCCGCAGCAGTGGACACTATCTGGGGGGTAGCTGTCCGCTGTGGCCTTCGTAACTCTGTTCCCCCTGCTTGTTAAATAAACCCCATTGCTCTGCTCCCCGAGCCCTAGTGGTCTGCAGCTGTACACGGGTAAGACCCACAGACAGCGGCCTGTCCTCGGCGGGCACTGTCCCTGAGGCTATGGCCCCTGAAGCCTGTTCCAGCTGATGCCCTCTTCTTCCTGCCTGGCTTCCCTCCCTGCTTGTCCCCCTTCCCGGGAAGGAGCAGCGGGGACCCCCAGCAGAGTCAGGAGCACAACTGCAGAAACAGGCCGTGGGGCCCAGAGAGCTGACGGACAGAACCGGGAGTGGCCAGAAGCGGGAGCAGCCAGCCGGGGCCGGGGCTCGTGCGGGAGGTGAAGACCAGAGCGGCAGGAGGCGCGGGGCCCGGGGCCAGCTGAGGGTCTGCCAGCATATTCGGTGCAACAAGACCCCCCCGGCCCAGCGCAGACGTGGTGACAGCCTGTCCCCCAGCGGCTCACGGTGGGCAGGGTGAGTACCGCGCGTGGACAAAGGGGCTGGGCAGCCACAGCGATGTCGGAGGGGCCAGCGGCGCTCTGCCCCGGGGGAGCCCCCCCCACTGACCTGGAGGCCCCCAAAGCCAGCGCTCGCCACAGGCCCCGGCACCTACTGCTTCATGGCCAGCAGCTTGGAGGCCATGGTCTCCTGCCGCCCCTGCATCAGCTGCACGTTGGTGAGCAGCTGACCAGAAGACGCGGCTGGGGACTGGTTAGCGGCCCAGGTCAGACGCTGCACCCACGGCAGCCACATGCTCACATCCGCCACCAGCAGACGCAAGACAGCGAGGCCCAGACCGTGGAAGGTGGCCCGGCCCACACAGCAGCCCAGCCAGGCCTTTAGGACCAACAGTGTAGCCAGGCAGAGCCAGGGGGAGCCAGCCGTGGGAGGCCGGAAGCAGCGCCTCTGGCTTAATCACAGAGGCCCGAGGGCGTGGGAAGCGGGGCAGGTCACCCAAGCGGCAGGGCCAGCCTGGAGAGGAGCAGCCGGCTCTGCAGGACATCCCGAGGAGCCTAGGAAGGGCCTTGGGATACGGCCTTGGGATATGCGCGAGGTGAGCTATACCTCCGTAGACGACTGGACACCAGGACGAGCCGACCTGTGTGTCATCGTAACACAAAGCAGCTACAGACCTAACAAAACCCGCACAGGAGCCCCCGCTGGGGAGCACAGAGGCCGACAGCAGAAACCAGAGACCGTGACGTAGTCAAGGGTCTGCCGGCCCCTGGAAGGGGAGGCCAAGGCACAGCCCGTCAGGATGGCCTCTGAGTCCACAGCCATGTCCAAACAAACACAGCCTCACCCCAGCCTGCCCGGCTGCCTTTGTAGAAATCAGATGATCCTGTACGTGCCAGAGGAGCGCGGGGTTGGCCAGCCGCACGGCAAGGAAGCCACCACCGGGAGACACCGCAGGGCCAGCGGGGGTGGGGGTAGGGCCCAGCGACGGCCGTCTGGCTGTCCAAGGAGAGAGCCCTGCCTCCCCAGGGCTGGCCGCAGGGCTGCCCGCACACCCTTGACACACATCTCAGCAAAGTTCACTCAAACAGGCCGAAATATAAAAGCTAAGCCTTAGTTTCTAGGAGGAAACGGGGGTGGAAGGTCCCCGCAGCCTCGGCCACGCGGGAAGTGGCTGGAGGGGGCGGCGGCTCCGCGCCCTGAAAGGCGCTGTGAGAAGGTGCAAGGGGCCAGCTGACCAGGGGGACGCTGGCCGGCGGCACTGCCACCACGAGACCCTGCACACACAGGGCGGGACACACCGGGAGGGCGGACGACACGGACAAGACAAACATCCGGAAGTCGCGCTTCTCAGGAGACGTTGTAGGTCAGGCTGAGAAGGGGAGGCCTAGTTTGGGGGGCCCCTTTCTCCTCCCAGCACCCTGAGGAAGGGGCGTGGGCCCCGTATAGGCCCAGGCAGCCACGGTCAGCTCTCACCTCCGCCTCTGGCTGGGCGGGCAGCGCGCACTGCTGGATGACGTACTCCACCATGGCCTCCCCGCCAGGCCGCTCCAGGTAGCCGTGGTGGGCCATGGCGCTGATCACCTGGACCACTGCCCGCTTTACCTGTGGGGCCCACAGAAGGTCAGGACAGGTACAGGGCCAGTGACCCATCCCCCACCACCGCCCACCTTCCCGCACAGCGCCCGCCCCTGGGCAAGGCCGCCCTGCATTTTGCAGCACAGACCCTGCCTGTGCTCCCCACCCTGTCTGCGGACCCTGGGCCTGGTTGGTGGCGGCTGCCCACCCGCCCACGCGCTGGCCACCCGCTTGCCTTGCCGCTGCTGTCCAGGAGAGGGAGCCGCAGGGAGGAGAGGACAAAGGTCTTCTTGGCCTCCATCCGCGCAGCTGCGAGGCAGAAGGGAGTCAGGCCCCGCCACCAAGGTGCAGAAGGGCCCGTCCCTCAGGGACAAGCAGCCTCCCGGGGATGTCCTCTCACCCCTAACAAGCCACAAGGTGGCTGTTGGAGGCAGCAGGTCTGGGTGTGCTTGGTGAGGGACCTGGGCCACAGCAGGCGCCGGGCGCACCGACACAGGGCATCAGAACCACGGCTGGGACCCAGCCAGGGTGCCTCTCTCCCCTCTGCAGGCCTGAACATCCTGCCCAGCCACCTGCACCTGGCCCAGGTGCGCTGAGGCCCCACAGTGAGGTCCAGCACGGCTGTTGGCGCTGCACCTGAGTGTGCAAGCGTGTGCGCCAGGGGCGGCGGCGGCACATGGCACTGCCCAGGGCCCAGACTCCCACCTCGACTACTATCCCCAAGAGGGAGGCGCCTCAGCCGGCGCCACGCTGGGCACTCACGGGCCGAGTTGATGATGTGCCTCAGGATCTGCAGGCTGCCCACACGGGTCCTCTCGTTGGCAGCGTCCAGCTTGGGCAGCAGGAAGGCCAGCAGGCGGTCAGGCGAGTAGCAAGCTGCAGGCAGCACTCAGAGTGACCAGGCAGTAAAGAGGCTCCCGCGGAGCCCCTGAGCCCGCCTGGTGCCCGGCCAGTGCCCTCCCGCCCTGCACTCACCCAGCGCTGTCAGGCAACGCAGCGCCTCCTTCTGGTTGCTCAGCACCAGGGGGCTGGATGACTCCATCGGCACGCAGATCTGGGGGAAGCGGATAGTGCTGATGAAGTGCTGGCCGGGGGCCGGCCCAGGGCTCCACTCTACCCACAAGCCTGCAAGAGCCCCCCGCGGGCAGCACGGGGCCCTAGTGGGCAGAGCGCATCCAAGAGCAGAGGTGGTGACTGTGAGCAGCGAGCCCTGACCACGGCTAGCCTGGGATTTTCCCCCAGAGACCTAAGGGGATCTGCTGCTATATGGGGCCCCCAGACGGGGGCCAGGCCAGACTTCGGGGTGCTGCCCGGCCCCCCAGGCCAGGGGCAGTGCAGGCCCGAAGGCCACAGCCAGCGGGCTGAGCCCCGAGGGGCCTGTGTCCACAGCCCCTGGGTCAGTGGGGCTGGGGCCCTCGCTCGCCCTGAGCAGACGCCGCCATGGCAGCAGGAGTGGGGCAGGGCCGGGAAAACGTCCGGATTTCAGCGTAAGGAGCCCCGCTGCAGGCAGGAGCCAGGCAAGTGGCGTGAAAGACAACCCGCGGGGCACAGAAGCGCGCACGGCCCAGTGCAGTCAGGGACTAGCCGAGTGCCAGACATAGCCCCAGGGCTCCACAGGCGCGGAAAGCCTGGAGCCGCCAGACGCACGCCGGCTCCACTTCTGCGTAATGTGTGCCTGGTCGGAGGAGGACAGGACACACAGGGCCTGGCTGCTCTCTGGCCCCGGGCTGGGCCCCGTCCGTGCGGGCCCCCACCCTACCTGAGCATGCAGAGCCGCCAGGAGAGAGTCGAGCTGGGCCTCCAGCGCGCGGCTGCCCACATTCACGGCCACTTCCAGGATCTGGCCCAGGCTCTGCTTGGCAGGGAGAGGGTGGTCAGTGCCGCACCACAGACTCCAATCCCCAAGCAGCTGACGCGGGCACTCCTGGGCCACATGGTGGCCAGGGGCTTGGGAGCAAGTCTGTGCTCTAGAATTCGGGGGTCAGGAAGGCGCACAGTGGGGCTCCTGTCCATAGCAGGGCTGGGGAACAACCGGACCCCCTCCCGTAACCTGGGCCTGGGTCTCAGGCCCGCGCCAGGCTCACCTGCGACACGGGCAGGGCCTCGGAGTGCTTCTTATAGAGGCCTAGGACACCGGGCAGCAGCTTGGGCAGCTGCTCCTCCAGCTTCTCGCTGGGCAGCAGCTGGCTCATAGGCCCCAGGGCCTGCACCACAGCCAGCCGGAGCTGAGGGGACACCAGTGGCAAGAGCTGTCTGACACAGGCTCCCCTACCACTGACCCGGACCTGACCAGCTTGGGTGGGAGCTCAGTGCCGGAGAGAGGGGTGGCCAGACAGCACACAGGCCACGGCCTGGTGGAGACCCCACCCAGTCATCCAACCTGGCCTCCAGGCACTAGGGGCGCCACAGCCACAGGGCACTGCTGTGGGGGCCAGTGGGCACGTCCCTCCCTGGGGCCGGCACAGGCGGCCCATACCTTGGCCTCGCGGCTCTGCAGCCAGTGCTGAAAAAGGACTTCGTAGGCGCCAAGAATGTCGGTGGCGAAGCTGTCTCTCCTGACTGTGGGGTCTGGGGCCTGGTCCAGGCCAGCCAGGTACTCCAGGGCACTCTCGCTGAAGCGCTGCAGAGCTGCGGCCCGCAGTGAGTGCCCTCCCACCTGACACGCCCAGGGCCCAGGGCCAGTGCGGGTGGACACTGCCCCGCACCCCCACCAGGACTTCGGGGGGAGGGTCTTGTGGATGTGCCTGGGGGGTGTGGGAGAGGGAACCTGGTCCCACACGCTGGGCCCTCAGAAGGTGCAGACAGCAGGGGCAGCCTCCAGGTGCCAGCCGGGCCGGGAGAGACCTGCCAGCATGCCCACCCGGGCCTTGGGCTTCAGCCTCCGGCTGCAGGACCCACTGCTGCCTCTAAAGGCAGGGCCCTGGGGGGGGGGGGACCCTGAAAGCAGGCACTGTAGCCCCGCCCGCAGGCCCAGGCCCAGCGCCCCCCCTTACCGTAGCAGAAGACCACCCGCGTGTTGTCGTGCTTGGCCCAGCCCAGCATGGGCACCATCGTGCTGAGGATGGATGTCAGGAAGGGCACCGTGCCGAACACTGCGGGAGGAGCCGGTCAGGGAGGCGGGGCCGAGCCCTGGGGTGGGTCGTGACCAGGGGCGGGGCCAGGGCCTAGGGGCGGGGCGGGGCTGGGGGCGGGGCCAGGGCCTTGGGGTGGGGGGGGCCGGGGCGGGGCCGTAGGGTGCCCGCCGGCCGGCCGGCAGCGCACCATTGGACACCGAGAGGTCGGCCAGCGTCCGCACCACGAAGCAGTGCGGCAGGACCCCAGGCTGGAACCTGGTCAGCAGCTCCTCCATCACCAGGCCGACGAAGCGCCTCCCCACAGCCACCAGGACGCTGCTGGCGGCCTGCTGCCAGTCACACACTGACTCCTGTACCCCAAAAACCGCACTGACACCCCAGCCAAACAGAGGCGGTGGGACTGTGGTCTGAGTCCCCCACACGGCACAGCAGACCCCCGTACAGCCCCTGGCCACACCGCGAGGAACGGCAGAGTGGAGGGGCAGGGCCGTGCCCACATCACCTTCACCCGAGTCATCTCGTTGGCAGCCAAGAGGATGAGCGCCCTGGCCGTGTCCTTGTCCAGCTCGCCCAGGTGGCTGCTCAGCACCGTCTCCACAGCCTGCAAGATCCTGGTCCGGCAGGGAGGTGCCAGCTGAGGGCAGTCGGGGGAGGCCAGGGTGAGCCCAGCGCTGGGCACCAGGCTGCCCCTTGGGGCCCAGGCACCGCCAGTCCGGGCCCGAAGGAGGGGAGGCACCCTCAGATAGGGCCTGGCTAGCAGTGCCCTGCCCTCGCCTGGGCTTCCCGCCAAGCCTGCCCTGCCCACCTCCGCTCAGGCCCTGCAGCACACACTGACTCAGGGCCGCTGCCTGAGCTCATACCGTGTCCAGGCCTCAGATGGCAGTGCACCCCAAGTCCCCATGGCCCCAGCTTCCTCCCCTGGCCGGGGGCTTGCCACCCCATGGCCACGCTGCCAGCCTCCAGCCAGCACCCCCAGCTCCAGCCCCGGCCCCGGCAGGTAGACCGTCCTCGTGGCAACAAGGAGCACGCGGTGATACTGCAGCTGCGGGCGGGGGCAAGACAGCCAGGGTTCTGCCATGAGCGGAGAATGCCAGGGCATGCGCCAGTCGCAGGCAGGGTGGCCTGTCCCCAAGCAGCATCCCAATGAGGGGAGCTGGTGAGAGGGCAAAGGCACGGGTGCCAGGGATCCAGGCTGGCCACACTGGGAGGCCTGCTCCCCACACGCGGTCGCTGGGCTCCCAGGGGCAGGGAGCTGGTGCCCCCCTTGAGGGGCCCCAGGGCAGCCACCTGCCAAGGGCTGCGGGGCTAGCGGGAGGTGGCTGCTGCTCCCTGGACACCGCCCACCTCAAAGCTCTGACCCACGCAGCACACTGAGCCCTCCCCAGCCGACGGATGGAGGGCAGGGGACACTGGGGCTTGTCCACCAGCAAGCCGGTCTGCAGTGGTGACAGCCCCGTCCCCCGCCGCCACGGCGGCTCCTCTGAGCTGGGCCTGCGGCTCTGGCTCCGTGGCCCCCACACGAGCAGCCCTGCGGGCCCGAGCGGTACCTTCTCGTGCTGCCGCAGGTGCCCCTCACAGGCGTCCAGCATCTCCTGGGGCCGCGACTCCCCAAGTGCGCGCAGAGCTCCGCAGACCTGCTCCTGCACCATTGGGTCCCTGTCGGCGACGGCATCCAGCAGGACAGCGCACAGCCCTGCACACAAGCCAGCGCTCAGGCCCCGGGGTCCCACCGCCCGGCCCACAATGGCTCCTGCTCACCCTGGGCCGCTCCCACGCCCCAGCACAGGACCCACCCGCCAGAGGCCTGCAGAGAGGCGCCGCACAGGGAGATCTGCCGGGCCTGGCCACTCCCAGGCGGCTCTGCGCGTGGACGCCGGCTGGCCAGTTCTCAGGTAATGTGGCCAGAGAGGCAGGGACACCCGCCAGGCTGGGCTCGCCTGACGCTGGCGCTGCCGCCGGCCGCAGACGCGCCCTGCAGGACCCTCCCGGACGCCGCGGCCCGCCCCCCACGGCCGCCCACTCACGCCTCACGTAAGGCTCGGACATCGTGGGCTCCGCCCAGGCGTCCGTCCCAGAGGCTTCTTCCCCACCTGGAGAGCAGAGACAGCAGTGGGCACCCGGGGCCGGAGGGCACCGCCGTGGGGCAGTGTCCACTGCACCCCGGCTGCGCGCCCAGGGCACGGGCCGCCTCCCCTCCACGCGGCCAGCAGAGCAGGCGACCCCTCCCGAGGGCTTGACTCGGGGACCCAGACCCCGACCCCGGGCCGGCACGAAGAGCCTCCGTGCAGCTGGGGAGCCGGACGGCAGCCACCGAGCAGCCCGGGGGCCGCTGACCGAGCCGCGGGCGGCCCTCGCGAGTGCGGCCCGCTGCCCCCTCAGAGCGCGCCGGCGCCCGCGGGGGCCCGCGGCGGGCGGAGGGAGGGCGGCTGGAAACAAGGGCCACATCCCCTTGAGGGCGACAGGCCAGTCCCAAGGTCCCTCCCCCACCGGGCCCCAGGGACCGCCTGGCTGCAGGCGCAGGCCGGCCGGGCGCGCGGGGCGGGGCGCGGGGCGGGGGGCGGGGGGCACCGCCCCTGGCCAGCCGCGGGAGCGAGGACCCGCCCGGAGGGCGCATGCGCACCACGGGCACGGCGGGGCTCCCGGGCCAGCAGCCCGACGCCTCCCCGCACCGCCCATGGCCCGCCCGGCCCAGACCCGAGGAACGGCCTCGCCCAGGGCCCGGACGGCAGAAGGACCCAGGGCCCGTCTGGCCAAACCACTGCAGCGCCGGCAGACACGCCCCGCGACCAAGGCGCGGGCATGAGGAGTGACCATTCGGGGGGCTCCCTGGGGGCGCAGGGCTGACTCCCAGCGCTGTCAAGCTGTCGGCAGCCCCTGCGGCCTGAGTGCGACCCCTGCCGGGGAGTGGCCCCCAGGGCACCGCTAACCTCTCCTCTCCTGCTGCCCCTCTGCAGTGTGTCAGTGGGCCCACCTGCTCTGCTCCCCACTGTCTCTGGGGAGTCCTCACCCCCCCACCCCTGGCCTGCACCCCAGCTCTTGTGTGCATAAATAAAAGTAAATCTTAAAAGTAAAAAACGGGGGCCTCCCCAGGTGGCGCAGCGGTTGAGCGCTGGGCTGCGAAGCTGCCCGCAGCCTCTGCAGCGCCGGTTGGATCCCCGGCCACCAGCGAGGGTCCCACGTGGCGGGCAGACCCCTCCTGCCGCCCGCTGCTCCCCTCAGCAGTGTCCTTCGGTCCTTCTGCCTGCTCTGCTCCCCGCTCTGGCTCTGGTGGATTCTCTCGCCCTCCCGCGCTTCTGACGGTACCCAGTGCTTGTATAGATAAATAAATAAATAAATGCATCTTTTAAAAAGTAAATAAGTAAAAATAAAAAAAGAAATGACCAGACAGGTCTGGATATGCCGGCACCTGCCAAGGGCACCGGGGCAGGAGGGCACGAGGCGGAGGCTGCAGGCCCCGGGGCTGGACACAGAGGGGCTGCACAGGGTCCCTGGTCACTCAGGGATGTAACGGGCGGCAGAGCCACAGCATGTCCCCTGAGATGCCCAGGCCCTCCCAGGTGGTGAAGGAACTGAGGGGGTGTCCCCAATTATGTGAGCGTGTTTTTTTTATTTATTTTTTTTAATTTTTTTTTTTTTTTAATTTTCTAGAGGCATGTCTTATTTATTTATTTATTATTTGTTTGTTTGTTTGTTTTATACATGCACTGGGTACAGTCAGAAGCGCGGGAGGGTGAGAGAATTCACCAGAGCCAGAGCGGGGAGCAGAGCAGGCAGAAGGACCGAAGTACACTGCTGAGGGGAGCAGCGGGCGGCAGGAGAGGTCTGCGCGCCATGTGGGACCCTCCTCCGGTGGCCGGGGAGCAGCCGGGGATTGAACCGGCTGCAGAGGTTGCAGGCAGCTTCGCAACCCAGCGCTCAACCGCTGCGCCACCGGGGAGGCCCATGTGAGCGTGTTTTTAAAAGCAGAAGGTGGGGGGTGGGGGAGGCGGGGCCGAGGGGCGGGCTGGCCGGCCCCTGGAGCCAGTGTGGCCACAGGGACATCAGCATGGGCCTTGGAGAGAGATGCAGCAACCGAGACGTGCCTCGAGCTGTGGCAGGGACTCCACAGGGCCCCTGTCTCTGGTCGGCAGGACAAGCGACACAAAGTCCATGCGGACGGGGCAGAGACAGGGGACATGGCAGTGCACGGGAGCCCCGAGGCCAGCAGGCTTGACCACAACGAAACTAAACCAAAACCAACAGGAGGATGCACTCCAAGCCACCCCAAACTTTCAAGAAGTGCTTAATACGCTTCAAAATAATGCATAAGTGGAAACATTAAAAACGTGATATTAGAAAGCATTTTGAAGTAAAGGAGAATAAAGACAGGCCTCCCTGGGGGCGTAGAGGTTAAGCACCACACTGTGAAGCTGTCCGCAGCCTCTGCAGCACGAGTTCGATCACTGGCCAGGGAGATACCCACATGGTGCAGCAGACCTCCCCCGTCTTGCCCGCTGCTCCCCGCAGCAGTGTACTTCAGTCAGTCTGCCTGTTCTGCTCCCCACTCTGTCTCTGGTGGATCCTCTCACCCCCACACCTCTGGCCTGTACCCCAGCTCTTGTATGCATAAATAAATCAATCTTAAAAAAAAAAGACAATCAAAATTTGTGGGAAATTTATAGCATTCCATGAAAAGGAGTGACATCAGCTTCTTTAAGAAACTAGATGCAGCTGGGCCTCCTTGGCAGCCTAAGGGTTCAGTCTCAGGCTGTCACCACTGTGGCCTGAATTTGATCCCCTGCCAGGGAGCTGCCCACAGGGCGCAGCAGACCCCTCCTGTCTCCCCGCTGCTCCCCTCAGCAAGTGTGTGTCAGTGGATCCGCCTGTTCTGCTCCCCACTCTGTCTCTGGGGAGTCTTCTCACCCCTGCACCTCTGGCCTGCACCCCAGTTCACGGCACTGAGGGCCGCCCAGCCCAGCACTGCCGCTGGTCTCCAGCCTGGGAGACGGGGAAGAGACCAGCCACCACCTGGGGGGGGGGGTAGGCGGGGGTGGCGAAGCCACAGACCCATCTGCCGGGGAAAGCCCCACAGCAGCACACGCACGACTCACAGCAGCCACCAGCGCCCTGGGAGCCGCACCTGACGGCCAGTGAGCGAGAAACCCAGGCCGGTGAGTGCCCCCCTGCGGGGGCCCCGGGCTGACCACAGCTCTTCCACGGGGACACTGGCCCGAGGGCTTCTCTGGGTCTACCCGGCATCCAGGGAAGGAATGACCCCAACCCTGAACAAACTGTTTCAGAAAAAATGAAAATGAGGGGAGACCTTCCATCGCCTTCCGAGGCCAGCATCACGCTGCTTACACTGCACAGAAACAAGACACACAAGGAAAACGCTGGCCGCAGCGCGAACCTTCTTAACCGGACGCCGGAATCACACCCACGACGCCCCACCAGGATGGAGCATCGAGCCCCAGGGGCGCGCCGCCCGGCCGCGCTGTGTCTTTAAGCAGCCGATGAAGTTCTCGGCACCGGCTCGCGCAAGGCAGCAAAGGCGCTCACCACACGCCGCGTCTCTCAAGGCTGCCCGTCGAAGCTCGCGGGCACAGAGACCCCGCCACCCGGCCCACACACCTACGGGGCCCAGGTTCACCGCCCCGGGGGCCGCGAGGGGCAGGGAACTGGGGGCCACGCGGGGTCCAGCCTGCATTACCCAGGCGGCTAGAGGGTCGCGGGACAGGAAACCAGCAGAACCCGTGACGCACGCGCCAGCCGTGGGCGGCAGCCAGCGCCCAGTGAGCTTGTGCCGCTGGGGCCGGGCTTGGCGGCAGACGAGCCGGGCAGCCTGCCACGCTGACCGCGCCGCCGCCTGAGGCGTCTAACTGTGCGGGGCAACTGGAGGGCACGCCGCGCAGAGCGGGGACCCTACCCGCCCCGCGGCTGGACCCGACAGGCATCTGCGGGCGCTGCGAGCTGCTTCTACACGCACAGGAATGCAGGAGGCCTGGCACAGCCAGACCACCCAGGGGCTGGGGGCGACACCGGCTGATTTCCAGACTGAAAAAGGCCAGGTGGACGCCCAGGAGGGCAGGGCCAGCGCCCATGGGCCGCACGGGGCGCGTCAGCCTGCATCTACGCCGCACACAGACCCAAACTAGAGCTTAAAGATGACTCGGCTTCTTGAGAGAAGAGAAGAAACTTTCCATGATGAAGCCCGAAGCAGAACCTACAAATAAAAACCTGATAGACTGTGGTCCTGTGGGACACTCTGCCCTTCCACACCGGCAGGCCGAGAGCAGGGGCAGGACACCAGCGCTGCTGCAGCAGCCTGGCCCCTGCCCTCCAGGCCACAGGCCCCCACAGCCCGGCCCCCAGAGACCCTGTAGTCCTGCAGTCCTGCCCACCCTCCTGCAGTCCTGCCCACCCTCCTGCTGCCCCCCCCCCGCCCCCACGGCCACCTGAACCGCCCTGAGCGCTATGCCTGCCTGTCCCGGCGGACCCTACCCCACAGACACGGCCCTCAGTGCCTGGGAACAAGGGTCTCGGCAAGAAAAAGAGCATGTCCCCACCCCTCTCCAGCCACCAGGAGCAGGAGGGACACGTGTCCTTGCTGGCCGCAGGACACTTGTGAAAGCTATTTTCACCGGGGGCTAGAACCAATGCCTCCGTGGCTGTGTGTGCCCACATCTACAACTGGGAGAGGGGAACACTGAGGGTGCTGGGTGGGAGGGTTTAGGCATGGGGCGGGCAGAGGGAGACCCTGAGGGACAGTGGGGGCGTCACAGACCTCCCTCCCCAATCCCTGCCAGCTCTGTGCCTGGGACAGCGGTGTTCACCCCCCACAGCCCGGCCTCTTGGCAGCGGCAGCTCGTCCTGGCAGCCCTGGGAGGACACTGGCAGGGCCCTACCGCTGCCATGATCGAGTGGTCACACTGTGGTCAGGCCTGGTCCACCATCCATACTGTGCAGAAGCTCCCAGGCGTCAGATGGGAGAAGACCAGTGCCCACTGGGGAGGTGGACGCTCCCATGGAGAGGCCAGGGCCCCCTACCAGGCAGCTCCAACACTGCCCAGTGCAACCCCATGGTGAGGTGCCTGGGCCACCTGGCCAGGCACTACTGTGGGGCTGGCCCCGTGCTCAGCCTGTGGGTAACGGGGGATGCAGTGCAGGCTCACCCACAGATGCCCCCCTGGCACAGGAGCCAGAGCTGGCATGTCCAGGGCCTGTGGAGGGCACATGAGGTCATCAGGCTCTATATGCCTGCCGCTGGCCTCCTCCGCACCTGCGGCCTGCCCTCGCCCAACTGTGGACACCTGGGCCCAGGGGTGCCAGTGCAGGCATAGGTGCTCACCTAGCTGAGGGAGCAACAAAGGGGTGTGGCCTCTGGGGCGAGACCACGAGGCCAGAGGACCAGCCCGAAGAGGAGGGAGAGTGCGTCTGGCCCCGGACCCTGCCCGGCATGCCAGTGTCCTGGTCCCCGCTTCAACACCAAAGGCCTCCAGAATCCTTCCCACCCCAGGCCCCCAGAGGGCTCCAAACTCTCCCTGTCTGCCCCAGCCCACAGTGACCCTGCCTGGCCTGAACGCTGGTTGTGAGCAGGTCTTTAGCCACAAGCAGCTCAGCCAGGGAGAGCCACACCCCCCTCACCTGAGGCTGAGCAGACACACCTGTGTGCAGGGCTCACCTGACCCGCAGGTGCCGCCTCGCAGGCCAACAGCCTGGGATGAGAACCCCCAGCGGGGTGGACATCGCACCTGGACACGCATTTCGGGGTGATATGGCTTGGCTGCAGCTCACCCCACAGACACCCGCGCCCGGGGGCCTGACAGCGAGGCCCGCGTACAGGGCTCCCTGTGCCATGACGCAGCACCCCAGCCCCAGCACTACCCCGTGACCAGCCTCCCGCTGACCTGCCCCCCCATGCGCCCGCCCTCAGCCTCACCCTCCTCCGCCACCCTCCCCACGCCGAGGCCCCTCCGTCCCCCGGGCCCATGGGAAGTGGCCCCTGCCCCCAAGACAGTCCCCCAGCCCAGGCTCCAGGGCACAGCGCCGCCCGCACCGAAGCCAGCCCCAGAGGCCACTCGGCCGCCGTCCCCAGGGCCCGCCGCGCCGCGCTCGAGCTTCGGGTGCGTCCCGCCCCCCCACCCGCCGGGCCGCCGCAGGGAACCTCCCCGGCCCAGGAACTCCCGCGCCCGCGGGCCGGGCCGGTGGCGGGGCCGGGGCAGCTGCGTGGCGCCGCAGGAAGAGGGGGCCCCGGGGCCATGGGGAGCCGCGGGGCGCGCGCCGCGGGGGCCCTCCGCCCGCCCTCCCCGGGCCCCGCGGGCCGCCGCGGCCGCCCCCGGCCGGGGCAGGCGCCCTGCGGCCCCAGGAAGCAGGAAGCGCGGCCGGGCCCGCGCGGGGTGAGGCCCCGGGCCGCGGCGGGGCGCCCCCCTTCACGCCAGGGACCCGCGCGCCCCGGAGCCGGCACCCCGCGCCTCCTGCCGCGCCGCCGAGGCCGGGCGCACCTGAGCCCGAGGAAGCGGCGGGCGGCCCGGGCAGCCCCGCCCTCCCCCGGTGACCTCGCGGCGACGCCCCCGACTGGGCCCGAGCCAAGGCGGCCGCCCCCGGCCCACGCCCCGCCTCGCCCCGGGCGCGCACCCCGCCGCTCACCTGAGGAGCCGCCGCCGCGCCGCGGCCGGCCCCGCCCCCCGCCGCGCCGCCACCGGTGTGGGCGGGGTCCCGCGCTCCGGCCCGCCCCCGCCCGCCTCCGGCCAACCGCGGCCCGGCGCGCGGCGGCGCGGCCCCGCCCCGCCCCGCCCCCCGCGCCCATTGGCTGGAGGCTCGTCCCTCGCGCGCGCGCTCCCCGGCCCGCCCGCCGCCCCCGCGCGCGCAGTGCGCAAGCTCCGGGCCGCCGTGTGACTGCGCACCTGACGCAGGGCGCGAGCGCTGGCCCGGGCCGCCGGTCACTGCGCAGGCGCGCGGGGCTGGCCCCGCCCCTCGCCGCGCCCCCGGGCCCGGCCTGGACGCGCGCTCGCCGCGCCCGTTGCTCGTCAGGCTGGGCCCGCGCTGGGCGCCCCGCGCCGCCGGAGCCGGGCCGCGGGCGGCGCACCGGGCGCACCGGACACGCGAGGCGCCGCCTGCCGGCAGCCCGCGGGCGTCCGGACGAGCCGGCCTGGGGGCGGGGGCGAGACGCGGGAGGGACGGGCGGGGAGGGAGAGGCGGCCGCTCCGGGCAGCCCGGCCCCTGCGCGCGTCACGGGCCCGGCTTGGCGGCGGGGGCCCTGCCGGAAGCGCGGGAGTGGAAGGGCGCGCGGAGGAAGGTGCGGTCGCCGGTTAAAGTGAGCCCGGAGGCCCGAGGCCACGGTGCGCCCGGCGAGTGGGCCCCGCGGCCACCGCGGCCAGAGCTCGGAGCCGGCCCCACGGAAAGGACTTCGGGGCCTCCCTGGGGCGCAGGGGTTAAGCCCCAGCACCACGGAGCTGTCGGCAGCCGCTGCGCCCGAGGGCGATCCCCGGCCAGGGAGTGACCCACGGGGCGCAGCAGACCCCTCCTGTCTCCCGCTGCTCCCTCAGCAGTGGGCTTCCGTGGATCTGCCTGTTCTGCTGCACGCTCTCTCTGGGGAGCCCTCTCACTCCTGCACCTCAGCTCTTGCATGCATAAATAAAGCTTAAAAAAAAAAGGCTATTCTGGGCCTCCCCCAGTGCAGCGCTTGAGCGCTGGGCTACGAAGCTGCCCGCAGCCTCTGCAACACCGGTTCGATCCCCGGCGCCGGTGAGGGTCCCACGTGGTGCGCAGACCTCTCCTGCCGCCCGCTGCTCCCCTCAGCAGTGTCCTTCGGTCCTTCTGCCTGCTCTGCTGCTCCCCGCTCTGGCTCTGGTGAATTCTCTCACCCTCCCGCGCTTCTGACTGTACCCAGTGCTTGTATAAATAAATCAATCTTTAAAAAAAAAAAAGGCTATTCTGTTGTAGGGAGGGTCAGAGATGGCCCTTGGAACAGGGGTCTAGAGGTGGGGCCCACTCAAGCCTTCCCAGCCAGGCAGGAGGGGGAGGGAGACCCACACAGCCCACCTGCTCAACCTCCTGGCCTGCAGGCCCACCTGGAAGGCCCTCCAGAGCCCAGAGCCAGGTGCATGTCCCACAGCCCCTTTGGCAGCCACGCTCAGGCACACCCTGAGAAAGGCCCGTGGCACCGTCTGCCTCCAGCCTCTGAGGGCTTCCTGAACTGAATCATGTGGAACAGACGGCGGCCTGGGGGAAACTGGAGGAGGGTGGGCACAGCTGATGACCTTTGTGTGCTCTGCCTGTCTCTGCAGGCAGCACCCGCTCACCGCTGCTGTGTCCAGCACCGTGGGGCCTGGCAGGGTGGCCACTGGCACCAAGCGGGGGACAGCAGCAGCTCAGCGACATGCTACCCCACCGACACCACAGCGGCTCCCCCTCACACTGCCCTGGCTCCAGAGCTGGCCCCTCTGGAGTGCTGACACCCGGGCGGCTGAGACAGCTCTGTGGGCGGCCCACCCAGCAGCGTGCCCATAGCGCTGTCCCGGGCCCCAGGCCAGCACTGCAAGGCACGGGACGCCAGGCACTGGTCTCCAGCAGCTCGCTGGACAAGAACTGGGTCTTGCAGCTCAACTTGGCAGAGCCAGGGCTCTCTGCAGCCAGCTAGAGGCCACTCACGGCCCCATGGGCTCCTCCAGGACGGCAGCCTGCCGTCACTGACGTGTCCAGCTCGCAGCAGAGCTAGGCAGCTGGAGCCTGGCTGCTGTGCCATCACAGGCCCCAGCGCGTCCCCTGATGTGGCTGAGCTCCAATTTGACAGTGGAGGCAAACTGCCCGCAGGGGTGTCCGCTGCGGCGTGGCAGTGAGGGGCTGCCGCTCAGGACGGCACCTGACACACAGCAGCGCCCATGGCTGCAGGCCACTGGGTGCTGCACCTCCCCCTGCAGTGACCCTCAGGGCTAATGGCTGTTGCCATGGTCCCTGAGGTCTGGCATGGGCAAGGAACCATGCGCGCAGGGGGAGAACAGCAAACTCCCTAAGATGCAGAGAAGCCGAATGCCTGCCAAGAGATGACGACCACCAGAAGCCGCCACAGAGATGGTTAAAAGAAATGCTGACCACCTGGAACCTTATCTCGCTTTCTCAAGGTCCACAAACTTTATTCTGCTACATCCGTCTCTCTAAAATCTTTCCTTTTTCTGGTCATTGATTGCTAATTAAAAAACATACGTAATTTAATAATTAGGCTAATGCAAATGAAACATTACTAAACACTGTGTTATAATAGAATTGTTGGTTTAATAATCTTTCTATTATGTGCTTAACTTTAGTACCTTTGATATTAACTGCATTATAAAATAAATTCACCCATGACAATTAATTATGCATAAACATGAGTAGGTAGTAGTAGTAGTTAGTACAACAAAAATACAATGATATAGAACAAAAAAAAGAGTTAATAGCCTGTCTACTTAGGAATGCGGCCAGGTCCAGATGTATTTTGGACATAGATCACTGCCCTGTCAATGATAAGCTAAACCTACGAGCAAGCTGATTGCATTGATGTTCACTGTTTCTATGCTTTTAGAAAACATATATATACTGACCACTGACTCAAATAAAGTGCACTCAGATTTACACTCTCCCTTGAAGTGTGTCTGTTTGTCATTTCTTTAGCCGAATCCCTGACCACCCTGCGCAGTCTCTCAACCCTGAGACGGCCTCATCCTTCACTGCTGTGCTAGTCCGCGGCAACTGGGGGTGCCAGTACTCGCAGGACTCGGGGCCCAGAGCCCATAGGGCCCCTTCCTCCTAAGTGTGAGTGAGGGCAGGCCCAGGCCCTGCCGCGTAAGATGTGTGAGGACATCCAAGGAGAGCGTTAGGGAGAGGGGTCCCTGCAGCAGGTGCAGGCCCGGCCCCGGAAGCTTCCAGGCCTTCAGCAGAGGAGGGCTGCCCCCTGGTGTTTAGCCTCTATCACAGCCCATCTGGCCGACACCTTGGTGTCTTGAAGAAAGAGGGGTTCTTTCTTTCAGTACACTGGCCACACACATATCCCCTTTTCCCACCCTCATGTCCTTAGGAACTCCACTTTTTGCCTTTGCTCCCCCAGTTTCCTTAAAGGCCTTTTGGGACCTTGCCCTGCATCCAGCCCTTGGGGGCCACACCCCAAAGTTGGCCACACAAAGGGCAGCGTCCAGCAACACACGCTGAGGGTAGGCAGGCCCCAGGAACAGGACAGCCTTCTAGGGCACAATGCAGCCACAGCTCTAGAACCTTCTGTTTCAGAATGCGCCCTGGCTTCCCTGAGCCCGCCCGCCCCATACCTGTCCTCCCTCCGCTGGCTCAGCCCTGGTCACTCCCTTGCCTCTGCCCCAACCCAGCAAATTTTCAAATCTTGTTTCACCCCGAAGGGTGCTGGTCCCTGTCCGGCCTCACCTGGCTAGCGCCGCCCCCCCCCCCACATTGGTGTGCCCAGCCACCCCAGCCCCATGAGGGGCAGCAGCAGGCAGAGGCCAGAGCAGGGCACCTTCATGGAGCAGGTGCGAGAGTGCCGAGACCGGGGCTACCTGCTCTCCTCCAAGAAGATCGGCTCGGGGGCCTTCTCCAAGGTCTACCTGGCCCACGCCACCCACGAGCGTATTCAGCACAACCCCCGGCTGGCCTCCGACCTGCGGGGCAAGCGCCATACCATGGTGAGGGGTGCCTTCCCACGCCCCATCCTGCCTGAGCCAGAGGCCAGGGCTCCTACTGGCCACCCTCCCAGCCCTGGCCACAGGCCCAGGACAGGAGGGAGGCCAAGGTTACTGCTGCCCCGGCCTCACCCCCTCCGAGGTCAGCCCTGCCCACAGAGCACACCCAACGGTGGTCCAGGCACAGCAGCCGCCTCGTCCTCACAGGTGGCCATCAAGATTGTCTCCACCGCAAACGCCCCAGTGGAATTCTCCCACAAGTTCCTACCCCGGGAAATCTCATCGCTTAACGCCACCTACAAGCACCTGAATGTGGTGGGCACAGCCCCAGCCCCACCCCACCCCAGGATCAGCCCCTGGACACCTCTTGCCCACCCCGCCTGCCCCTCCCTCTCTGGGACCACCTAGAGGCCGCGTTCCCGCGCCAGGACCATCCTCTCGGGCGGCAGGTGCAGCTGTACGAGACCTACCAAAGCAGCCAGCACTCCTACCTGGTGCTGGAGCTGGCGGCGCGGGGCGACCTGCTGGAGCACATCAATGCTGTGTCCGACCGCCGCCACCACCCGGGGCTGGAGGAGGAGGAGGCACGCAGGCTGTTCTGGCAGCTGGTCAGCGCCGTGGCCCACTGCCACAGCTCGGGCGTCGTGCACCGGTGAGGGCCCCCCCGCATGAGCGCCCGCCCACCCCGCCACCCCACGCCCAGCCAGGCTCAGGCCAATCCGCCCCCCGCCCCGCCCCACCGCAGGGACCTCAAGTGTGAGAACATCCTGCTGGATGACCAGGGCTTCCTCAAGCTGACGGGTGAGCCTGTGCCCAGCCACCCTGTCCCTGCACCTGCCTTCGCCCTGGTGCAGCCGTCCCCTCCCTCAGCCCTCCTGGGGCCACGCCACCCCCAAGCCACAGCCCACCCCACTGAGCCCCGCGGGGGTCCCAGCCTCCACATGGCTGCACCAGACCCTCGGCCTCTCTGGGCAGCCCGAGCCTGGTGCCCCGCAGCCACCGGCGACTGCCGTGGCTCGGGCCCCTCATGGCACCGCCCCTGCAGACTTTGGCTTCGCCAGCCGGGTGAGGCTCAAGAGCGCGATGCTCAGCACCTTCTGCGGCTCAGTGGCCTACACGGCCCCGGAGATCCTCATGAGCAGGAAGTACAACGGGGAGCAGGCTGACCTGTGGAGCCTGTGAGTGGCCCCCAGGGCGCCCCTGGCAATAGCAAGGGGGGGAGGGCCCGCCCTTAAGAGCCCCTGCCCGCAGAGGCGTCATCCTCTACGCCATGGTGACGGGGAAGCTGCCCTTCAAGGAGCGCCAGCCTCACTGCATGCTGCGCCTGATGCGCTGCGGCCCCACCTTCCGGCCAGGCCTGTCCTCAGGTGAGGGCGGCGGCCCCTCCCAGACCACGCCGGGTCCCATGTTGGTGGTGGGCACCGGCTGGGGGCACCTAGGTGGTCGGCCCGGAACCACCACGGTGACCCTCGCCCGCAGACTGCCGGGACCTGATCCGAGGGCTGCTCCAGCTCCGCCCGCACTCCCGCCTGGGCTTGCAGCAGGTGGCCGCGCACCGCTGGATGCTGCCCTCCGCGCACGGGCTCTTCCGCACCGTGCTCCGCCCCGCGCCGGAGGCCTCTGGGTCCCCAGGCTGGGCAAGTGAATGGACACGGTCCCTGGCGCCCAACCTGCACCGGCAGCCAGAGACGTGGTGCGCGGCAAAGAAGCCAGCCAAGGGCCAGCTCCCTGGGCCCTGCGATGACGTGGAGCCCGGAGCGGACTCGGATTCCCCTGGGGGACTCCTGGGCCTGCGCCACCCCCCGCAGCAGGACGCCCCTGGCGAGAGCACCTCGAGCCCGGGGAGACAGGGTGCAGGGTGGGCAGGGCCGGGTGCCCTCCGGCAGCCGCCGTCGCTATGCTCCATGTCCGCCATCGGGAGTGTGCCTGGGCACCATCTGGTCAACTGAGGGCTGGGAGAGGCCAGATAAAGCGTGGATCCTGTGGAGCCCGTGCTGGTCTAGGGTAGGCGCGGGCCAAGCCCCAGCGGACACCCGGAGAACAACGGTCCACACGACTCCAAGTCACAAATGTAATGGGGGGCGAGGGAGGGGCACCAGGCCCAGGAGGTACAGCAGGCCTCACAGGAGCCAGGCGAAGCACCTCGTCACTCGTGGGGGGAGCCCTGGATTCTGGCCGGAGGTGGACCTCCATCAGGGAGTGCTCGGAGGCCCTGGAGATGGGGCAGCACACAAGAAGCCAGGAGAGAACCAGGCTCCACATGGCAGAGGGCAGTGGGAGGAAGGTGGGCTCCTCAGGGAGGCTCAGGCGGTGCTGGGCAGGAGTCCGGGGGAGGGGCAGCAGGTTGGACCAGGGCGGGGGAGGCACTGAAGCTGGCCGGGGCAGAGGGCAGCACACAGCCAGGACTCCAAGGACAGGCTGGGGGTGCGACCCAGGAGCCCTGGGACAGACGGTAGCTGGAGACTGTCACCAGGAGTCGGTCTCTGAGGCTGGTCTCAGGCAGGCCGAACTAAGGATGAAGGGCCCGGGGAGGAGCTCATGCCGCACTGGCCATTCCCAAGGCGGGCCTGGTGGGCTCTGGCTGACCGGTGCTCCTGGTTATCCTCCCAGAGCAGGCTGGGGGGCCTCAACGGCGAGTCTCCCTCAGCACAGACCTGCCGCTGACACAAGGGCTCTGCTTCATTGCCCTCAAGGGGGTTGGGAGCCGGCTGTGCTGGCAGGCTGGATGGTGGGCTGGCACAGGCGGGCTGGGAGGGGCCACGGGGCCTCAGCTGGGCGCAGCGCCCTCTGACAGTGCCTCAGGGGCCAGTGGCTGCTCCTGCCGCTCCCGCTCACACTGCTCCTGCTCCTGGCGGTCCAGCTGTTGCAGCTGCTGCTCCACGTCATCAGGTATCTGCACCTCCAGCAGGTTTTCCATGCCAGGCTGCGGCTCGTCCCCGATGAGCACCTACAGCAGGGGAGACAGGTGAGCAGTTGCCGGCACGCCACGGACACGCACGCGCCCCACGCCTGCACCCACCTGGATGAGTTTCTCACAGGTCACCCGCACATCGGGCTCTGGTTCCCAGCCATGCAGTTCACGCAGGATCAAGTAGGCCCCCTGGTCCCTCACCTGCCGCCGGCCAGGGGCTGTGGCGGTCAGCTGCAAAGGCAGAGGTCACTCAGGGGTCAGGCCCAGCTCGTGGGGCAGCGCCCACCGGCCAGGCCTGCTCACCAACATGATGGCCTCAATGAGCATCTTGCGGATGTCGGCGTCAGGCTCCCGCTGCTTGTCTGCGGGCAGGAACTGCAGGTCCACGGGCAGCCCTAGGATGAGGTGGGGACTACTGGGCCCCACGCCTGAAGGGCCCGCCAGGATCGGGAACGCCCAGCTAGGTTCCCGAGGGGCGCCCCGGGACACCAGCAGCCTGGCCGCTGCAGGCCTCCCCACCCAGGCACTCACGCTCCATCTCCTCCTCGGAGAACTCTTCAGGCCCGGCCAAGGGCAGCAGCAAGAAGGGGAGAATGTCCACCTCTGGCCCGAGCAACCACTCGTGGTATCCTGGGGGCAGGGGCGGCAAGGTCGGGGCCATCCAGAGGGGCCCCAGCGTCGTCTGTCTCCCCTCCCTCTCCCTCCACTGCAACCCTCGCCCCCCGGACTCACGGTGGTCGAAGCAGCAGTTCCGCAGCGTCCCCACCACGCCGCCCCTGCGCACCGAGGAGTCCGGGCACTGCGTGAGGGGCAGCAGCCGCGGGACCGCGCGCCTGGAGGGAAGGCCGGCTCAGTGCCCGCGCAGCGCCCGCTCAGCGCCCGCGCAGCTCCCGCTCAGTGCCCGCTCAGCGCCCGCTCAGTGCCCGCGCAGCGCCCGCTCAGCGCCCGCTCAGTGCCCGCTCAGTGCCCGCTCAGCTCCCGCTCAGTGCCCGCTCAGCGCCCGCTCAGTGCCCGCGCAGCGCCCGCTCAGCGCCCGCTCAGCGCCCGCTCAGCGCCCGCTCAGCGCCCGCTCAGTGCCCGCTCAGCGCCCGCTCAGTGCCCGCGCAGCGCCCGCGCAGCGCCCGCTCAGTGCCCGCGCAGCGCCCGCTCAGTGCCCGCGCAGCTCCCGCTCAGTGCCCGCGCAGCGCCCGCTCAGTGCCCGCGCAGCTCCCGCTCAGTGCCCGCTCAGCGCCCGCTCAGTGCCCGCGCAGCGCCCGCTCAGCGCCCGCTCAGTGCCCGCGCAGCGCCCGCTCAGCGCCCGCTCAGTGCCCGCGCAGCGCCCGCGCAGCGCCCGCTCAGCGCCCGCTCAGTGCCCGCGCAGCGCCCGCGCAGCGCCCCCGCCCCGGCCCGCGCGCGCCCGGCTCCACCTGTCGGGGTCCAGCAGGAAGGCGCGCGCCGCGGGCAGGCGGCTGAGGTTGGCCAGCGCGGGCCCCAGGTGGTGCAGGGGCGCGCGGGCGTTGTAGCCGGGCGTGCAGAGCGCGCGCACCAGGCGCTCCAGGCCCGCGCCCCCCGGCCCGGCGGCCGCGAGCGCCTCCATCAGCGCGGCGCCCGGCGCGGGCTCGCGGCTGAGGTTGGCCAGCACGGCGGCCGCCTCGTCGGCCAGGGCCACCGCGGGTCCAGCGCGCGGCCCAGCAGGCGGGCGGGCAGCCCCGGCGCGGCCGCCAGCAGCGGCGCGTGCAGGGCGGGGTCGGCCGCCAGGTTGACGAGCGCGCGGGCGGCGTCGCGGGCCGGGGCCGGGGCCGGGGCCCCGCCAGCTCGGCCAGCGCCCGCAGCAGCGCCGCCTGCCCCGCCAGCAGCCGGCGGCCCGGTTCCGAGCCGGTCAGCGCCAGCACGTGCAGCGCCGCCGCCGCCTGCAGGTCCGGCCTCGCCCCGCACGCCAGAAAGGGCAGCAGCTCCGCCGCCTCCGCGCCGGGCTCCGCGCCGGGCTCCCGCATGCCGGCCCCGGCCCCCGCCCGCCCGCCAGGGAAGCGGAAGCCGCGCGGCCGGGGCGGGCCGGCTCTGCGCGGGGCCTCTCGGGAGCCCGGGCGGGCCCGGGGCGTGGCGGGGGCCGGCCCGGGCGCGCGGGGCGGGCCCGGCGGGCCCGGGGGACGCGGGGAGCGCCGGCCGCGCCGGGCGGGGGCTGGGGCCGGGCGGTCCAGCCCAGCCCTCCCGGGACGCCGGCCCAGCGCTGGGCGTGGGGCTCCGCAGTCACCGTCGTCGGATGCCGAAGGCCACGGGGGGCGGGAGGGAGCAGCGGGGAGTGCAGTCAGGGGCTCTGGCCGGGGCAGCAGGAGGGCAGCCGGGAGAAACCCGGCCGAGACGGACTTACACTAAAAGAAAGACGGTGCCTGTGTTATAGGACAGGGAGAGGGGCAGCCCAAACCCCGCAAACCTGCCTGTTCTACATGGGTTCTGCCGTCCGCCGCATCCACACACAACACATGAGACTAATGGGAAGGATCTTTAATAAAACTAGGAAACAACACAGGAAAGGCAAAGAGTCTAGTTTCTAAGTGAAGCACCCAAAGTGACCCGTCCCCTCGTGGGTAAAAGTCCATCCATACCATGGTCACCTCCCCACGGGTCTCACCCGCATCTGTGTCACCCCGTCCACGACCAAAAGACAAGCGCAGCTTCTTCACGTGTCTCTAGGCTCCATGCGCCTCCTCCAGGTCTCCCGGCTCCATCCTGCTTCCTTCCTTCCTCAGTCTCTTCTGCCGCTTCTCCTCTCCCCGCTCAGCTCCACCCTCCCTTGGGTGGGGCAGGGAACCTCCCCCTTTCCTGGGGACCACCCTGTTACACCTGGAAAGAAAAGCGCGGCCCGAGGTCCAGAGTCTGGAGCTTCAGGCACAGCTGGATCCAGCAGCTCACCCCCCCCCCCCACTCATCTGTGGCTCCCGCAGGCGGGTTTCCCGGCGCAGGCAGGAGAGGACCCTGGCTCTGGCCATGGAGCCATGACCGAAGGCTTTCCTTCCCATAGCCCGGCCTGTCCGGGCAGCAATCCTCTCTCCTGTCCTCCCTGCTGGGCGGTGCTGAGGGAGGAGGGGGCTCCGCGAGCGCCGTGCGGTGGGCAGAGCGACCCCTCGGCGTTTGTGCTCCTGCCAAATGCCAGTCCCGGGCAGCTTGCTTGGGACGCCCAGGCCAAAACAGACAGGTGTCCGGCCCTGCCCTGCGCGGCCTTGGCCTTTCTGGCCCTGGGGCCTCTGTGGCTTCTGTCTTTTCTGCTGGAACACGCCTTCCCCCATGTGGATGTGCACGCACCGGGGCCTTTCCTGTTCTCAGCCTGTCTTCCCTGGCAACTCACCTCGCCGTGGCTGCTCAGTTTCTGCCGTCAAGTACCACCCAGGGCCTTCCTGGGGAGTGATGGTGCCACTGCCACGCCCCTTCCTGGCACAAGCCTCCTCCAAAGCCCGCAAGCAGCCCGCCACAGGGTCCCGAGGTCGCCGGACCTCACCAGAGTTGGAGGTTCTGGCCTGGGCGCTGCCTGCCCCCACAGAGCTGCCCCCACACGCGGTGGGCGGGGACACACACCACAGTCAGCGAGTGCTCCTGTTCTCTCCTGCTTTTATTTTTCTGTTCTCAAGCTTCACGAAGGCGGTCACAGGCCTGTGTGTGCTGCCGCCGAGACTCTTAACAAGGCCGTTCGCCCAGGCAGCTCCTTGTTTGGTGGTGACCCTATTACAGGAAGACAGGAGTCTGCTGAGGTGGCCGGAACAAAGACCCCAGACTGGCAGCCTCCACCCCAGGTGCCTGGGTCTGGGCAGCTCTCCCAGCTTCTGGGGCCACCGAGGCGCTCCAGCAGCTCCAGGGACCTCCCCTGGAGCGTGCCTAGCAGCTGGTTTCCAAGGACACATCGGCAAAGACACCACTCCCAAACAGGCTCAGGACTTCATGGCAAGGATTTGGATGGGTGGGGGCCGGCAGGGCGGGTGGGGGCACACGACCCCTCTGCAGGACCCAGCGGTCTCCACCCCGATAGGCCGAGCACAGACCTCACCGCCAGGACGTTCTTCCCCAGGAAACAGGAAGCTGGAGCAGAAGGGAGCTCACAGCGGAGGACGCCGCCCACAGGACAGAAGGGCTCACGTCGGGCCTCCCCGGTGGTGCAGCAGTTGAGCGCTGGGTTGCGAAGTTGCCCGCGGCCTCTGCAGCGCCGGTTCGATCCCCGGCTGCTCCCCGGCCACCGGAGGAGGGTCCCACATGGCACGCAGACCTCTCCTGCCGCCCGCTGCTCCCCTCAGCAGTGTCCTTCGGTCCTTCTGCCTGCTCTGCTCCCCGCTCTGGCTCTGGTGAATTCTCTCACCCTCCCGCGCTTCTGACTGTACCCAGTGCTTGTATAAACAAACAAACAAATAAATAAAACATGCCTCTATAAAAAAAAAGAAAAAAAAAAGAAAAGAAAAAGAAGGGCTCACATCCTGGGGCGGAGCAGAGAGCAGGCCGGCGGGGAGGCCCAAACGCCTGGCGAGCGGGTGAGCCGTGGTGGCATCCCCAGGTGCCCGCGCAGCTCTGGGCCTGCTCTGTGCCGGCGGAGGCTGCTCAGACAGATGCGCGGTGGTGGGTCCGAGCTCCGTGTCGCCTCGCGTGGCTGCCCAGCCTTCCTGCTGCCCTCACGCCCGCGGTGGCAACGCTCAGCAGGCGGAGGCGCATCCCCCTGCAGACGCCTGTGCAAGGCTGAGGGCCTCACAGCCCACTTGGGTGAATGACTCACTGGAACTTTACAGAGTGGGCGCTCCGTGGAAGGGGAGGTGCCTGTTTTCTGCCTACGCGAGGCAGGTGGGGTCTAGCCCCATGGCGCAGGGGCATCTTCGGGGAAGAGTCTGGGACAGAAGCTTCCGGAGGAGCTGCAGGAAGGGAAGGCGGAGGCGGCAAGGGGAGCAGACCCGTGCAGACACCTCCCCCAACCCGGCTGGGACAGGTTCTTGGGTCCCTGGAAATGCGCGAGGCGCCGAGACATGCAGAGACGCTTGGGGGAGATGGGGGTGCGAGACGGGTGGCTGGCGACAGGCAGCTGATGGGTTCTGATGAGAGTGGGGCTTGCTGAGTGGGTCCTTGGGCTCCCTCGAGCAGCACACGGCAAGTGTCCCAGGCAAGGGAGGCGAGGGCCGTGTCCCCGAGAACAGGCTCGTTGGGACACTGGCTGGAGACCTGGGCCAGCAGGGGCTGGGGGCCGCCGTGCTCTGGGGCAGGGCTCACGGTTTCTTCTCCTGTGGACTTGATCACGTCCAGGGCTCTGGGTCAGTCTGCAGGGGCTGGCGATGCTCCACAGTGGCCCACCTCCTCCAGGTCCACCTCTGGCCCAAGCAGTGGCTGCCACCCCAGGTCCCGCCTCCCACTCCGAGAGGGCTTTCCCCTCCGTGGTTGGGTTAATGATGACGTCCGTCATCTCTGCTCGCCACCAGTGTCTGGTCTCTGCCTTCAGCCTTCATCAGCAGCCTCAGCGTGACTGATTTTGCTCCTTTCCTCGCAGACTTGCCTGCCCCCCCTCGCCCCTTCCCTGATGTTTAAAGCATCAGGGCTTCCTCCTTGCAGCCACTACTGTCACCCGGAGGCCACCTCCCGGGACAAAGGGCAGCCACACTCCCAGCACCCACCAGAGACGGATGGGCCCTTTCTCTTCCCGTGCACACCTGAAGGCTGAAGTAGCCACTGAGGTTTAGGTTTCAGTTCTTTGATTGGGCCTCCCTGGCGGCGCAAGGGTTAAGTCTCAGCACTATGAAGCTATCAGCGGTCTCTGAGGCACAAGTTCGATCCCCAGCCAGGGAGCTACCCACATGGCGCAAACCTCTCCTGTCTTTCCGCTGCTCCCCTCAGCAGTGGGTTTCAGTGGATCTTCCTGTTCTGTTCCCTGCTCTGTCTCTGGTGAATCCTCTCACCCACTCCCTGCACTTCTGGCCTGTACCCCAGTTCTTGTATGCATAAACAATCTTTAAAAAAATAAATTTTTTTAAAGATTTATTTATACAAGAACCGGGGTGCAGGCCAGATGCACAGGAGGGTGAGAGGATTCACCAGAGACGGAGCGGGGACCAGAACAGGCAGACTGACAAAGTACACTGCTGGGGGGAGCAGCCGGCTGCCGCGCCATGTGGGACCCTCGCCGGCCGGCCAGGATCGAACCGGCGCTGCAGAGGCTGCAGACAGCTTCACAGCGCGGCGCTCACCCGCCTGCGCCACCAGGGGAAGCCCCCCCAAAATAAACTCTTTGATTTCCCTATGGAGCTGAATATCTTCTGTGTGTTCTTATCAGTTTGGTCTTCTCTTCCTCATGAGCCTTTGGTTCCTTTCCCTGCTGAGTCTTGTGCCTTATTGAGATCAATTCAAAAAATTTTAAAATACGTGTTCCAGAAACGGCTGGTTTGCCAGCCTTTCCCGAGTTTGGGCTCCCTTTGCTCCCCGGGGTGTTGTATGGGAGGCAGAGGTAACCCCAGCCCGTTCTGGCCCAATGGGTGTGGATGCTGTGAGGCGACCCCCCCTCCTCTGCTGGAGCCACTGCTCTGCGGTGCCTTCTAGGAGGTCACAGCTTTTTTATTTTTTTTTTTTGGTGGGACCCACGCCCTGGCCTGAGATCAAACTGGCGCTGCGCCACCAGGGGAGGCCCCAAGGTCACAGCTTCGGGGTCACATGCACACCTCACCCCGGCCCACCGGGACTAGCGCCAGAGCGGCGAGACCGTGCGGCCCCGGCTGAGAACTGCGGAATCGACAAATGTCTACCGTTTCCTCCTGCGTCCCGTGTCCTGAAGAAGCTAATTTTTAGAATTACCCTCTGAGGTGCTTCCTACACTCCAGGCTTCAATCCCCTGGACACTGCCCGTGCGGGCGGGCCGGCCCGGCTGCGTCCACCCGGGGTGCGCGGCCCGAGCGCGTCCCCTGGGAGGTTCTGCTCACCCAGGCGGGAGACGCGCTCGAGAAGCCCCCGGGAGAGCTCCTGGCAAGGCTGAGGTCCGACGCGCCCTTTATTCCTCTCCAGAAAGAAGGTGGGGCCCGCGCCCCCCCTCCAGCACAAAGGCGGCCGGGCGCCCGGTCAGCCGGCGGGGCCTGTGGCCACCGGCCTCGGCCCGCCCGGGCCGCCCCGCAGAGGCGCCCCCCGCCCCCCGCAGGTTCGGGCCGCGGCCGGCGGCCCGCAGCAGGCCGGGGAGCGGACGGGGCGGCGGGCTGGTCTCCGCGTCTATTCCCGCCCCGCGCCCGGGCGGGCGGCCGAGGCGGGGCCGGGGGTCGCGCGCGCCGGCACGAAGTAGCGCTGCAGGGCGGGCTGCAGCGGCCGCGGGGGCCGGGGGCGCGCCGGCCGGGGCCAGTCCGGGGGGAAGGGCCGCAGGTCCACGCGCGGCAGGGGCAGCTTCAGCTCCCGGAGGGGGCGGTCCGCGCGCCAGGCGTCCTCGGGCCGCCTCTGGCCTGGGGGGGCAGGACGACCCCTCAGCGCGCGGCCGCGCGGGCCGCGAGCGCGCGCGGGCCGGCCCCGGGCTCGGGCGCTCACCGCTCGGCCTCCCGGCGCGCCTCCCGGCGGGGCCCTCCTGCAGCCGCGGGATGGGGTGGCGCCTGCGGGCGGGCGGGGCTGAGCAGGCCGGCCGGCCCGCCCCCGGCCCCCGGCCCCGCTCCGCCCCTCGCCCCCCGCCCGCGGGCCCGCCCCGCCGGCCCCGCCCCTCGGCCCCCCCCCGGCCCCCAGCCCCGGCCCCCCCCGGGCCCCGCCCCGCCCGGGCCCCCCTCTCGGCACCCCCGCCCGCCCCGCCCGGGCCCCGCCCGCCGCACCGGCGCTGGGGCGGCTGAGGCAGCACCGCCTTGGGCGTCTGCGGGAGGCGCAGGCCGCGGTCTCGGTCTGAGGGCGGGCCCGGGCCCTCGGGGCCTCCTGCAGGGAGGCCCACAGCTGGCCGCGCTGCTGCTCGCAGAAGAAGTTGAGGGCATCGATGGCGCTCAGGTCCACCCACTGCGCCCGGGACCACTCCGTGCGCTCCAGCGGCAGCGGCGCCCGCCCGGGCAGCACGGCGGGCGCGGAGGCGCGCAGGAGCACCCCGGGCAGGGCGGAGAAGGGCAGCAGGACCTCAGACAGCCGGTGGCGGGTGGCCCAGCGCCGCAGCGCGAGGACCAGCTGCTCGGCCTGGGGCTCAGGGGTGGCCAAGTCCGGCTCTCCGGGGGAGCCCACGATCGGAGACCTCCAGGCGATGCTTAAGGGGGTCCCAGAGTGGACTGAGGGTGTCACCAAGATGTGCACGGGCGTGCCAGAGACCACTGACATCTGCGACAGGGTCTCCTTGGGGGGAGCAGGCAGTGCCAAGGGCTGGGAGACCTGGGCCAGCATGTCTGACAGCCTGGCTGTGGAGGGGGACAGCAGCTCCATCTGCAGGACAGGGGCCGGTGGAGGAAGCGCCTGCCAGGCCGGGGCTGCCCTCCCCACAGCAGCAGGCCCTGGCTCCAAGGCTGAACCCACACTGCAGACCCCCACCAGGGAAGGAGCAGGAGGGTCCCGAGAGAGGGGGCAAGAGGAGGCACAGGCCAGGCAAGGGCTCCCCTGGGCTTGGGGAAGGCTGAGGGGAGGCCCCAGCTCCGCCCACCTGGACCTTCAGGTGCCGGGTCATCATGTCCTCCAGCTTCTGGCGGCAGCATCTGCGCAGCGAGGCCTTGGAGCGGATGTCATGGGCCTGCACCCAGCTCATCATCTCCTTGAACAGGAAGCCCTGTGGGTCCTTAAGACCCAGCCCATCCAGCAGCTTCTTGAGCTCAAACCTGGGACAGGTGTGGGCAGCTTAGCAGGGGCCTCCGGGCCGCAGGCAGGGAGGGCTGTGGAACCGACTCACCAGGAGGAGGCTGGTGAGCAGAGGAAGTAGGCCATGAGCTCCAGCACCACCTCGCTGGCATCTAGGGAACAGGCCAGGAGCAGCTGCAGCGCCAGGATCACGAACTGCCTCTGCGTGGGGTCCTGGCCCAGCCAGAGCACAGTGGTCAGTGGCGGGGGGGGGGGGGGCTGGCGCGGGATGGGGCCGGCGCAGGGCGCACCTGCAGGCTGGGGTACTGGTCCAGGTTGAGCAGGCGCATGAGGATGTCCTGCAGCCGGCTGCACAACTGGCGGCTCAGGTCTGGCATCAGCCTCAGCAGCGCCCACAGGATGTGCACCCGCTCAGTCCAGGGCACGCCCTCCAGCAGGTCCAGGAACAGAGAGGCCAGGCCCCCCGGCGTGGCCCCCTCGGGGTACATCTGCAGGGGCAGGGCGCTGAGGCCGAGACCCGCCAGCTCCTGCCGCCAGCCCCCATCTCCCAGGCGCCCGAGTAGCCCGCACCTTCAGCGTGAAGATGGGAAACAACTTTTTAAACCAGTTCTGGATGGCGAAGAAATGCAGGAAACTGGGCAGGTGCCGGAAGCGATTTTGCCTGAGTAGGCGCCGGGGCGGGAAGTGTGTCTCCACTGCCACTTTGTCATGGGGGCCCTGGCGCTCCGGGAAGGACTCCACCAAGAGCTCAGAGGGCTGGTGGGGGAGGCGCGCAAGGGGGCAGCCTGGCCCGCCCCAACCCCCTGCCCGGCCCCACCCCGGGCTGCCCGCCCTACTGGCGTCTCTGGCTCCAAGGACTCCAGCAGGTCGGAGAGCTGGCTGGGGGGGCTCTGGGAGCCCGAAGACCAGGAGAGGTACTGCTCCTCCCATGCCTGCGCCCTCGGGATCAGCTTCAGGGGCCACTTCCTGGTGTGGCGCCTGTGCAGAGGCAGCCAGAGGCTGTCCTCGCTCCTCTTCTGCGGAGGAGGCCGTGGCGTGAGTGCGCCCCCAGACCCCTAGGCTCCCTTGCGGGAGGACCCGCCCCATGGCCCTTGCCTTGCTCTCTTGGCGGCTCGCCAGCTCCGTGAGGGCTCCTTGGCCGCTGACTTTGCCCTGCGGCCACATCCGCTGCAGCACCACCGAGTTAGGCACATAGCTGGGGAAGCATATGGGTGGCCTGGAGCACTGTGGGGGGAGCAGAGTAGGCTGGGGGGCCAGGCCTCCACCCACCCCGGGGCCTACCTCAGGTCTGCCAGAGTGGAAACTCCGGCCTGTGGATGGCAACTTTTAGAAGCCAGAAAGGGCAGGTGGGAGGTATCCACAGCTACAGAGGGCGGTCTGGGTGGCCACCAGCCGCTAGATGTCCCCAAGGGCCCAGGGCCAGTCCCAGAGCAGAGTGCCCTCAGGGAGCACGCAGAGGGCCACTAGGGAAGGGCCAGCCCCATCCGCTCTGGTCCCTGGCCCCACTAGCCCAAGGAGCCCCGCCTACCGGCACCTTCCCTGGGGGCAGAGGTCTGTTCCAGGAGTGGCAGCCCTACAGAGAGGAGCTGCAAGGACACTGGAGGGGGTGCAGGGGTGTGGCCTGTGGGTCAAGTTCAGACACAAAATTTTGCAGCAAAGTGAAAAGGGGGCCTCTATGGAGAGTGGGGGGCTCTCACCTCGTAGGACTCAATGGTGGCGGGAAAGAAGCCCCGGAGCTGGGAGAGCTGCTCCTGGGGCCGTCTCTTCAGCAGCAGGGGGACCTGGGCCGGGCGGGACAGGTGCTCAGAGCCAGCCCCGGCCTCCCTGGGTAGCCGCACCCCACCAAGCACCTCACCCTGTGCTGCAGCTGTGTGGCTGGTGGCTCTGGGACAGTGTACGTCCTCCCTCTGTGCCGCTCCTCCCGCAGCTGCAGATCCAGACTCAGCCCCAGGCAGGAGCTCAGGGAGGATCTGGCCAGCAGCTGGGGCAGGGGAGAAGTCAGGGGTGGGCGGGATCATGAGGTCAGGGCCTGGCCGGAGGGCTGAGGCCTCACCTGGGAGGCCTGGCTGTGCACCGGCTGGTAAGTGGGTGGGCTGGACTGGAGGACACAGGGAAGGTGAACCAGGCGCTGGCACAGGGCCCCTGGGTCCTGGCGGGGCCTGGCGGTTGGCACTGTTTGCTCTTCAAGGCAGAATCCCACCTGCCTGAGACTGAGGGCAGCTCTGGACACGGGGTGCACGTTCCAGGTCCCGGTCTCCCCCACGAGATCCACAGAGCTGCCCTGGTGGGGCTCCCCTCCAGCATGCATGCCCTGCAGGGGCGGCAGGGAGAGGCTGCCAGGGGTCAGTGGCCCAGGGGAAGGGAGGGGTTGGGCTGGGCTGGGGTGACCACATGCCCACCAGCAGGCCGGGACCATAGATCAGATACAGGTAGTTTTCAAAGGCTTCTCGGTGCTGCTCCCCTGAGAGCGGGCCCCGGGCCTTGGGGGTCAGCAGGCTCCACCTCAGCTGCTGGAGGTCATGGTCCCGTGCCATGAGGGCTTTCAGGTCCTGGGGTGAGGGTGGGGTCAGTCAGTCCTTCCTTTGCCTGGCCACGTGCCACCACACCAGCACAGGACTGGGACTGGGGACCTGAGTCTGCACCCACCTCCTCCAGCACGGGCGGGCAGCGGGGGACCATGCGACGGTGGGCCAGAGGCAAGGCTGTGCTGGGGACAGACAGGGAGGCACAGAGGTGGGGTCATGGGTGCATTACCCATGTAGCGGGCAGAGTGGGGCCCAGGGCCCAGGATGGCCAGGCTCCTGGCAGGGTCCAGCACACAGCGGGAGTGCAGTGCCAGGCTGGCACAGAGTGGTGGCCAGAGGGGCCAGCAGCCAGCACCTCATGAAGCCAGGGCGAGGCCCAGAAGAGTGGGGCAGCTCCCAGGACAGCAGGCAGGCCTGCAGCGGACCTGAGGCTGGCCGCCCCGTGCAGGTGAGCGAGCCTCTGCAGCTGGGCAGGGGGCAGCGACTCCTGGCCAGTCAGCGGCAGTGGAGGGTCATCCACCACTTCAGGGACTTCCTCGTGCAGCTTCTGAGGGGGAAAAGCAGCCTGGAGCCCTGTGCAGAGCCTCGTCTGCCCGCAGCAGCCCCACGTGCCCACCCTGCGCCCACTGCACCTTCACCAGGTAGGACGTAGGCAGGTAGAGCCAGTGGGACACCAGGCAGAGGCGGGAACCGATCGCCAGCACCAGGTCTCCAGCGTTACTGCAGAAGGTCAGGGCCTGCGGGGCGCCATTGAGCTGCAGGAGCCTGGGGGGCGTCGGGGCGAGAGTCCCAGTCCCTGCTTCACAGGGTGGGAAACTGAGGCACAGGAGGAGCCAGGCTCTCTGTCCCTCTCCCCTGCCCAGCCTTAGTCTCTGGTGGGAGCGAAGGTCGGAAAACCGGACCGGCTGCCCGTGGGCCCCGCCCCGTCCGGCCCCCCCCCCGCCCCTCCCACGCCCGGCCCCAACCGGCCCCACTCCAGGCCCCGCCCCCGCCGCCCCCACTCCAGGCCCCGCCCCCACTCCAGGCCCCGCCCCCGCAGGCCCCGCCCACCGCAGCAGGCGGTTCTCCGCCGTCCAGATGCGGACCGCGCAGTCCAGGCCGGCGCTGGCGCACAGCTTGAGCGCGGGGCAGCAGCAGAGGCCTGGGGCGGGGCTCAGGGTCAGGCCCCGCGCGGGGTGTGGCGCCCGCTGTGCCCGCCGCCCCGCCCGTCACCTGTGATGTGGTCTGTGGGGTCGTCCTGGGGCCGGTGGTCGCAGCGGGGGCCGCGGTCCAGGCTGAACTGCGCCAGCCCGTAGGTGGCGCTGTCCGGGTCCTCGAAGGCCACGGTGACGCGCGGCCCCAGGGCGCAGAGCATGGTGGCCGGGTGGCAGGAGGCGAAGGTGCACAGCAGGCTCAGGCTCTCCTCCGCGTAGGGGAAGACCCGCCACACCTTCACCGTCAGGTCTCCTCCTGCGGGCGGGCGGGCGGGCGGGCGCGCGGGCGGGCTGGACGCGGGGCGGGCGCCAGGGCCTCCCAGGCGGGCCCCGGGGCGCGGCGGGCTACCCACCCGAGGACACGACGCTGCTCCGGGTGGACGCGATGGCCGTGACGGGGCCCGGGCCGTGCGCCTCCACGCGGAAGACCGGCTTCGGGGAGCGCCCCCCAGCACCGACAGCGCGCCGTCCGTGTGCCCCACCACGGGCAGGAACCTGCGGCGACGGCGCGTTGGCCGGGCCCGCCGCCCGCCCGCCCGCCGCCCGCCGGCCCTCCGCGGCCCCGGCACCCACCGGTTCTTGTCTTCCCAGGGCCCGGCCTTGTCACCGAGACACAGCTCGCCCCGCGGCCGGTGCGCCATCTCCCAGGAGGCGCGCGCGCTGCTGGCGTCCCTGAGGTGGCTGTAGAGGTGCAGGGAGCAGGGCCGGGGCGCGGGGGCGGGGGCGCGGGCACGCGGTGCAGCACGCGCATGGGGCAGCGCGCCGCGTTGGCACACACCAGGTGGCCCGCGCACGTCAGCAGCCACAGGGCCTCCCACGGCAGGCAGTAGGCCACCGCGGCTGCGCGGTCCTCGGGCTCCAGCAGCAGCGCGCTCACCGTCTTCCCGGTGGCCACAGACACCAGGTAGACCGAGCCGTCGGCGCAGGCGCAGACAAGCCGCGTGGGCAGGGGCGGGTCCAAGGGTGTGGGCAGGGTGGGTGCAACCTGCAGGTGGAGGATCGGTGCCGACAGCTGCGCCAGCAGTGAGTACAGCTCGCTCAGGCGCCACAGCTCCACGCTGCTGGCACGCAAGGACATCACTGGCCAGCCGGTGCTGGCAGGGGCCAGCAGGCTGCTCACCAGCCCTGAGGGCCCGTCGTGACCCCAGTAGCTCAGTGCCACCTCGCCCACCTGCGCAGCAGCCTGCAGGTCCCACGTGCGCAAGGTCCCGTCCTGGGAGGCCGACAGCAGGAGGCCCGAGTTTGGGAGCACTGCCAGGCAGGTCACAGGGCCTGAGGGAGAGTGCAGGTCACTCCGTGGGATCAAGGGAAGGAGCCCTCCGGCCAGACTGCCCAGCAGTCAGAAGTCTGGTTAGGGCGGGTGGAGGTTCAGGAATGCCCAGAGCTCAAGGCGGAAGAGGAGGGGGAGAAAGGGCCGGGGGAGCGGGCAGGGGCGAAGGCCCCAGAGCCTCCGTGGCTTGGTGCACCTGTGTGTCCCACAAACACCATCCGGATCTGCCAGTCAGCCTCCCAGACCTTCACGGTACTGTCCCGGGACGCCGTCACCATGGCTTCGACCTCCCCACAGTACGCCAGGTCGGAGATGGTGCTGGGCACAGAGGAGGCATGGGGTGCTGAGCACCACTGCATGCAGGCCCACCTCCCCGTCCAGATCACCTGCTCCACATCCCCAGCCCCCTCACGTTTTGTGCAGATCCCGCCGCACATCTGTGAGAGCCCAGGTGTGCAGATCAAAGGTGAGCACGGAGGAGCCATAGGCCATAAAGCAGCGTGCGGCATGGTGGGGAGCCGGGGGTCCCAGAGCCAGACGCGTGAGTGTCCCTGGGAGGCTTGGTGGTGGCTCTAAGGGTGACCCACATGGCACCAGGCGGCGGCCCCCTAAACGGAACTTCCAGAGGGCCAGGGTGCCGCCTGCTTCTGCCACCACCAGCAGACCCAGGTAGGGCACCGGCAGGCAGCAGGTGGGCTCATGGCCCGCCACCATGCCCACCCCTGGCTGGCTCAGCCACAGCAGGCTGAGGTCAGGCCGCAGCATGGCCAACCCCACGGGGCCCCAGCCCACAAAGCGGCTCACTGCACCCAGTGGGGCCCCCACCGCCGCCAGCCCAGTGAGGGCCACAGGAGCCGACAGCTTCTTCAGCATCCAGCCGTCCTGTCTGTGCAGGTGCAGGCCGCCTGCACCATCTAGCACCACGAAGCGCTGGCCCGCCAGGTCCTGCGCCACGGCCCTCAGGCCAGCTGCCACCGCCAGACAGCGCAGGGGCTCCAGCCCGTGGGTCAGGCGCCGGGCCCGCAGCTCCTCTCTCTTCTCCTGCGGTCAATGGGGCGGAGCTGGGGCAGAGCACCTGCTGGGGGAGGCCCAGAGCCCCAGCGGCCAGTGCAGGGGAGGGGACGCGAAAGGGGGCAGCGGAGGGCCTGAGCAGAGCACACCTTCTCCACGTAGCTGCGCAGGCCGACGCGCAGCAGCAGCCACAGGGTGCGGGCGCGGTCCCGCAGGCTCTTGCTTTGCCACCCACGGCTCCTGGTGAAAAGGCCCAGGAGCGGCTTCGCGAACGGCTCTGCGGGGGGCGGTGGGGCGCTGTCACGCCGTGGCTGGGCAGCGGGCCGGCGGGGGTGGGGGGGGTGGCCAGGGCCCCCGAGGCCCGCTGGGAGGGGGCACGGCGGCAGCCCCTGGGCAGCTGGGCCCAGCCCGCTCACCGCTCTTTTCCGGGGGCACCCCCGGGTCCGGGATGTCACAGTCATCAGCGTCATACAGGCTGCCGTCTCCCGCCGAGAAGGAAACGTTTGCACCCACCACTTCCGGCTCCATTTACGCGGAGGGTCCAGGCCAAGGCTGCTCAACAGCCCACAGGCCCGCCGTTGCTAGGTGACGGGCCGACGCCGGCCCCGCCCCCCTCCGCCCCGCCCCCACGCGCGCTGCAAGAGCAGGCTCCCGGTAAGTCACGAAACTTTTATTGGAAACAAACGAGCTGCAGCAAAGTGACACTCAGTGCACGCGGCCCGGCGGGCAGGAAAGGGGTCCAGGCGGGCGCCGGGCAGCCCAAGCCTGGGTGGATGACCACTGGGGCCTGCTTGCCGGGTCTTGGGCCCTTTGGGCCGGAGTGTACAGACCCAGGCCTGGCCCAGTACAAAATACAAAAATAAACTCTGGGGTTCAGCTGCCCCTGCTGTGTCAGTTCCGGGGCAGGCCTGTGCTGGCCCGTCCAATCAAGGGAGGACAACAGGACCCAGTGGGGTGAGTGGACATCCACAGGCTGCAGCCAAAGGGCTAGGCGGGCACGTCCTTGTGCGGCTGTGGCTGTGCCAGGCCCCGCCGGCAGCTGGGGAGGTCCTGGGGCCGTCCCGGGGCAGGACCAGGCGCCTGTTGAAGCTGGGTGAAGCTGGGGCCTCTGCTCCTGCCCCTCACATACAGATCACGGGGACCCTGGGCAGAGGCAGGTGACAGTAAGTGGGAAAACCCAGAGGAGACCCCGCCCTGCCAGCCCAGCCTGGCAACAAGGACCCGGCCGCCACCAGCATGGGCACCTGTCTTCCTCTGCGGCACCGGTCCCCTCGGGTGCGCCCTCGCTGCCGCCACCTCCGCTCCCCTCCTCCTCCTCTCCCAGCTCCATGTCCAGCTCGTTGCCCACCTCCGAGGGCGTGTAGGTGGATCCGCTGCAGCACATGGGGGAGCCAGTCTTAGGACCGCCCACCCCTCGGCTGCGACGGAGCCCACAGGGGGTGTCGGGGAGGGCGGCGCACAGGCCCACCTGATGGAACGGCAGCTGAAAAAGACGATGCGCTTCAGCCGCTTGTTGTAGAAGAAGTAGTTGAAGGACCAGAGGCTGCCATCCTCCCCGAAAGGGTCCGAGTCCAGGTCCGGGTTGTAGCTGGGGGCGGGGCGGGTGGGGTGTGAGGGGCGCCCCAGCATGCGCCTGGGGTGCCCACAGGGACGCCGCCCACCTGTAGATGTCGCACTCGGCCAGACAGATCTCCTCGTCCACCGCGTCCCACAGCTGCGGCTTCAGAGCCTTGAAGTCGTCCCGCACGGCAGAAAACAGGCTGCAGTTGACGGCGTTCACCACCTGGAGCAGTCACAGTGGGGGCTGGGCAGGGGGGGGGCCACGGGAAGGGGGCAGTGGGGACGGCGGTGGGGCTGCGGGCGCCCTCCCCCGCCCGGCCCTCACCCAGCTGAGGCTGGGCTCCCGGCTGAACTCGTGGCTTCGGGCTGTGCTGAAGTCATAGTCGGGCCGGAAGGACTCGTTGAGCGTGGCGATCAGGTAGAAGAGGGTCTTGCGGCTACACTTGTCGCTGAGGGGACCCTCGTCCTCGCCGCCTTGGCTCTTGCTCAGCCTGTGGAGAGAAGAGTCAGCAGCGGCTGCCCTGCAGCCGGGCACGGCAGGCTCCACCTGGCTCACCTGCTGGGACTGAGGCCCGAGGTCTGGGGCGGGGACAGCGCCTCCAGCACGTGCGGCTGGCCCTCCTGGCAGAACTGCTTGAACATGTGCTTGTCGTCCCCCGCCATCTTGCAGGAGTAGCTCTCGATCCTACAGGCACAAGCAGGCCATAGGGCATGTCATGCTGCGGACTGGGCTTGCGGCCACCACTGTGTCACCTGAGATACTGTCCCTAGAGCCCCAGCCTCACCTGCCAATGATGTGGGCGTCACCAGTCTCCACGGTCAGCTGCGAGTTGATGGCCTCGAAGCTGGAATTCTCCAACAGCTTCATGTCCTTGGCGAAGGGGTGCTGTGCTCTTCGGGGCTGGTGCGGCCTGAGGACGGGACAGTCAGTGGGCACCTGGCCCCCAGAGCTCCTCCTTCAACCCTCCTCCCTAAGTGGAGCGGGCAGGCTGGCCAGGCTGGAGGGGGGAAGTCCTGTTACAGGAGGCTGCACATTACAGCCCCGCCCCTGAGCCCCGCCCCCTGCACCCCCTCAAGTCCCGCGGCTGCATTGGGGGCCCTTGGGGCTCTTGCTCAGCCTGGGGCTGCCGGTTTAGCCTCGACACCCCCCAGGCGACGGAAAGGCTCCCCTGCTCCATGAGGTCACTGAGCCCGCGGCGAGCAGTGACTCCTGCAGCCCCGCAGCGGCCCGCCTTCTCGGCCGGGGTGGGAACCGCAGCGCGTCGGGCTCGGGCCGGCGGTCACCTGGACGCGGCCCCTAGCGGGGGAAGGGGCAACCCACAGGCTCCCCCGTTGGTCTCCACAGGTGCACCTAGTTTCTCTGGGCGCCAACGAACCGAGTGGGCGCCCGACCCCGCAGGGCCCGTCCGCGGAGAACTACAAGTCCCAGAGGGCAGCGCGCCGGGTGCGCACGCGCGGCGGCGCGAGGCCTGCTGGGGGCCGTAGTCCCGGAGCCCCGAGCCGGCGCCGGGCACAGCCAGACACCCACCTGCTTGGCTGGGCTCAATCGGGCCGGGCCGGGCCGGGCCGGGCGGCGCCGGTGCCGGTGCGAAGGCGGTGCGGACTCCGGGGCTCGCGGGCTCCTCAGGACCGGAGGGCGGCGCCGCAGCCTCCGCTCGGGCCGCACTGTATCCGGGGGAAGCTCCGCGGCGACGTCCCGTTACTCCCGGCCCCGCCGGCCCGTCCGGGCTGCCACCGCGACATAGCCTCGCCCCTGCACGGCGCCCGCCGACCGCGACCGACCTGCCCGCCGACCGCACAGACCGCCCAGCGAACGAGCCAGCGACCTCTGCCTCCCTCGGCCGGACAACAACAAGCGTCCGCAAGGCCCGGCCCTACGCCCCTGAATGGCCCGCTCCCGCGGCGGGGATCCAGAGCGCGGGCAGCCATTGGGGGCGATGCCGCCACTCAGCCGCTGTCGCTACTCCTACTGGCTGTGGGCCCTGCCCGTCACTCATCTCGGCGTGGAGCCCGCCCTCCTCCTTGGCGCTCATTGGCCCGGCCCCTCTTCGCCCCTACCCCGAAGGCCCGGGTTCCGGCGCGGGTCCCGCCCGAGCCTCCGGGGCCGAGGGCCGACGCCCGCCTCCCCGCCTCCCGCCGTGCCTGCGCCCCCGCCCCTGACCGCCCCGGCGTGCCGGCCTCCAGGCCCAGCCTGGCCTGCCGGTGTCCGGGCGTCCTGGGGCCGCGTCCCTCTGGGCAAAGCGGGGGGCTCGGGCTCGGTCCGTAGCGGCGCGTGCCGGAACCCCAGGTTCGCGGCCTGGGTTTCCGGCCGGCGGAGGCGCTCGGCGGCCGGGCGCACGGAAGCGGCTCGGAGGACCCGGCCGAGAGCGGACCGGACATGGCGCCGCCGGCGGGCGGGGCGGCGGCGGCCCCGGGCTCGGGCTCGGGCTCGGCCGCCGTGCTCCTGGCCGTGGACGCCGCGGTGCGGCCCCTGGGCGCGGGCCCGGACGCCGAGGCGCAGCTGCGGAGGCTGCAGCTGAGCGCGGACCCCGCGCGGCCGGGCGCTTCCGGCTGGAGCTGCTGGGCGCGGGGCCCGGGGCGGTGAGTGCCGCCCGCTCCGCTCGGCGCGCGGGTGTCCGGCGCGGGGCCCGCGGGCGCGGCGGCACTGAGCGCGTGTCCCCCGCAGGTCGGAGTGGAGTGGCCCCTGGAGTCGGTCTCCTACACCGTCCGCGGCCCCAGCCAGCACGAGCTGCAGCCTCCGCCCGGGGGCCCGGGGGCGCTCAGCCTCCACTTCCCCAACCCTCAGGACGCTCAGCGCTGGGCAGCCCTGGTCCGAGGCGCCGCCGTGGAGGGGCAGCACGGTCAGTGCTCACGCGGGCGCCGGCGCGTGTCGTCCTGGGGAAAGCGGACGCGGGGGAGGGTGGTAGCGCAGAGCGGGGCCCACCTCGGCGAGCTGGGGTCTGGAAAAGAGCGAGAGAAGGGCCCCGGCCAGAGCCGGATCCTGGGGCAGGACGGGAGGCAGCCTGTCCCCCCTGCCCGCGCGGCCCGTGTCTCCGCAGGGGAGACACAGTAGATGGGGCCCTGCGCGGGGGAGAGGACAGGCGGGCGGGGAGAGGGTGCCGGTGGCAGCAGAGCACACCTGCGTCTCGTGACCAGGGGGCAGCAGGTGCAGAAGCCGAGATGAAGAGTGCATAGGATCGTTGGGGTTCCTCGGGGCTCCTCAGAGGCCTGGCACTGAGTGCTTGGGAGCCCAGACCCCCTCAGAGCCCAGGGCCGGAGTGGGGCTTTCAGCTGCAGCAGCACCTGCGGGTGTCTCAGGAGCAGCAAGGTGGGGCAGACAGCAGCACCCCCTTCTGTAGAGACAGCTGGTGGCCTGCAACTTGGGGTGGCCTGTGCCGATGAGGCCCCTGCAGGGCTACTGGTGGGTAGGAAGGGACAGGCTCCTGAGGCCCGGCCTTGGTTCTCTGCAGGGCTGTGGGGACATCCCTCACTGGCAGACAGGGCCTGTGGGAGTCTCTGGGAAGGGGCATAAGGAGTGGGCAGATGGGCCCAAAAGGACTCCTGGGCCCAAGGGTTGGCCAGCTGCAGCTCTGAGGGATCAGCCGGGGCCCAGGTGCAGTCAGGGCAGAGGAGGCAAAGGTGCTGGAAGCTGAGCTCAGAATAAAGCCTGGGGGCTCAGTCAGCTGGGGGCTCAGTCAGCTGGGGGCCGGCTCCTGGGAGTCCAGCACCCACCTCACCTCTTCCCTCCTAGGCAGTGACAGCCCTCACGCAGCCCTGGGCTGGGAGGTGGGCCCTGCTTCCCCTCCCAGTTCCTCTGAAGTGCCGCTACCCAAGGTGCCCCTGCCCAAGGCAGACCCGCCCTGGAGTCTAGACTCACTGGAGAAAGGTAAAGGCGGGTGACGGGGGTTGGGGAGGGAGCGGCCCTCGCCCATCTGCATGGCTCCTCCTTCCCGCAGAAGACCTGGCGGGGCGGCTGACCCGGGCCATCGAGGGTGGGGACAAGAAGGGGGCAGCCCAAGCAGCAGCTGTCCTCGCCCACCATCATGTGGCTCTCAGCATCCAGCTGCAGGAGGCCTGCTTCCCTGCTGGCCCCATCAGGTGAGGCCTGGACCTCCTCCCACCCCCAAGCCCTGTCCCTGGCCCCAGACCGCCACCCTCCCTGACCACACTGTGGCGCAGACTTCAGGTCACCGTGGAAGATGCCGCGTCCTCCGCCCACGTCCCGCTGCAGGTGTACCCACACTGCACCGTCGCTGCCCTCCAGGACCAGGTGGGCACGGGGCCCGGGGGCCCTGCTGGGTGGGGGCTGTGGACCCTGCTGACGCTGCCGTCTGCCCAGGTGTTCTCGGAGTTGGGCTTCCCGCCGGCCGTGCAGTGCTGGGTCATCGGGCAGTGCCTGTGTGTCCCCGAGCGCAGCCTCGCCTCCTACGGGGTCAGGCGAGACGGGGACCCTGCTTTCCTCTACCTGCTCTCAGCCCCTCAAGAAGCCCCAGGTCAGTCCAGGCTTGCAAGGGGGGAGTGGGGGGGTGCCATCCGAAGCTGAGTCCCATCCCTCCCCCTAGGATGCAGCCCTCGGCGGGCACCAAAGACACGCGGGGGCCTAGGCCGCCTGTTCTTTCAGTCATCAGGGCCGCCCTGCACCCCTCAGCCGCCCAACTCCAGTCCCCCCAACCCCCCCCAGGTAGGCAGGGGCCCGGGTCCAGAGGGCTGGGTGCTGTGGGCACTGGACCAGCAGGGTTGCGCTGCAGCGTCTGTCCCCGCCCCCCAGGCCGGCTGGGCCTGCTCTTCCTGCACCTTCATCAACGCCCCGGGCCGGCCTGGCTGCGAGATGTGTAGCGCCCAGAAGCCCTGCATCCAGGACCCCCTTCCTGCAGCCCCCACTCAGCAGCTGCTGAAGGTACCAGGGGACCGGCAGGGTTTGGGGACAGGGCGTGGAGCAGGAGTAACGACCCATCTCCCCCCACCCCAGGTCACAAGGAGAGAGGACGGCCCTTCCCTCCCAGGCCCGAGGCCCTTGGACCCCGGGCTGAACGTGGCGGGGAAGCTCTGCTGACTGCCTCCGAGGGCTGGCCGGGCTGGCGGAGGCCATTAAAGCCACTCCTGAGCCAGAGCGCCTGTGTGCAGAGTGTGACCCCGTGCGGCTCACTGGCCGGGGCTCCTGAGGAGCATGACCCCAAGGGCTGTGGGACCCTGGCTGCGCCCGCGCGGGCACACCCCTTCGTGCCCTACCCTTGTTCTTCCTGGACTTTGTCCACCACTGCCCTGCGTTGCTCTAGCCTGGATCACGCTCTCCCCTGCACACTCTTCCTGGGGATGAAAAAAGCTTGGAAAGCGGGTGCCCTGAGCTGCTAAGGCCATGCCCCTCAGCCACTGCCCACCGCCAGGCTATTTGGCCCCACACCCTGGCTGTGCTGCGGGTTGCTAGAAACAGGTCGTATCTGGGGACCCCCCCACACACCTTGTGTCCCTGGTCGGTGGACAGCACCTCTAGCTGTCCAGCTGGGAGGCATGGCAGGTGCAGGCCGTCCATGGTCTCCCTCCTCTCCAGCCACTACCTGGCCCCAAACACCAGAACAGCTTTTGCAACCACTCGAGGCCAGGCTCTGCCCCTGTAGAGATGCTGCCTCGGGTTCTCTTTGCCCTCGGGTGGATATTTGGCTGACCATATCAGCAGGTTCCCAGGCAGGACCAGGCCCTCTCCCCTCTAACCAGGTGGTCCCACGCCGGGGGTAGCCGGCCACCGCCTCCCAGAGTTTTGAAGTCGAGTCACAGTCCCAGAATCCCCTGCGCACCCACACTCCCCGAAGCCATGGCTAAAGAGTGTATTTTGAGAAACTTAATTTATTCCCATGGTGGGGGCTGAAGAATCTGGAGTTAGAGCCTGATCTCCCGCCCCTCCCCTCATGTCCCAGAGAAAGAGGGGCTCAGTGGAGAGGGCCCGCTGAGGCCTCAGAGGCCCAGGGTGGCTCCTTGGCTAAGGGCCCACTTAGGCAGGACAGCAGACAAGCATCGGGCGAGGTCACTTGGGTGGCCGATAGGCCAGCTTCCGGCTCTTGAGAACAGACCACTTGTGCCTCTTCATGGCGTAGATCAGCGGCAGCAGCAAGCCCATCATCATCAGCATCTGGGGGGAGGCATGCTCAGGAGAAGGCACCACAGACCCTGCCCAGCCCCCAGCCCTTCGCCATGCCCGCTGTGCCCCGGCCCTTACCTTGAGCCCCATGCGTTTGCGATGGTCGTGCTCTGGCTCAGACGCCCAGCGCAGGAAAGTGCACACATCTTTGGCTACCTGGGACATGGTTGCTGGGGTGCCTAAGCCAAGGGCAAGTGGGTGAGGGCTGTCCGAGGGGGCCACTGCCCACCGTGGGGTGACCCTGGGAGCGTCCCAAGAAGCTGCTCAACATGTCCGAAGGAATGGGACCCCACCCCACCACAGGGGGGCCCGGGCTACAGGGGGCTCCAGCAGGCAGGTGCTGTCCACGTGGGCCCAAGAACATCGGGAAATGGACCCAGCCTGCCCACCCCGGGGTGGAGCCTCTCACCATCGTCAAACTCCAGGACCTCGTTGTAGATGGGAGGAGCCATACCAATGGCCTGGCCGGGAAAGTACGGGTTGAAGTAGAGGCCTTCCCGCAGCGACACCCCAGTGGGCGGCTCGCAGTAGCCCGTGAGCAGGGAGAAGACGTAGTCCTCGCCGCCGTGCCTGCACCGAGCAAGGGCCAGTTCCTGACACCAGGCCAGCCTCCCCGCCCCCCGCTGGCCGGGGGGTGGCCCACCTACCTAGCTCGCACGATGTAGCTGAGGTCGGGGGGCAGCGCCCCATTGTTAGCTGCTCTAGCGGCCTCGGGGTTGGGGTATGGCTTGGGGAAGTAGTCAGACAGCTTCCCTGGCCGCATGAACATCTCCCCATCCTCATTGGGGCCGTCCTGTACCTCCACCTGCCACCAAGAGCCGGTCACAGACCTGGTGTCCACCCGTCCACCACAGCGGGAGCCCCCCCCGTCCTCCACCGCCGGCCCGCACCTCCTCGGCCAGCGCCTTGGCTTCTTCCTCCGTGTAGCACACGCCCACCAGGTGGCGGTAGGCCACGTAGTCCATGCTGTGGCAGGAGGAGCACACCTGCTTGTACACCTGGAAGCCCCTCCGGATGCTGCGCAGAGGGCCAGGGTTAGGCGCACGGAGGCGGCGCCCGCCCCGCCCGCCGGACACGCCCCCGCCCACACCTGGTGTGGTCCAGCGACGACAGGGGGCCGCGGTGGGACCAGGGGAAGCCGGGGGGTGCAGCTCCAGGTCGCTGGCGCTCACGGCCGAGTGCAGCGCCGCCGCCAGCCCCGCGCCGCCCGCCGCCAGCACGCCCAGCGCCGACAGCAGCACCTTGCGGCCCCGGGGCAGGCCGGGCCTCGACGACAGGGACGCCGCCTGCAAGAGCCGCGCTCAGCGCCCGCACGACGCCGGCGCCCTTGGGCCCGCGACCGCGCCAAGGTCACGCGCCGGCCGGACCCCGAGGTCACGGCGGGGCGCGCCCGTCTGCACCGGGGCCGGCCCCGCGCCCGCCCGCGCGCCCGCCGCCGCCCCGAGCCCCGCGCCCCGCAGGGCGTCCCCGCCGCCCGAGGAGCGGCCGCGCCGCCCGCCGCCGCGGCCCGCAGGCGCGGGAGCCCGAACGGCGCGGGCCCGGGGCGAGGCCAGCTTCGCGCGCCGCCGGACTCGCGCGCCCCGCCGTGACCTTCACGGGCTGCGGGGCCGCGCGGCGGCCGGGGCCGCCCGGGCTCACCTGGGGCGCCCGCAGCGGGAGCTGCCCGGGCCGCGCGCCGCACAGCAGGCCCCGCGCGCGCGCGCCCGGCATCCCCGCGCCGCGCGGGCCCAGCACCGCCCCGCGAAGCGAAGCCGCCGCCGCCGCCGCCATCTTGGCCCTCTTCAGCGCGGCCCCCGCTCCCGTCGGCCCCCGCGGCGGCACTGGCGCTCCCTCTCGCGAGAGCGGGGAGCGCGGGCGGGCGGGGCGGGGGGTGGGGCCAGGGCAAGGACAGGGGCGGAGCCTGGGCCGGGAGCGGATGCGAGCCCGGTGGAGCCGGAGGGAGGAGGCGGGGCTGGGGCCGCCGAGCCCGAGGAGGAGCCTGGGCGCTCGGGGACCGAGCCCGCGCGGGGGCGGGGCCGGGCGTGGAGGCAGAGCCTTGGTGCCGCCTAGTGGCGCGGGGGTGGGACGCGAAGGCGGAGCCCGGCGGGCAAGGGGCGGAGCCAGCGTGGGGCGGGGTGTGGAGGCGGAGTCTGGGTTGGGGCCGGGAAGAGGACCCTGGGGGCACGGGGCGGTGGGTGGGCGGGGCTGGGAGCGGAGGCGGAGTCTGGGCGGGGCGGGGCCTGGAGAGGGCCCTGGGGGCACGGGGCGTGGGTGGGCGGGGCTGGGAGCGGAGGCGGAGTCTGGGCGGGGGTGGGCGGGCCTGTTACGGAGGCGGAGTCTGGGGGGGGCGCGGGCGCGCGGGCGGGCAGAGCGCAGTCTTGGGGCCCGCGGGCAGGCACAGGGCGCGCGTGGAGTGGGGCGGGGCCGTGAGGCGCACGACATTGGTCCTGCCCCTGAAGCCCTGGGCAGGGCCGCAGGACCCGCAGCTGGGGCTGGCGCCCCGGCCTGGCCCGACGCTCGACGCTCGCGGCGGGCCCACCGCCCGGGCGGAACCCTGGCGTCCCTCCGCGGGACCTGGGCCTGCTGGGCAGCGTCGCGGACACAGGCCCCGGAGGCTGCAAGCCGAGGTGCAGCTGGGAAGCGGAGACCAAGGACCCTGGTCAGGCGCAGCGCCGTGCCCGGCCGCCCGCGCCCCCGCGGCGGCCCATCTTGGGATTGTTTTAAGAAGAACAAGTGCAGGGCCTCCCGGGGGCGCCGCGGCGAGCGCTGGGTGGAAGCTGCCGCAGCCTCTGCAGCGCGGGTTGGATCCCCGGCCGCCAGCGAGGGTCCCGCATGGCGCGCAGACCCCTCCTGCCGCCCGCGGCTCCCCTCAGCGGTGTGCCTCGGTCCCCCTGCCTGCTCTGCTCCCCGCTCTGGCTCTGGTGAATTCCCTCACCCTCCCGCGCTTCTGACGGTACCCAGTGCTTGTATAAATAAATACATCTTTAAAAAAAAAAACTTTTAAGAAAACACAAAATATTTTCTTTCTTAGCAGATTATTTAAGAAAAACCTTGTTAACAGTTTCTTACTGAGGACAAATGAATAGGCTAAGAAAACTCCTTTTGCACAAAGAAAGACAAATTGTAATTTTGCACTAGTGCACCTTGATCTTAGAATTGATGTCTTAGCAATTTTAATCGCACGTAAAATTCCTTTCCCCAAATTTTTTCTTCTACTAACCTTTTTAAAAAAGATTTATTTATGCATACAAGGGCTGGGGTATAGGCCACAAGTGTGAGGGGTGACAGGATTCACCAGAGACAGAAGTACACTGCTGAGGTTAGCAGCGGGCATGTCAGGAGAGGTCTGCTGCGCCATATGGGTTGCTCTCTGGCCAGCCGGGGATCGAACTCATGCTGCGGAGGCTGCAGATAGCTTCATAGGTTGTGTCTTAACCCCTTGAGCCACCAGGGAGGCCCACTTCTACTAAACTTTCTATGTACATTTTACTGTTTCTTATACTCTTCTCTTTAAAAGCAGCCAATTTTAATTTACAACAATATCACTGTCATGTCTGTCAACAAAGATGCACTTCTATTCTTCATACCTGCTTGTACATACTGCATTTTACTGAAAATACATATCCTACTTTTCTTTTTTTTTTAAGATGTATTTATTCATTTATACAAGAACTGGGGAACAGGCCAGCAGGAGGGTGAGAGGATTCACCAGAGACAGAGTGGGGAACAGAACAGGCAGGCGACCAAAATACACTGCTGAGGGGAGCAGCAGGTGAGACAGGTGAGGTCTGCTTGCCATGTGGGTTGTTCCGAGGCTGGCGAGGATCGAACCGGCATTGCAGAGGCTGCGGACAGCCTCACAGCGCCATGCTCAACCACCTGTGCCATCAGGGAGGCCCAAGTCTTTAATTTTAATAAAGTCCAACCACATCTTGTTTTTCTTTTCTTGAGTTTTTGGTGACATGAAGGGATAGCCCTCTGTTTTCTTAGAAAGTTTGATTTTGGTTCAGTTTCTCTTTAAGATTTTTTTTTTTATTGATGCACACAAGAACTGGGGTACAGGCCAGAGTTGCAGGGGTGGGAGGACTCCCCAGAGACAGAGTGGGGAGCAGAACAGGCAGATCTACTAAAACACACTGCTGAGGGGAGCAGCGGGGAGACAGGAGAAGTGTGCTGCGCCTTGTGGGACCCTCGCCGGCCTGGATGGAACCGGTGCTGCAGAGGCTCCAGACAGCTTCACAGCACGGTGCTCAACCGCCTGTGCCACCAGGGGAGGCCCTACTTTTCTTTTTTTTTTTTTTTAAGATGTATTTTATTTATGCATACAAGAGCTGGGGTGCAGGTCAGAGGTGTGTGTGTGGTGGTGGTGGGGGTTGATAAGGCTCTCCAGAGACAAAGCGGGGAGCAGAACAGGTAGACTGACTGAAATCCACTGCTGAGGGGAGCAGCAGGGAGACAAGAAAGGCCTACTGTGCCAGGTGGGTCAGCTCCCTGGCCAGGGATTGCACTCGTGCTGCAGTGGCTGGAGATAGCTTTACAGTGCTGAGACTTAACTCCAGCACCACCAAGGCGGCCCTATCCTACTTTTCTTGCACACACTACAGCTGATTTTTTAAAAAGATTTATTTATTTATACAGGCACTGGGGTACAGGCCAGATGCATGGGAGGGTGAGAGAATCCACCAGAGCCAGAGCGGGGAGCAGAGCAGGCAGAAGGACCGAAGGACACTGCTGAGGGGAGCAGCGGGCGGCAGGAGAGGTCTGCGCGCCATGTGGGAATCTCCCTGGCCGGCCGGGAATTGTGCTGCAGAGGCCGTGGACAGCTTCACAGCGCTGCGCTCAACCCGCTGTGCCACCCGGGAGGCCCCTACAGCTGATTTTAAAAACACAGGTAAGGGCCCCTCCGGAGCGGATGGACGGAAGAATGGGGAGAACTAAAGGGCTTGAAAACGCAATGCTGGTGAACACAAGACTCCAACAGGAGAGAGAACAATGAGAACAGCGCCCGTGGAGATGACCCCGTCCTGGGGACCCCGAGAGAGAGAGCAGAGCCGTGGAGAGAGTTTAAGGAAACGATCGGGAGGTCCAGGCAAGACCACAGCGGGAGGGCGACCCCTGCCCCCGCAGGACCGGGCGCCGGGCGCGGGAGGGAGGCCACCGCCAGCGCGGGCTCCCTCGGAGGCAACATTCGAAATAGTTGCAGAGTCCGTTCCGGAGCCCTCTATCAGCGCGAGATGAAGGAAAGACTCGTCACAACTGCTGCAGAGAGAACTCCGGTCCCTGGGAGCCCCCGGAGCCGCGCGGTGACCCAGCGGCGGACACCCCGGCTCGGGAGGGGAGACCCCGCCCATCCCTGGACCCTCTCGCCTGACACGCCCGCACATCGCGTGTGATCCCCGTGAGTAGCAGCGCCGCTTTCCAGCAAAAAAAGGGGGAAACGGGCTGAAATTGATGTGCAAGCGCCAGGCCGAGGTTACAGACCGGGCCGTCGGGAGGGAGGGCGCCCGCCCGCGCCCCGCGCCGGCACAGGGAGCCCCGGCCGCGGCCTCAGGTCCCGCGGGGGGAGGGCCACGCCGCGCCCGAGCCCCCGGGGTGGGGGCTGGACCAGGGCCCGCCCGCGGCGTCCGAGGTGCCCGCGGCGAGGCGGGCGCGACCCCGCGCAAGGGGGCGCGCGGCTGTCGAGGGACACGGAGGGGGGCTGCGCGGCTCGCCAGAGCGCCCGTCAGGACGGCCGCGGGGAGCGGCCACCGCGCGCCCCCCAGCCCGGGCCCCGCAGCACCAGGCCCACAGCGGGCCGGCGCCAGGGAGGGCCCGCGTCCGCCCTGCCCGCCCCCCAGCCCCGCGCCCCCCACGCGGGAGCCCGCCCGAGCGGCGCGTCAGGGCCCGGCGCTGCCGTGCTCGGCCCCGCAGCCCCCCGCGCGCTCACCCGCCGAGGGCCAGCGCCCAGCCCCCTCCCCGCACGGCCCCCCCTCCCTCGGGAGTCTCCCGCGCCCGGGCTCCTCCAGGCGGCGGCCCCCCAGCCCCCCAGCCCGGGCGCTCGGGGCGCCGCGGGCTCACCACGCGTGCAGGGCCAGCCCTGTGTGCCCAGAGCTCCCGCCAGGGCCTCGCCTGTGCCCCCCCCAGCGCGCACGGCGGCCCCACTGGCTGTGCGGGAGCCGAGCCCCAAAGGGCGCCAGGACGACTTCTCTGGAGAACCCCGGGAAACCCCCGCCTGCTGGCCCACGGCGGGGTCTCCCGCTAGGTCTCGCGCCGCTGCTGCGGGCAGTCAAACCGCCCAGCCTCCCGGCCACACAGCTCCCAGGCGCTGCGTCCACAGCCGCGGGCGGGAGGCAGGGCCGGCTGCTGCCTCAGAGGGTGCCCACGGCCCCTGCTCGCCCCAGCGTCCGGCCTCGAGAGCCTCTTGGCTCCTATTCTCCGGAGGTTACTTCCCAACAGTGTGGCAGGGGAACGTCAGCTGACCGTGGCCCCCCAGCACAACCACGGGGGTCAGTGCGCTCAGTGGGCCGCAGCACCCTCCTCAGACTCCTGCTGCTCTTCGAAGGGACACAGCCCTGCGGAGGCTGGGCTTGCCCTGGGCCCCCCAGGAGGCCAACGGGAGCAGCACACTCTGGTCACCAGAGGGCCACACAAGCAGGATGGACACTGGGGTTCCCAGCTCCTTTCAGGAGTCACTGGCCTGCCCTGGCTCCCCTGCCCCAGGGGAGCCCCCACACCTTCCTTCTTGGGGATGCACCCCCATGGCCAGTGTACTCCTGGGGTGCTGGGGATGCCGGAAGTGGGGGGAGGTGGGCTCCTAACCCAGTATCGTGCGCCCACTCCAGGTCCTGACCCTCGCTGGGTCCCCCCACTCCCCCACTGCAGAGTCTGGCACCCACCCCCGTGCTGCAGGGCTGAGGAGACTGGGTGTTGCCCCTGGGTGCCCAGCCTGCCAGCTCCTCTCACGGTGCAGGCCAGGAGGGCTCAGCACCAACCGAGGGAGTGTCGCGTTTGCATACCCCAATTCTGGCGGGGGTGGGGGGCTGGGCATTCACCCAGAGCAGATGCAGCCAAGCCTCCTTCCAGCCAGCAAAGCCCTGCGGGCGGATGCCACCTGGCACATGCCCACGAAGGCAGGGGAGGGACCCCAGGCCCCCAAGACTGCAGGCTGCTGCTGACAACCAAGGTAACAGCTAGAACCAAACACCTGTTTATTTTCTGGGAACGAAAACAGGGTTGCTCAGCGAAGTTCCACCCTAGTCCGTGCGCCTCAGGGCAGGCAGGCGTCACTTCCAGAAGAGAACGTTCCAGAAGAGCAGCCAGCAGGGATAGAGGCCCAGCGCCAGCAGTGGGAACAGCAGAGCACCATAGGTGTGGTGCTCCAGCACCCCCTGTGCCAGCGCCGCCAGGAAGAGCTGCCAGCCCTCGGCCAGCGACAGCGGGGCCTCCTGCAGCTCCCGCCACAGGAACAGGCTGCCCAGGAGCGTGGCCGCTGGGCTCGTCAGCACCAGTAGGGCAGCATAGAGAGGCCTGGTTGAGGGAGCAGGGTCAGGGTGGGACCTGGGACCTGGCAGGGCAGGGGCGGATGCCACGACAGTGGGCAGTAGGGTTAACCAGCACGTACCGGGGCCCAGAGGGCTTGATGAGTGCAGCAGCAGGCACCATGGTGGCAGCCAACAGGAAGCCCAATGAAAAGTTGGTAAGGGTGATGCACGCCAGCTGGAGTGCCAGATACAGGAGGGCCACCAGCTTCAGAGCCATCCAGCCCCGGTCAGGGGCCTGTGCACTCACGACCCTGCAAGGACAGGAGCTCAGGGCCAGCCACTTGCCGTGTGGAGCGCCCCACCTGTGCCCACCCAGGCCGGCTCCTCACCGGTGAGCGTTGTGTGGAAGGGCCAGGCCAGCCGCGTAGATGGCCAGCAGCGTCAGCACCACGGCCTCAGCCTCAGCCACAGGGAAGTGTTGGGTGGCCACGTGCTGGCCCAGCACTGGCAGGACGTAGAGGGCCAGGCCCATGGCCTGGGAGATCAGCAAAGGTGCCACAAGCGAAGCCAGCCCCACGCCCTGCGGGCACATGTCACTTGGAGGTGGGCCCTGGTGCCCAAGGACTCTCATCGCATCAGACTACGGGCAGCAGTCCCCACCTCCGAAGAGGAACGGCACCTTCACCTGTGTTGGGGGGAGGGGGGAACTGGGTCCACAGGTTCCCCTGGCCTCTTCAGGGCCCACTCCGGCCTCATGCAGCTGCATCCACAGCTCCAGAGCGTAGCCAGGTCAAGGACTCTGACCAGAATCATAGCGGAACACTCTCAGTGGGGAACCCAGGGTTCACCCCCACTTGCTGACCCCAAGGATGGAGAATGCTCCCCAGACCAGAGTGGAAGGAACCAAACGATGGAGCGAGGACAGAGGGCAGAGGATATCTTGAGGCCGAGAACCAGGAGCAGGAAGCCTGCGGCGGGCATGTATAGGCCGATAGAGACGAAGCGGGAGAGCGCGGGCAGCAAGTAGAAGAAAAAGGACTGGTGCAGCCGCTCCAGGAGGTGGTTGAGCTTGCGGAACATGCCCTCCAGAGCCCTGCCAGGTGTGGGGGAGAAGGGGTGTCAGGGCCGGCTGGACCCCGCCCCAGCCGAACACAGCCCCGGCAGGAGGGACACCAGAGGCGACATACTTGCCGACGGCCACCAGGTCGTACTTATACTGGCGGAAGCTGTTGATGCCGCGCAGCGTGATGGCCTCCACCCGGTAGCGCAGGAAGAGGCCATGGGGGCCGTGGGGGCGGCCGGACGCCTGCTGCAGAACCATGAGCAGCAGCGTCTGCAGACTTTGCAGAGGTCCGTCCGCCGACGTCCAGTCCTGGGGCTGCAGCTGGAGAGGTTCAGACGCGGGATTAGAGAGCCCCTCGCCTCACAGGCCCCTACCAACCCCCCCCACGGCCCCACCTTGCCCTGCAGCGTGCACAGCAGCCCTCCTTTCTGACAGAAGGTCTGGAAGAGGTTCAGCAGATCGAGGTTGGGCAGCTGCCCGTTGAGCCCCTCCACGGCCACGTCCAGGCTAGTGACCACCTCGCTGCTCAGCTCCAGGGCCACAGCTGCCTGGATGGCGCCGGCGCGGCCCTGCAGGGCGGATGACTGCACCCCTGCGGGAGCACCGGCGTGAGCCTGGGGGCTGCCGCGCCGGGCCCAGAAAGGCGGGGGCGGGGGCACCCACCCGTGACGTTGACGTCGTGGTAGGCTTCCAGCCAGGCCTCGGTGCCCAGAAGGTCGTGCTCCGTCACCAGGAAGATGATGTCCTTGGCCCAGTAGATCTGCCCTGAGGACCAGAGGCCCGTCAGCGAGGCCGCGGCGGCGGCGGCGGCGGCGGGGACCCCGCGGCGCGCCCGAGGCTCACCCCTGAAGTGGGCGGCGAGCGCCAGCAGCAGCCCCACGGCCTGGTTGTTGGTGGCGTCGGCGCCGCAGGGCACGGTGAGCACCAGGGACTCGGTGCTGGCGGAGCGCGGGGCCCGCAGGATGCCGTACACGTTGGTGCCGGACACCACCTGCGGCGGCATGGGGCGCTCAGCGGGGCCGCCCGCCCGCCCCGGCCGCCCCCCGGCCCCGCCGCCCCGCCGCCCGCCCGCCCCGGCCCGCCCCGCCGCCCCCCGGCCCCGGCCCCGGTACGTAGCGCTCGCGCGTCTCGTCCGGGAAGGGCAGCTGCCGCGAGAAGCTCTGCGCGTGGACCTCCAGCCCCACGGACCGCATCGCGCGCTCCAGCCAGGCCACGGGCAGGGCCCTGCGGGGAGAGCGCGGCCTGAGCGCCCCGGGCCCCCGCCCTCGCCCCCCGGGCCCCCGCCCTCCGGGCCCCCACCCTCGCCCCCCGGACCCCCGGGCCCCCCCCCCGGCCCCGCCCCCGGCCGCTCACCCCGACTTCCGGCGCAGGGCGGCGAACTCGCGGCCCAGGCGCGGGCGCGCTCGCCGCCCGCGAACTGCTCCTCCACCATGGTGGAGCCCATGGCGTTCTCCGACATGTAGGCGCGCTGCGTGAGCGGCGGGAAGGCCAGCGCCAGGAGCCAGGCGACGCCCGCCGCGTAGCTCAGCGCGCTGCGGACACGCGGGCGGCGGTCAGCGGCCAGCGCGCCCGCCGCCCCCCGCCCGCCCCGCCCCGCCCCGCCGCGCCCCTCACCAGAGCGGCGCGTTCAGGCGCAGCACGAGGCGGGCGAGCGCGCGCCGGCGCGCCGGGTCCGACAGGAGCCCCATGGCGGCGGCGCCCGCCACAAGCTGCCCACGGCCCGCGCCTCCGACCCGGCGGCCCCGCGCAGGCGCAGTCCGCGGGCCTCCCCCGCGCAGGCGCAGTCCCGCCCGCCCGCCCGCCCGCCGCGGGAGCCAGTGGGGCGGGGTGAGGCGAGGGCGCCGAGGCTAGTGACGGGCGGGAGGCGCCGCCCCCGTACCTCGGAGGGACACTGGAAGGGGCCGGCCAGAGTGGGCGCGGCGCCGGGGGCGGGAGGAGCCCAGGGCCAGCAGCAGGAGGCCCAAGGGGCGCCTAAGGAGAAGGGCTCAGAGCATAACCCGGAGGACGAGGGCGCGCGCCCATCTCCACGGCGGGCACCCCCAGGGGCGGCAGCCCTCGAGCCCCCCGCCGCTGCTCTGCTCCAGAACCGTCCCGGCACCAGCTCCCCCACCGTGACAAGCCCCCCCCCCCCCCCGCCCTCGGGGCGGGGCCCGGCCGCAGGGGGTGCAGTGTGCACGGAGCCCGTCCCCCAGGAGCCGCACCGGCACGCACGAGCTCTGGGAGCGCGGAGGACCTGCCGGTTTTATTTCGGGTGCGGGTGCCCGCGCTCAGTCCCCCAACAAGACAGACGCCTCGCGCACGTGTTGGCGGACCACGCGGTCCAGCACGGTGTGCACGTCTCTGGCGGCGCGGGCCGCGGCCTCCAGCACGCGCTCCAGGTGGTCCTCGTGCAGCCTGGCGTCCATTTCAAGCAGTGCGATCTGGCCCGAGGCCGGCAGCAGGGCGAGGGCCAGCTGGGGGCCGCCAGCAGCCTCTTCCACGTGGCTGAGGTCCGCCAGGGCCGTGCCATCCACAAAGCCGGCTGAGCAGGCGCACACGAAGTCCCGCATGGGTATCCCGGCGTCCAGCACGGCCAGCGTGGCTGCGTTGACACAGGCTGCATAGGTGCCACCATCCGCCTGCAGCACCTGCAGGGACCCCGTGGCGTCAGCGAGCGCTTGGCCGGGGACCTCGCACCCCCCCCGCCCCGCCCCGCCCCGCCCACCTGCACGTAGATGTCGATCTGGGAGCGCGGGTGCAGCTGCGTGAGGACCGCGGCCTCGAAGGTCTGGCGGAGCTGCAGGCCCATCTCGCAGGACTTGCGGTCCCCGTGAGGCCGCCGCTTGCGCTCGCCGGTGCTGAAGGTGGCGGAGCTGTACTGGCAGTTCACGAGGGCCCGGTCGGGCAGGGCTCGCGCCCTGGAGCCGCGGATCTGGGGGCGGAAGGGCCAGTGAGGCGGGCCCGCTGCCCGGCCCAGGGCCGCTCCGGACCCCGGCGAGCGCAAGAACTTCACCTCCGCGCCCAGTCCACGCTCGCGTCCTCCCTGCCTCCCCTTCGCGCGGGAAGTGAGGCCGAATCTCTGCCCCGGCGCGCGAAGCCCGGCCCTCCCGCTGCCCTGGAACCCCCGTCTCGCCCGGGAGGACCCCCCGGCCGCCCCTCGGCGCTGCAGACCCGCCAGCTGGGCCCGCCCCTCTGCCCTTCCTGACCCCCCGGCTCTGTCCTCACGGTGCGTCCCAGTGGGGGCCGACGACGAGGGCCCGCTACGCGGCCGCCCGGGGCAGGGGCGGGGCGGGGGGTGCGCGGGGTCCCCGCCACTCGCCTCGTGCGGCCCGTAGACCACCGCCAGCGCCTTGGTGTTGCCCTGCTCGATGTAGGCCGAGCCGTCGGCCTGCGCGAACACGCCCATCCGCGCCTGGATCTTGCGCAGCTCCCCGGCGCGCCGCCCGTCCACCCGGTAGCCCTGGTCCGACAGCAGCTCCAGCCCCGCCATGCCGGCCGCGCGCCCGCCCCCGGACTTCCGGCCCGACGGCCCGCCCACCCCGGACTTCCGGCCCGACGCCCCGCCCACCCCGGACTTCCGGCCCGACGCCCCGCCCACCCCGGACTTCCGGCCCGACGCCCCGCCCACCCTGCACCGCCGGGCCCCGCCCGCCCCCGGCCGGCCGCTGTGACCGGGAGCCGCCTGTGCCGCGGCGGTCGGGGCGGCGCCCCGCCAGGGCCAGTCCCCGCTCGCGCCCCGGCCGGCCGGCCTGGGGGGCGGCGCCCCCGGTCTCCGCGGCCCTCGTCTGCGCCGCCACCGTGGGGGGCCGAGCCCCGCCGCCGTCCCGCAGGCCCCCGGCGCCCCCGCGGCGGCCCCCCTCCGGCGCCGCCCCGCCCCGCCCCGCCCCGCCGCTTGCCGCGGCCCCGTCGCCCGCCTCGACGTTTGCACCGGGGCGAAGATGTCGGCTGCGTGCCCCGCGTGAAGGGCGGCAGGGAGGGCCGGGGCGGGGTGGGGAAGGATGGGGTCGGCCGAGCCGGCCTCGTCCCGCGCTGCTCGCACCTGCTCGCCCGGGTCGGGTCCGCGCGGCGGGCGGGCTCCGGGCCGTGACCCACCCCCGCGGCGCGCCCCAGCCCAGCTCGCGCCTCGCCGTCCCCTACCAGCCGCGCGCGGTCGCTGCCAGCAGACGCCGCGTGGGCCCCTCGGACAGCCCTGCGCACCTCGCGCTCTTCGCTGGCGGCGTGACACCCACGGGCGGCCCAGGCCCTGCTGGGCTCGCCACGCGGCGTGGGTGTCGCCCCGAGGGTGGGGGGCAGTGCCAGGCTTCCTTGTAATGCAAATGCACCGGCGCTCCTGCCACCCCAGCCCTGTGTGTCCAGCGTCTGTCAGTGCGTGCAGGGCTGGGGTGGCAGCCCCCCCAGCAGAGGCCTGTCCCCTGCTCCCCTTGCTCGGGCACTCAGCTTACACCATGGCACCCCGGAGAGCTGGGCCCCCACGTTGCACTTAGAAGCCAGACCCCCAGTTCATGTTTGACAGTGGAAGGTGAGGGGGTGACAGCAGCGCCCCTGCGCTGGGTGGGTGCCCAGGCAGGCCTGATGGCCTGCCTGTGGCATTTCCCAGGGCCTGTGGTGCCCCTGATTGCATCCAGCCCCACAGTGAATGAAATGGTGACAGAGGTGCCTGCCCTCCCGGGAGGACAGCGCCACCCTTCCAGGTCTGGGGCCAACTGAGCCCAGCCAGCAGGCCTGGGCTGCGGTACCCTCATGTCTCGGGCAGCAAATGCTGGCCAGGCCCCAGGGGCTGTCGGCACACCTACGTGGGGCTTCCTCAAAGCAGGATGCTGGGCCCCACGGTCACCGCTCCGGACCGCAGCAGGTGCCTGGGGTGCAAGATCTACCCTCAATCCTGTCGTGGTCCAGGTGGTCACGACACCTGCCCAGGCTCGTCCTCTTGGCCCTTATGGTGTTACAGGGCAGGGAGGGGGCACCCCAGAGCCCCCAAAGCTGCCTGCCCTAAATAGGTTCTGCCGTCTGTTGTGTCAAGACAAAACAGAGAGAGCCTCCACCGTGGTGCAGCAGGTGGAGTGCACACTGTGAAGCTGCCCGCAGCCTCTGCAGCACTGGTTCGATCCCCGGCCGCCGCTGCTGGGCGAGGGTCCCACGTGGTGCGCAGACCTCTCCTACCGCCCGCTGCTCCCCTCAGCAGTGTATTTCTTCGTCAGTTTGCCTGTTTTGCTCCCTGCTCTGTCTCTGATGAATTCTCTCACTCTCCTGCGCTTCTGACTGTACCCCGGTTCTTGTATAAAAATAAATCTTTATTTTAATTATTTATTTTTAAAAGATTTATTTATTTATACAAGCACTGGGTACAGTCAGAAGCGCAGGAGGGTGAGAGAATTCACCAGAGCCAGAGCAGGGAGCAGAGCAGGCAGACTGACGAGGTACACTGCTGAGGGGAGCCACGGGCAGCAGGGGAGGTCTGCGCACCATGTGGGACCCTCGCCCAGCAGTGGCGGCCGGGGATCGAACCGGTGCTGCAGAGGCTGTGGGCAGCTTTGCAACCCAGCGCTCAACCGCTGCGCCACCAGGGAGGCCCTAAAAACAAATCTTTAAAAAAGATATAACATACAGACTTTTCATGGAAAGGAGCTTTAGCTCAACAAGAGTGCAAAGACAAGACAGAGAAGAGTTTCCAGATGGCACCCAAGTCACCCACCCTCATGGAAACGTCCAGCTGGCAGGGCCGGCCCAGAGCAGGGCCAAGGAGGCCCAATAGCCCACTGCTGCCCCAGCACCTTCCGTGGGCCGCAGGCGGGGGCAGGAGCAGCCGGACAGGCCCTGGGGGGAAAGAGCAGCGCCGAGTCCAGACCAGTGCTGGCAGCGGGACTCCCCACGGGCCCCGGTCTGTGCCACCTACCCAGGGCCCAGGAGCCAGCGCAGCTTCTTTTTTTAAAAGATTTATTTATTTATTTATAGCACTGGGCACAGTCAGAAGTGCGGGAGGGTGAGAGAATTCACCAGAGCCAGAGCGGGGAGCAGAACAGGCAGACTGACGAAACCCGCTGCTGAGGGGAGCAGCGGGCACTGCAGGAGAGGTCTGCGCGCCATGTGGGACCCCCGCCCGGGGCCGAGGATCTAACCGGCGCTGCAGAGGCTGCAGGCAGCTTCGCAACTCAGCGCTCAACCGCTGCGCCACCAAGGGAGGCCCCTAGCGCAGCTTCTTCACAGTCTCTGCGCTGAGTCCTCCTTCGGCTCCTCCTGCCCCCACCCTCCCTCCTTCTTCCCCTCAGCTCCACCTCCCTGGGATGGGGCAGGGAGCCCGGAACCTCCCCTTTCCCCGGGACCCTCGTTACAACTGTTACAACGGGAGTAAGGTCAATGCCAAACAGGAGGAAGAGCAGGCGACTGGACACTAGCGGGGAGGGCCAGCATCCTGCAGACGGGTGGAGTGGGCTCCGAGAAGCTGGTCAGCCTGCGCCTACTCTCAGGGGCCATGGCCCTCCATCAGGATGGTGGTGCCCTCGGTCCCCGCCCCTGGGTCCAGTGATGTGCGGAGTCCTGTGGCCGCACTCGGGCCAAGGTGTATCGGGGAGCGTATCACCCGGATGGGCTGGGGGAAGAGTGCCTGGGCCAAAGGCCAGAGGACACCAGGCGCCATTCTCCCGGGGACCCCGTGGGGCACGCTCCACTCTCAGGCGCCACCCCCAGACCCTCTGCCTGGCCCGGGCCCCCTCCGGACTCCTGGAGGAAAGCAGGAGTCACCCACGAACACCCTTGCTGTGGACACGTAGGTCCGCTGGTCACAGTACCCGCAGCCCCGGTTCCAGGTGCTGCGCACTGCGGGCAGCCCTCCAGGACTGCGGCCTCCAGCCCGCCTGGCAACGCCTTCAGATACAGTCAGTGCCCCCAATCAAGTGACCAGAGCAAGGAAAGAAATGCAGGCCCAAGCACCCCAGGCAGGGAGAGGCAGAGGCCCGGCCCTCAGGGACAGGAAGGCTGGTGCAGCTCATAGCCGCGTCCGCCACCCCTCGGAGCCAAAGCCGCTGCTGGAAGGACCAGTCATGGCCTGGGAAGGGTCTTCACTCCACTGCCCGTGAGAGAGGGGGAGGCGGACTTGTGCGAGCGCGGAGATGGGAGGAGCGTGGGAGCCTGGCGTGCGTGACCGGGGGCTCCCAAGGGAGTAGCTGCCTCCCCAGACCCCCCGCAGAGAAGGAGCTGCGGGCTGGGTGCCACCTCCCCTGCAGAGGACGGCGCTGCCCCTGCAGGCGTCTGCTCGGGCCCTGCAGCAGTGCAGGCGTGGGGGCTGCTCCAGGCTCAGCTCCCACGGGATCCCCGCCTCTACCTGTGGGTGCCGCTGCCCGCCAGCTTCACCGCGCCAGGAGGCGACTGTCCCCAGAGCCCAAAATGAATGTCCCCCCAACTCAACATCGGCCCCCACAGCCCCTCCGGCTCCACGGACGCCGGTTACAGCGGGAACAGGCAGCCGCACTCGTGTGGGATGAAACCATCTCTTCGCAAATTGACAGGCCATGTGGCATGTGGATATGGGGGGCCCCTGGAAGAGGCTGGTCCATGAGGGACTGGGCTGAGCCCCCACACTGGATCTGCCCACATCCCAGGCCTCCGCGGGCAGCACGGCCCCAGGGCCCACAGCCTGCTGGGAGCTGCTACGGCCAGCGCACGGGGCCCGGGGGCCGGGGCTCTGCAGGCCCCTGGTGTGCAGCTCTGCAGCGGCCACGTGGTGGGGTGAGCCCGGGCGGGGGTGCTGCCTGGGCGGGGGGCCCGCATCTCCCTGGCACGCAGCCGCCCGCACAGGCCGCTGCCCCAGCCCAGGATGCTGGGGCCGCCGGGTATGCAGCAAGCTGACGTTGCCGCTGTGGTTGAAACCTGCTTGCTGTGAAAATTTCTCTCAAAGATCCCTCTCTGATGGGACAGAGAACCCGACCAGGCCCTGATCCAGGCTGCAGCCAGCAGGGCCCTTCACAGAGGGCACAGGCTGAGGCTGCCGCCGCCCCACCTTGGCCTCAGCACGCGGCTGGTGACAGCTGTCAGCCAGCCAGGCCCGAGGCACCAAGTGGGGGCAGGAGGGGTGATCGATGCAGGCGGAAGATGGGCGTCACGTGGACACCCACGGGCCACTGTGGCCGCCACGCCTCTCCCCAGTCACAGCCGCCTGCTGCCCGCCAATCTACTTTGCTTTTCTCATAAAATGGGTCAGCTGCTGGCCCCTGCCGTCACTGCTTGAAACTGGCTTCTGAAAGGCTATGCAGAATAAGGCGCTTTTGGGGTCCTGACCTGAGTGTGCCGCCCTGCTGTCCGCCTCCAAGTACGGGGGAGGGGTCAGGAGTCTCCTGCGGCCTCGCCCTTGGCCAGCCCTCCTGATGCAGGCTGCGGGGGAGGTCAGGGAGGACACCGGGCACGTGGCCCAGGGGGGACCTGCACACACAGCTCGTGGTCTGTCTGCCTGAGGGAATGTTCCAGCCCCAGGATGCATCTGGAGGAGCGGGGCAGGCC